CACTGGTATGTTATAATAAAACTTTTTCTTGGTATAAAAATGATATATATATATATTATATATATGTATATATATATACACTCTCACTGTTACACGTATAGTATACGATTAGTCATATTAGATTAAGTTAAGTTACAATAGTGATTTCAGATCATTACAGGTCAATTAAAATAAAATATCTGTAACATATAATAAAACAAAGTAAACAAATAAATACAAAATAAAAATAATTAAAATGCATTTTGGACGGTAAGCATTACAAATAATACTGAGAACATTTTTCGCAAAAGGAAATCTAAAAGTATTTTACATGTAATAAGAAGCTATTGATGATTTCGTTGACATTTTTATCTATACAAATTTGCATCTCCGGTGAAACAAGACGTTAGAGATTTCAACATGGTAAATAGAGAACACAAACGCCTCAATTTTACGAAAACATGTTATCAGGTGGTGGTTAGTCACTAATAATTTGGCAACTAATAATAACGAAGGTACTTGATACAGTAAAGTACAAAAGATACAACTAAGCTACCTTCCTATGAGGATATACAGAAAAATACATGAATATCTAGCATACGTTGCCATCCTGCAGTGATGTTCAGTCTAAATTACAAAAGTACAATAAATACTTATGCACCTCACAGTCTAAAGTAACAACGGTTCGCAATTACAATTTTTCCCTTAAATGTTTCGTAACTTACAAGTAATATACTACTTCGATTTAAGCATTGAAATACAAATTTTGTTTTCTGTTTTCACTATCGTAAAAATCAAATACTTCTCTAAAATGTGATACTAACCTGTTGCTTTTTTTTATGTAACAAGATTCAATTCGTATATTTGACATTCGTATATTAAATGATGATTATAAATGATGATTTCAAATATTCAATGTTCCATCTTTCAAGGAAAAAATTTTATTAGTTTTGTACCAGTCCGGTTTAATTTTATTTATGATACTCGAACTTCTTATATTCTACGAATTAGTTAGGTTTCTCTGCTTGTAAAACTTCTTTCACAGAGCGTATCCTCTCTTTCTGTCCTTATCATGTCATTTATCATTACATCGAAACAGTAGAAATTAAAGTTTCGTATTATTCTATGAAATCCTTCGTATGACACTTTAAAGTGCACTTATTGTAAGCATATTTTTTACCTATCAATGAATTCTACAATCGATACAAGTAGCAATAGAACTTTATATTTAGATGAACCATTCCTTCTTCTTTTGAACTTGATGGCCTGTGGTCGAGTGGACGACAGCTGAATCCGGATCTAATGCTATTTCAGCACCTTTGTCCTCTTGCGTCAAATATTCACCTTTATGTCGCGACATGTATCTTCCTATAAGTACAGCCATTATTACTAACGCTATGATAATGATAGCCAACACGCTACCTAAGATAGCTGTATCAGTTTCGTTGTACGCGGCTCGAACTTTCTCCTCGTCCACCTCCGGAGGTGGACGTGTTTCAACGACATCCGGAGGATGTGTGATCGGTTCGACACCGCAAAAGTCCTCTGTGAGAGGAGTGCCGAATGTGCGAACATTTGCCGGTCCGTCCTCTTGGAAAAGTAACTTCAGAGGATATATATCATCAAATTCGACTCTGGATATACATCCAGCGAATCCCTCTGTTATGGATTCATTCTTCCCAATGTACATGTACTGAATATTATTAAATTGAGCATCCGCGGACGTTTTGATGTTAAAATGAAACTCCTTCGGCTCGTAATTGTCGACTTGCAGAACAAGAGTGGAGCCTGAATTCTTCCTGCCCACTCTGACGTCGTGGTACTGCCCCAAGCCGAAGTGTTTGTTCGGAAATATCACTTCTTGCCGTTCGAAGCCAAAGTCGAACACCACGCGCAAGTGTCCGCTGTTCGAGACCATGATTGTCATATACTCTCCGGAAATGTTTGAAAATAGCCCAAGCAAGAAACCTTTCGGATTGGTCGTAGTAAAACCGACCCTGATCTTCTCGGATATCGTTGAGCGCCAGCTGCCCATGAAGTCGTACTTTATTATCGAGCTGGGACGCATGTTCACACCGATTTCTGCAATTACATTTAAGAAATAAGTACAGAACTGCTATTTAATCCATTCACTGCCAACTACGAGATATCTGTTAAAGGTCCATTACTACCAAAAAAAGGGATTTATTTATTATTTTTTACTTATTACTTATTTATTTAAACAAGAAAGAAATGTCAGCGTCTAGAACAGATTTCTTCAAAATAGGCTTGGCAGTCAATATGTTAATTACTGTATTACGATCTAGGTAAACAATATATACCGTCTGCACAAATGGGGCCCTTGAACGCGGTCCAGCGACAGTCGCACGAATACCCGTCGTATCTTTCATGGCATGTTCCGTTGTTAAGACATGGGCTGCTTTCGCATTTACCCATGCAACCTTCGGAGACACCATACAGGCTTTGTCGAGCGTAGCTTCTGAGATCCTGTAGCTGTCCGTTTAATAGAAGCGCTCTAATACATCCTACATAGCCGTCTCTGAAATCTGTTGTGGCGCCTACCACAAGATCTGATGTCAGATGAAGCGCTCGTACCGGTCCCGGAGGTTCTCGCACTTCGTTTTTCAATGCCCCGTCCACCACTATTCTAGCTTCTTTACGGTTTCTTTCCACAGACACGGAGTGCCATCGATTGTCAGCCAATCTATAAGAGGTCTGAACGCTTACAGTGAGCGGACCACCGCCTGCCAAGTACTGGAACTGAATCTGATTGCCGCTGTTTATAGAAATTTTAATGTAATCCGTAGGCCCTTTGCTGTGAATTATAACTGCATTGTCAATCGTTGTTTTGAACTCAAAAAAGATGTCACCACTGTGACCAATGTCAAAGGTTGGGAGATTGATAGTGGCGTCAACAACACGGAATGTTACTACGTTCTTGAACAAATCTACAAGAAAACAAAATAATTCGAGATTACATTAACTGCAATTAGGGTAATATATTATATATCACGTTAGGACATAATGTGTTTAATTGCAAGGAACAAGTGTATATAAGAAACATAAATAGCTACAAATTCGTAATAGTTTGGGAGAGTAAATCTAACGACTATTATATTACAGCAACTAATAAAATGTACCGAAACATGATGTGCATTGTGCGCACATCAGGATCCATGGCTACATTATGAAACTTTATGTCTTACCTGATCTTACCTTGGTGGTGAACCAAGGTAATTCAGAACCTTCCAAAGAATTTAAAATAAATTAAATTTCCTTGTTCACATGCACGATGATGTTGACGAGAACTTTTCAACATACCATCTCCCTCGCAGATAAGAGGCCCAAGAGTGTAACGTCCTTCCTTTTCATCTACCGGTGTACCAGTGTCGCCGAATCGTAATTGTTTCACAGGAAGATACTCTTTTTCGGTAATGTCGCCGCTGTCTTCAAGAGGACCGTCCAGATCAGAATCGCAATTACACCATTTCGTAGGATCTGCGCAATTGCCGAGGATACCGCACTCGCATTTGCGTGATCCTGCCAAAGCTCCGCCCCAGTAGTCCATTTTCTGATTATTCCTGCTGACCCACCACGAGTTCGGCCTAAACTCGCTTCCTTGCGGTACTGGAACGATTAAATCGTTTTTAATACAATCCTACCGTAAGTTCTTGATCGCAACTCTGCTTAAAAATAAGTACCTGGTGAATTGAACAACTTTGAACGTACACATTCGTAACTGATCCTCTGTCTACAACTTGTGGACCTGTTTAGGAGCGCTTCAATCTGATCCATGTCAGCGTCGTAGATAATATCTTGCACAAAACTACCTGGTTCTTGGAATCCATCTACAGGAGTGATGCGCTCGTTGTTGTGCCTTACGATGGTTCTTACACGCCCGTCAGTGTAAAATTCACAGACTACAGGAAATGGTTTCAGCGGACCGCTTCCGTCCACATCTATTTTAATATCTGCTCGCTGATTTACTGAATTTATGTTTTTGTATGCTTCACAGGAAAGTGGATTCAGTGCTGTAAAAGCAAGGAAATATTAGAATAAACAATGCTACCAAGTTTACTGCCGATATAGCGTGATGTGTTGACTTACAGGTATGGCATACTGCCCCTGTATAACCCGTATTGGCACAGTCACAGAAGAATTCATCAGAATTTTGACGACAAACGCCAGAATGTTTGCATGGGTTTGGATTGCAACGGTCCATCATCTGGCAAGCATCGAAGACGACTTCGTTCTTGCAACAATATTCTTCCTCCTTCCAATCGGTTGGCAGCTTGTAATTGCCATCGATGCTTATCATTCGCATACAACCGACAAATCCACGGTTGCTTTCTATACCAGTCACGCCGCCTATTAGATACACCGGTCCCGTTATCATCTCCAATATACGTTTAGTTCTCATCGGTGTTCCATCGACATTTAAAATCAAACTATTTTTGGATATTGTCAGAATGACCTGGTGCCATTTGCCATCGTTGAACTTCTCATTGAAGTTATCTAAAACTACTTGGGGATTTTCTTTTGTTTGTATGTCGACCTTCAATTTTCCGTCTTCTAAATACAACTACAAGGAGTAAGACGAGATATTAGCAGGTTTCAAGAGAAAACAAGTTAGAGTGCATATAGAAAGAAGTCGATTTACAAACCTTCACAAAACCTGGAGATGTAAACTGATGATATAAAATGATTCCTTTATCTTCGTATGTCCGAAACGTGAGGGAAACATTCATGGAAGATATTCCCTCGTATCCTTTGAGTCTTGCGTATGATCCCTGAGTTAAAAATGTCACGGGAATTATAGGTGGTTCTGGGCAGCTGTAGATTGTATTAACTCTATAGTATCTCAAGTTTTCTCCAGTGATTTCAGTCTCCCTTAAGTCATGTATAATACTAGTAGCATTTAAGTAAAAATTTTCTATACACCCTGTGAAATTCTGATTAACCACTAGTCCGTCTTGTTTGTTAGGAACGCCGCCAATGTAAAGCTACAAAATCATTTATCAACGTCAATTACAGATTCGATCGAGCAAACGAGATGATTAAATATTTTTTAAACTACTTACTGCCCTATTTAGGTCCAGTCTGTGAAATTCTCCTTTGACTCTTCCTTTAATTAACACTCTATCTACAGAAAACGATATATTCTTTCTATTACGCGATATCAAAACATCATGCCACATATTGTCGTCCAAAAGACTCCCAACAGATAAGCTCGTCATAACGCCAGATCCAAGATCAATATTTAATATCATTCTATTGTCTTTTAGTTGCAGCGCTATATAATCTCCTTGTGTGCCACGGGAATACATTAACACTCCATCAGCATTATTCGTTTTGAATCGAAAACGTATAAAGTGTCTATCAGTTTCTATCGGCTCTCTTAATAAATCATATCGCAGCAGGGATGAACCATTGAAGGAAAGAACGTCAGACACTATGAACAATGATAAAAAAGAAAAAAGGTATTTATAATTTGTCATTCTTTATCGTGAAGAGACATTTATATACTTACCATAATTGCAACCGTACAATTCTAGTCTCAATGATATTCTGTCCCGCCATCGAGTTGGATTTATTCGAATCCATTGCGCTATAATCGGTACCTCAAATTTATTAAGTTTTATGGTGTCCCCGTCCACATTTCCCTTGAACATCTATTGCAAAAAGATAAAATCAAACATAAGTTCCATATTTATGGAAACGTCAATATGATTTAATCATTTGTAAAACGTTTGTATGCAAAATTCTGTCATAGTATTAAGCGGAAAAGGCTTGAATTTATGTTAGTGAAACGAATTTGATGTAAAGTACAACATTGACAATACTTGGAAATCTTTTTCTGTAGGAATAAATGACAGTGAATCGAAAGGTATAGAGTAGATATCTCAGCATGCTATTTTGTGGGCATATTAGTACATCATTGTTAGTTACGAATGCAAAGCATAGATGCAAGTATAAAATGTTCCATTAGAAGATATTGTTTGCAGCGAAGGAAATGAGTTCTTGCTTTAAATTGTACAAACAGGCGCATAGAGCATTCCTCTTGTACTTTCGTCATTTAAAACAGATCAATTACAACGCGATTAATATGTACAATAACTTATAAGAAATTATATGAAAATTTGAAGGCACTGCAATTCCTCCTATGCCTTCACCAATTAAAGAAACAACTTCCACCATATAAATATAAAAACCATGTTCCCATTATTCAAAAGATTGGAAATGCTAGAAAGTCAAATAAAATCATAGTCTCATTTTGCATGATATGTACACTGTATAATACATGTTACACACCGAAGATATTATTGTATGCGTATTTTAAAAAATTTTTATTTAGAGAAGTTCTACGTTTTTTTATAATCAGTATCTCTATTAATACCTCATCTACACCGTCTTGGCTCTCATAACTGGCCCAGGCTTGCCCATCGTCAGAGTATTGAACAATGTACTCTGTCACATACTCGTTAGTATGAGCACGACCTCGTGTGGCAATGCTGCGTATCTCATATCTGTCCCCCAGTTCCACAGTAAGATGTTGATCATAACTGCTAAGCTCTGGTGACCACGTAGAACCTCCTGCAAAGCCCAGCCCCATGTCCATGTGTAAAAGAAAAGAGTGAAAGCAAAGCGGATAAGTAGAAAGAAGAAAGTAATGTTGTGAGTAATTCAATGATCACAGTGACTCCTTTTCTCGTTTTAGTGAACGCGTTTCAAAGACTTGTAGTGCACATACAATGATAGATACGATCGTATTTCCGAGTCAAATAACGTATTTATTGAAAAACAAGTATTTATGACAAGTCCCGTTGTAGAAGAAAAATCATATATGATTGTAATATGCACAACATGTAAATTTGAATTGCCATACAGCCATTCCTATGAGCAGAGGAAACATTCTCAACGTACAACTATGTGCAGAACATGCATTCGATACCTACCTAAAAATCCAGGAAACAGGATACAGTTATAGGAAAAGTTATTCAATAAGTATTTCATTCAGATTAGGATGTTTGATTAAGTAGCAAGCATTGAAATTATACAACTACTACAGTTACTACAATAGTATAGTGCAGCAAGTATTTATTAGCAACGATATTAAGTAACATATACCTTACTAATTAAAATCCCCTGATGGATTATGGCTACATTAGCACAGACACTGATTGGAAAGTGTAGAAGATCGGTTTACCTTAACATTACCATCTTCTTCTTTGTAATCAACGTAGTCCAGGCCATTCGTACCATAACTGATACCATACTCCATAACATACTCTTTTTGCACTGCTCGTCCCTGGGTCGCCACAGCTGTGATGTTCATAATTTGACCCAGGTCGATAATAAGGTACTGACCAAAGTCTGAACTGCTAGCCGTCCATGCGTTTCCGCCTACGCCACAACATATACGCATGCATGCAACTCAAAATGAACTTAAGGAAGCAGCCGTATTTAACAAGATACATCTATCAGAGAATTAAGTATTACAATATTCGTTATGTAGATAACATGAAGCTAGTTTATGATAACACGATTTATAAGGAATTTATCTTCCATTGTGAAATCAAGTTTCTACATAAAGCTTGTAATACTTACATTAAACATAGTCACATTCATTGAGCAATTGAATTAACGAGTTCTTCGATATTATTGTCCGAATTTTATTGTGACAGATCAAAGCAATAATTCTTAAAGAAGAAGTAAGAGAAGACAAGCTGTAAGATTACATGTTATTTTTTGAATAATCCTTTTCCCAAGCAGGAATGAGAAAGTATAACCACTATTACAGGTAAGTGTATTGTAAATACATATATATTTTTACTGTAATACAAGAGTATACATAAGATGGAAACTTATATTTTGTTTACATATGCATATATAATCTCTTTGAGCCAATAAATGAGATTTTAAAGATTTTATTTGAAATATGTAAAGGAAAACCATGTTTAATGTAGGAAATTTATGAATCAAATCATGAGAAATATTATGTAAAAAGGTGAAATAAATTCTATACAACTGTTTCTTATAAATTTATTACACCTACTGACTTAAATTTATATAGTTATATCTGTACATCTTTTTTTTCTATATCTGTACATCTTATCTCTGTTATAAGTAAAAAAATACTGTTGTCCCGTGAAAATGTATAACAATGCACAAAACAACTTGTTTATTAGATCTCAAATACGTTGTGGACGTTCTTCCTTTTCAAAATATTTTTTCATGTATTTTACATCTTCAGAAAACAATGGAATAGTATTTCCAAGAAGTTTGTCACTACTTATAGTTTCGAAGAGAGTATTTCGCGAACGAGGTGCTTTTTTATTTTCTTGTAATGTTACAGCAACACAATGTTTGGAATCTAACAATGTTTCTTCAAATAACCATTCCTGTTTTATACCATTTATGTTCAAAGTTGTATCAGTTGTAATACAGTTACATTTAAGCCTTGAATTTGTTTTGAAGTCAAGCGTTCGGAGATCTATGCTAATACCTATTCCTATGGCTTTTACATAACTTTCTTTTAAGGCCCAATGTCTACAAAACATTTCAATTTGTTCCGAATCGTTCATAGATGATTTTATTTCACTCCATTCCGAGGATGTGAAATTTGTATTCATTATCCGAAAGAACTCGGATAATTTTCTACTACCAGTATATTCCAGTTTCATTACATCTGCACCTAATTTCACATTTCTCGTTTCCCCCACTAATATTGTGTAATCACCTTGATGAGACACATTAAAATTTAAATTTGTAGAAGCTCCACTTAAAATGGGCCTATTGTGCTCATCCCTTGCGAACACTATTTCATTGTAAGGAATATTTCCACACTCGTTAACAAATTTTCTCATCAATAATCTACCTGCAAGAGAAGCCCTAACATCCTTACGAAATACAAATCTTCCTAATCTTTCTTTCTCTTCTAACTGTATGCAAGAAATTGCATATGCAAACTCCTTTTCACTTGGATTCCATTCCATCCATTTAAATGCCCATCGTATACTTTGAAACATTTTTATATAATAAACTTTATCCAATAACTTAATCTATTACTTTCTTAGTAAAATGTTTGTTAAGCTCTTATTTCTTCCTGTTCTTAAAACACTGCTTTTTTAAAAAGTTCTTGTCTCTAAAAAACCAGGCTATTCTTTAGCATCCACCTGAAGCAAATAGACAGACAAGATAATATTACTAGAGACCTTAGAAAATTTATATAAAATACAAAATTAATACTAATTGTTTGAAACAAAAACAGAAATATAGACATCACAAAAGAATGTATTCAGATGTACAGAATAACTGTGCAATGAGTCAGTCAGTTTAATTCAGCTAATTCAGATCTGAAGTTCTTTTAATTGAGGCAAGCATGTGGGTGTTTATAAGATCAACGCCTATTTAACACGCTCTGCTTTTCTAAATATTATCTCTTTCTCAATCTAGAAACACCGATACACACAAAATAATACTTAATACACTACCTGCTTTTTGTTATTAAATTCAATTTCATATACAGATAAAGGGAAGCACTCTTAACAAATAGATATATAGCATTGCCTTTTCAAAGGTATAACATATCTATATATATATTACATATATATAGATATATACAGATGGCAAGCAACAAACTACTGACAGTGAATTCTATATTTTTGTGAAAATAAGTAACATAAGAAATCTTATTAGACAAATCTGTAGAAAAATGTGCAATTCAAAACTATGGAGAAATGTGAAACAAAATTACCATTTAGCCTTGCGTTATATGGACCTCTTCCAGGTAACTCCGACGTAGCTCTCAAATGAGCTTTATCCAAAAGTGGTTCATTGCATTCATCGTCTAATTGAAATAAATATTAGAGTTATAAATAATATTCGTGTAACATATGTAAATAAATAGAATTTGATTTTTGTTATTCACGGGTCTCATAGGTGGTAAATATCGATTACCTCCTAGGCGGCGAGCAAGGACAAAATCGACCCAGGTATTGCAGAAATCCTATTTTACTTATTAAATTCGTAACGGAAGGTGATTTAATACCTTGCACTTACCGCATCTATATAATTATGTTATAATACTTTACTAGTTGAAATGATCATACGACATTTTACGGTAAAATCCAAGATTCAATTTTGCATAACAACTATGCATGAAAATGCTATGGCGGAAATGTTATGGCAGAAATAATCGTTACGAAAATGTTACAATGCATGGGACCGCATAAAATCGCTATCCATTAACGTTCGAAATAACGTTTTTCATTTCGCGTTAATGCTCTCGTCATTATCAGCAACGTAAGCTTGAGTTTATTCAATTCTCAGTTGGTCTGTTTCATGTTAACTTTGACTACGCCATGTTGTAAAGTGGGCTTGGCTATATTGAATCATCTTGGAAAATTGTCAGCGACCTCGGATAGGGGTTTGGTTTCTAGCATCGTAGACAAAACATGAGTACTTACACGCAGATGTGAATGAATTACTTGCAAAAGCGAACACGAGCACAAAACACCTTATAGTATTCATGATATCATTGCCCTTTCAGAGAGCAACTCGTGTAAAACGTTCTCTTGAACAGGACGCGTCGTAAAGTCAAAACTGTTACTGCCTTACTGTTGCTAAATTCCCATCAGTTATGTTACTTTACTGTCACGCACACGACGGCGCTATTTTTATGGCGTTTGCATGGTGGCGGCATCTGTGGCGCCTTCAGAATTATCATCTGCAGATAATCTTGGCGAACAGTTTTACCACATATGGGGTATACGGATAAAATGTGGAAACATATTTGTTCAAAAAAGGACACAAGCATTGAATATGTACGAATTTTTTACTTTAACCTTCGTACGTCGAATGCAGTGTCATTTGCATCTGCGAACGATAAGACGGCTCAGTATGTGATAGCATACCGTACAACGCAGTGTTGACACCAATTTCAATATTATAAGTTAAATTAATCCTACATTCATCTTCAGTTTATGCATGTCACGAAAATTTTTCTTGTTTATAAAATAAATTGCACCCTCGTAATATCCATACCGAGCACTTAATCTCGAGATACAGTAAATTTTCTCACATTGTTCCTGTTAGAAGTCTACTCATATTGTTCCTCTATTATCTAAACGTGTGATGTTGCACGGGACTCGGCTCCTTTGTCTAGAATTCCTGGAATGACAACTCATAATACAATAACATAACCTTTTTAATTTGAACATTTTAAAACTGAATTTTTTTAACAAATTGCTGAAAGTTTTCTGATTAAAATGGTCTATCCCATTTCTCGGAAATACGATAATTTTGGGACACCCTGTACATAGTCTAAGCCCCGGTCTAGGCTCCCAAGAAAGGTTTTTACTTTCTATTCATATGCAAATATCTCGATCAAAATGTAGTTATACAGCTACGAATAATCAATCAGCTGATCTTATCGATGCAATACTCTTCGCCAGCATTGTACATATAATTACATTATAATTACATTGTTATAATTACATATTGTCTGCGCGCCTACCTTCAGATTAAAGAAAAATTTCGTTCGTTCAAGCTAATCGAATCAAATCGATTTCGATTTTCCGTAATATGGAGGACTTGACAGTTGCGTAATCCGTCGTAAAGTTAAAGCGAAAAGAAAACGATCTGTTAAATACGTGTTCGTTAAATTTTAACGATCTATTGTTGCTCGATCGATGATAATCACTTGACAAGTACTAGATTAATAAACAGATTATGGACAACGAATTCGATTCCAACGACGAGGTGGAGAAAGATGAACTAGCGGACGACGACGACGACGACGACGACGACGAGAAAGGACAAGGAGAGTTGAAGGACGAGAAGACTGCGACACAACGGAAAGATGGCGACGATGTAAATCGTTTCGAGAGTTCAGCCGACGTCTACGCGTTGTTCGGCCAGGATGTCGATGACGATACGAAACTCAATAAAGAATGGGACGTCGAGGAATGGGAACGATGTTGGTTTTAATATTTTCGAGTAACTTAACGTTTCGCACGCGATGGAAACGATAAGATTGGTTTTTCTAGCTCCGTCCAAAGAAACGATCGACTCGGAGAAGGAGGCGAAGGAAATGGCGTATCTCGATGTCGAGCACGAGCCGAAAGAAAGACGCAGAACCATTTACGAGCTGGACTCGTATTCCTCCACCGGTCTCTCGGCCGTGGACGTCCTCAAGCTTAGCTCGATGGACATTGAACCTGAGCCTCGAAAAGAAGTTCGATACTCGATATCATTGGTAGGGACATAACTCGAACAATCTTCTAATACGTATAGGGGAAGGTCCCCAGGCTCGACGCTCACTTTTTAATGAGATTTGGTGCGGTAATAGAGCCGGTAGAGACCGCGCGGTCGCGATCAGGTAGGACGCCCTATCGCTGCGTGCGGGGCACCCCCCACTCCCTGCCGCGCGGTGCCACGCTCTGCGTAATTCAGCGCCGTCTTTCTGCTCTCTTATTAGCAACTTTAACATTAATTATCTCGAAAACTATAAGCCGTCTGCCCCTAGAACCGGGTATCGTGGGATTCAGCTTTACAAGCTCTATCATTTTACCAAATCTCATTGAAAAGTGAGCGACAACCCTGGGAACCTTCTCTTATTAGGGGACGGGTTCTTCCTTCTCTCTCCGAGATAGTCAATTTCAATTAACGCTTTAGCTACCGACGCGACAATTACACGGCAGGATAGCCTTAGTTACTCTCGGCGAAACAAAATTTTCTTATTTGTCTTGAAGTATTCTCCAGGATTGTAACAGCGGCTGAAAAGAAATCTGTGCCAAATCTTAGATTTACGTTCAACGTACAAAATTCGCTGTTCAATTACAGATTGGATCGTTTTACAGGGCATGCCAGGCATAGCTAGGATAAACTTATCGCCGTTGACGCAAAAGGTGATCGGTTGCGTGATCGGGGAGAACGTCAGCACCGAGTATCCGTGGATATTCGTCCGGAAGGAGATAATCGAGGACAATATAGATCTTCACGAAGAGAGCAGCGACTTTTTGCCGGTGAAAGACGAGATACGCGAGTTCGCTGAGCAGAAGATACTTATCGGCTACATGCCGTCGCTGACGCAGGAGGGCCAGTTCTACATTTGTTTGACCATCGAGGGACAACGCGCTATGGTGGAGTACATTAAAAGGCAGAGGGAGGAGCACGAGAACCGTGTCAGAAACACGGTTTACAAACCGCTGGGCAAATGGCAAGAATTGGGAAGCGCCGACGAGATTGAAACGACCATCGTTGCCAAGACAAGGCCGCTCCTGGAGATCGAGGTAGAAGACGGGAACAAGGCGCGTAGGGGCGAGACGCGAGAACGGGAATAAAACTGTGTCGCTCCTCCTGCTAGTTTGTGTCTACGGCGGACGTGCTCAACGTGGACCTGGATTTGGTGGACAGAACGGCGAACGAACAGAAGGACGGGTACATCGAGCTGCTCCCTTATCGCGAGGTCTTTCAAAATATTTCCCGGAGGTTGATGTGCGCTGCTACCCAAGTAACGCCGCAGAATAGAGACTCGGAGACGCAGACGGTGATTTCGACGCCGGCGAATCGCTGGACCCAATATGGATACGGGTACGAGTCTCCGGACATTTCTTCCTTCACCGAAGAGCAACTGGAACAACTGAGAATCTTCCTGCACCGTTTCACGGACGAAGTGTGCGACGAAGTCTGTTGCTATGAAAACACAGCGTTACTTATATATTGATATTATATATTAATATTGTATGCATTAATATATATTATATATTAATATTGTAAACATTAATATATAATATTAATATTGTATGCATTAATATATATTATATATTAATATTGTATACATTAATATACGTTATATATTAATATTGTATGCATTAGTATATATTATATATTAATATTATTATATATATAGACGATCGTACCTGGTGTACATTTACAGCTTCTATTAAACGCCACATGGGACATCTATTCGAACGATTACATGAATCTGGTGCGCGACTCAAGGGATACACAATGGTCCGTACCTAGAATTTACAAGGAAAACCTGAGCTTTCACGACGGTACCCGTGTGGTGGAGAAGGTGATCAACGACATCGCGTGGCATCCGTTATGGACCGGGGTCCTGTTTGCTGCCTACACGCGGTACTCGAAGAGTCATCGCCTAGTGGGCCCCAAGTCGCACGAAGATGTGAGCGCAAACACGCATGTCAGAAAGCATTAACTTTCATCTCTTCTTCTTCTTCCGTTCCTCTTCGATCCGCCAATTCAGGTACTGAAAGCCGACGACGATAATTACGTTCTGACATGGTCGTTTAACGACAGTCTAACGCCAAAACTGGTTCTCGAATGCACAAGGGAGGTGACCGCGGTCGCCTCGAACCCGTTGGACGCAAACCTGATTGTAGGGGGCTGCGCGAACGGCCAGTTAAGTAGTTAACACGACTCTTTTCAGTTGAACAAATTTAATCTTCCACTCGAACAGACTTGAGCATCGTTCGCTTGTATTTCTGTAGATCGTGCTGTGGCATATCCCCGGGAAGATCGAGCAAATTGAAACGGTGCCGGTGAGCACACCGACCCAGATAAAGTACAAGCTCGCCATAAAGAACTTGACCACATGGCTGCGGCAAGTGTCCGCCACTTACGTTGTCAAGCCCACCCTGTTGTCCTCGCTGAAAGAAAGCCAGAAAGGTGAAATAACCAATATAACGTGGCTCTCGCCTTACAGCACGGTCGACGAGAACGGTGTAGTATCGTCGTTGCCGGAGGACACAAGCGTGGACGATTTGAGCACACAATTTGTTACTTCGAGCACGGACGGCACGATAGCCTTCTGGGATTTAAAGTTAGCGTGATCCGCCTTCGTTCGACATATCGTTGAGCTCCTATTCAATCGTCGTTATCGCAATTTACCCGAAGGCGACAGAAATTCCAGAAAGAAACCCAACGGGTCGCCAAGAAGAAGGCGGCGATGAAACGGCCGGAAACGCTGCAACCCTTGTCGCCGTATAAACATCTCGATCGCATCTTCCGGCCGCACTATCTGCTGATCGTCCATCATCCCGACGTCAGCCGTAGAGTCGTGATCTCCACCCTCACCATTTTCGTGCCGGAGTTCCAGAAGCAACGCGTCGATCTTACCCAGTCGTCGAAGGACGTCACCGTTAGAAGATACTTTAAAAATATAGTCAAGAAGCCGGACTACGAAATGCAGCCGAGCATGTTTCTCGGCACCGTCGAAGGTAGTAGAAGTTCATTAAGCCAGGCGTCCCCGTACGCTCCGGCTGGCCTGGCGGCAAACTAACGAGATCAAAACGTAAGAATATGCGTTTGAATACACTGTACAAGGTGATTTCGGTTGCGTCAAGTGGAGAGGATACGATTTCTCCACCGGCATGACCGTTAACACCGAAGTCTGCGAGTGGTCTTGGTGCAGAAAGGTGCACGACGGCCCGATAACTCACGCGATCCGGTCGAGGATCTTCAGCGATTTAATAGCGACGATAGGCGGCAAAATATTTGCCATTTGGAAGGAAACCTTAGACGCCCCGTTGATATGGAAGAAATCGACCGTCGGGTAATTAACTAATAAGTCAGTCGAGGCTCGTTAGAAAAACAAAATGCGCTGAATACATTTTTTGGGAGCCCGAGATGGTCCCATTTAGTGAACCAATAATTCCCGCTGAAGATTATTTCGATTGCGATGTTTCTAAATTTTGCAATTTATTCAAATGCGAGACATTTTGCGGGACACCCTGTACTAATGTGCTCATGGATACAGGTACACGGCTGTGTTTTGGGGACGTTCGCGTCCCACGGTTCTGATCCTGGCTCGCATGGACGGCACCGTCGAAATTTGGGACTTTTTCGTTAAAAGCGAAGAGCCATGCATCACGCAGAGCCTGTCCGGTCGCATCATCACAGGGATATACATACACCTGTTGGACTTGGACCCGTTGTGCGTAGGATTCTGCGATTACAACGGCACCTTGCGGATGTTTCATCCTCCGTCCACGTATCTCAAATACGACGGAAGCAACGAACGATGGATGGCTCATTTCATCAAGCAACAACTGCTAAGGGTAACGATTTCAGCGGCGCGTCGCTAAACGATGCGCGCGCGACACAATGCGTGCACATGTACTCGTCGTTGATCGGATCGTTTATTTCCAGACAGAGAACTGCAAGAATTGGCGGAACTGGTGGCGCGAGACTCACCGCGAGATCATCGAGGAGAAACAGAGACTGATGGAGCGGATCACGCGGAAAAAGGAGCTGGAACAGGAAGACAAAGCCGGGGGTCAATTAACGGAGACAGACACGGCTGCGGTGGAAGTAACAAAGACGTCTGTACGCGACACCGACGAATACGCTTCGACGTGTACTCGCAATCAGAGAGTCGTTCGACTTAAATGACATTACTTAAAGAAATTGCCCACGTATACATATGTAGAAACCGTGGGAGATGATCGAGGAAGCGCGCGCGCGATGGAAGCAGATGCAGCTGAGACGCATGCAGCATGTGCTCCTGGAAAAGAAGGGCCTGAGAAAGGATGAGCTGGAAAGGCAACGCGAGCCAATACTCAGGATGCGCGAGGAGACCAAGAGGAGGAGGGAGAAGTTGAAGGAGAAGCTGGATTCGCGGGCCAAGATTTTCGAGCACACCGTGAGCGTATTTTTCCCGGAACGTCCGACTGAGGTCAAGCCTGTGTCGGTGAGCTCGATAGGCTCGGGTATCCCAAGGAGAACCCGCATCGATACAGCGCTGGTGGATAAGATATTGCAAGGAGAAGTATTACAGGTGAATCAGCGAGGAAGGCGCATTAGATCTATGAGAAATACGATGCTCGATGACCGAGACGTTTCCGAGATTGATATCGCTGATCGGTAAAACGTTGGCACAGCTCTTCCCGAGGCGCGTATTCTTTCCTTGTTCTTGGAAAATTCATAATTAAAAATCTCCGGTTTTCCTACCGTCGCGGCCCCATTGTCATTCCCAGCATAAATCGCGACCGATTGTTCGTTGCTAATCAAACTAAATATACGTATCTCTCTGTTCGTTCCAAGGCTACCACTTATGTCGATCCGGACGAGCTGATCGTGCAGCATTTCGTGGAGACGCAGTCGAAGATGTTGACGTTCCTGCGAGAAAACAAGTTGACTCACACGTTCGATTGGCGGAAAACGTTGCGCGAAGGAAAATCGAGGCGCGTTGACATGGATCACATGCTGGAGCACAACACTTAAACGGCGAAACGGGAATGCAAAAGAGACAGATTGTTGTTCCGTTCGAGAAGAAGCATCGTGGTTTATCTGTATGCGCGTGCAATCGCTCGTGCGACCCGACACTAGATGGCAATTGGAATATGTATTACGAACTCAATGCCGCCGTGATTGGCTCTGAAAGACTTCCAGCAAAAGAAAGAAAACAGTTCCAGTTCTGAGCTATCTCATTTTCGGATATGCTCTCTGTTTAAATCGTTCTGTGATCGCAGAACATCGTCACCGACGTACGACTCTCAAGAGTAACTTCCTTCCACTCCGTGTATCCTTCATTTTTTACAACCTGGAATAACCTTGAACGACTTGTCGAGGCTAACGAGGCAGCAAACGGCTTATAACACACAGATCCGTATCCATTTGCTCCTGACACTGTCGGAACTGTTTACCAATTGGATCAGGGCTGTCTAAAATGTGGCCAGGAGGGCCACAACAGTTCTTTAGACGATGCTATGGACAATTATACAGGGTGTTCAACGAAACGGTCGCACCGATTTTTAAGGGATTTACGCTAATCTGACGAAAAAAAATGTTTGGAATACAAATTAATGTGTACTTCGAGGAATACGAATTGCAGAAATAAAAATTTCGGAAAATCGTTTCATTCGATAAAAAACACATGGTCACCATGACTTTCTTAAACGGCACTACGTATTTTTAAACATACATGCAACTCAGGATCAATATTTTCGTTACCGATTGACAGCAATATATAATTAGATAAATGCTCTTACATAACTTGTACTGAATTATTGAGTATAACGCTATTTCAGCAACAGATCGGATCAGAAGTTAATTGTGTTTACTGTTTACATTCCTCCTCGAAATATGATTCACCCTTAATCGCATGTACAGTAATGTCTCTCTAATTGACGCTCAGATTGTCCACAAAAATGGACAATTTCGGAAGAGGAGATACGAATTGTTCGAGCCTTGTGACTCGTTTTTTTTATGGTTATCGATCGTCAACAATTATAAAAAAGAGCTGCAACGCTCGAACAATCGTATCTCCTCTTCCCAAATTGTCCATTTTCGTGCACAATTTCGGCATCAATTAGGGAGACATTACTGTACTGTCCGTTGCCGGTAAGAAGTCCGCTGAGAAAAGTGTAGGACTGATCCCCACCAATCCGCCCGTTCTAACACTCTCGCAGAAGTAGGGTGAACGCTTGTTGGCAGGAATGATCCCTTTCTGTTAGAGCCTAAGTGCGCGCGACACCGAATATCCATGAAACGAGGAACTCGAGTAAATCGAAAACAAACAACGCCTCCTTGCTCCCGTCAGCGTCTCGCACCCCCCGTGGACGTCATTTTCGGCTGGGAACATTAGAGACGCGTGTACCTGTGCTTTATGCGAGTGTGTACGCCTCTCTGTGTGTGTGTATTATTTACGCGATCATGGTCAAGCGAGACGTGCGACGGGAATCAGAAGGCGTAGAACAATCGAGACAAATTGTGACAGACGCAACAAATAGATGCAAGAGCGTAGACTTATCTCTCTAAAGCATTAATTTCAGATTCTTCTGATAATCACGTGATTATTTGTAATTACTAATTGCTAATTAGCATCTTGATTAACTTTTCATTGGATTACGCAACAAACCTGCTGTACTGTACTAACATTATAATTATGTTGTATCGTATGATATCTTACGCCTACGTTAAGAACCTGAAGATAATTATCGGGAAACGAGAAATTACCTGAAATCGCAAACTAAATGACGCAAGGGGCAGGCGGCAAAGGAAAACGGTTGCCCGCTCCGCCAAGCCTCTTCAAATTTTCATTATATAATAATATATAATAATTATATATAATAAATAATATATAATTTTGATTATATTATTGCCCAAGAACAAGAAACCCGATTAGGCGGAACGGCCGACCGATTCCCCTTTGCCCCTCGCGTCGATTAGCTAGTTGGTCTTCTCGTTTATCTGTAGAAGCGATTTCGTGAAGTCATAGAAGAGTGGGGGAGGGGGACTACCCCCCTTGTCCTTCTACCGAAACGGCGGACTTCTGAGCAAGTGACAGTACAGTCAATTCTTCCTAATTGACCCACAGCTTGGAAACAAATATCGACAATTTTGTAAGATTGTATTATTAATTATTAGAGCCTTGCGGCTTGTTTTTATTTACAGTTGTTGACAATCGATAACTACAAAGACGAGCCACTTCCCAAATTGTTCATTTTTGTGTACAAGGTGAGGGTCGATTAGAAAGAATTTACGGTACGTAGTGTCGCGTCAACCATGAATGGTGGGGGGTCGCTGGATGGAGCAGAGGAGCCGGAGAAGGGGAATCGCGGTGGCCCGCGGGCCGCATTTTAGACAGCCCTGATTTTGATGTTGGAAATTTGTCTTGGAGTTTCGACGCGTCATAAACCGTAGCTCCGAACGGTGATCTCCACGAGGACCCAAGCTAAAAAAGTTATTTGAAAATTTTTTGCGAGAACGGTCAGTAACAAGATTCTGGTTATTATTCAAATTGAAGCTACTAATCGCGAAGTGTAAAAGAAATTGTTATAATACACCACATGATTAAAGAGCACAGTAAAATTCTGGAAAGTATATACAGTTGTTATCGCTGACGTACAGGAGCTAGGTCAGGATTAGGTCAGGATTAGGTTGTGGGAAGTACAGGCGATATCGCGACTGTATTATATAAATCTTAATGTGTAATTTTTAAACAAGATAACACTACTATGTGCAATGCAAAAGGAAACTAAAAATAAAGTGCACCTGCAAACGAATTTGCAACTTATAACGTGGACGAGAGCTTAGAAAAGACTGTAAGGCGAGAATGGAATAATATTGATACTGCAACATTGCAAAAATTGATTTGCAGTAGTTAACCATAATAATATTTATAGTAATTAACCGTAAAGGTGAAAATATTAAATATTGGTATTACAATAATTTTTATAAGATTTCAGTTGACTGTCCCTATGAAAATTTCACTGTACAGTCACGCGTTTCATTATTTCACATTGTTTGTGCAAACAATAAAGAAACTTGTTCGTTTGTTAAGTTGTCATTTCATTCGCAATGCTTAGCTTATTCTTACTAAAAAAAAATATTATTATCCCTTACAAATATTAAGTTACAAATTTCGTTCGCTGTATGTATGTATTATGTAACCAATGTTGTATTGGTAAAGGAACTCTGATCTTTAGTGGAATAAGAATGGGTGGGGTTGAATCTCGTTGAAACAGATTTCTATATAAACAAGTCTTCGACCATCATCCGACCAGTTACCACGAGCATCTGTGTTTGCGGTGAGCACTCCTTTCACTCGAAACGTTTTCACTATTTTCGCCTAAGGCGTAAGACCCGTGTCACACGAGGCGGATTGGTATCGCCATACGCGTGCGACGGGCGACCATACATGCGATTCAATGGGAGCGTTCAGACGGCGATCCCCAGTCCTGCGACACTTTTCGCGTTGAACGCTGCGTCGTATACGCGTATCGCAAAAAGCAGGTATCCTCGCCTGAAACGGGTCTCTCTCTCAGGCTTTAAGGGCACTGACATTACGGATTGCACTTTGTTCTTTTTGTTCTCCCGACAATTCGGTGCGGTATTAATCGGAAAGAATTTATTTGTCATTCTTCCAGAGACTTCAAAATGAATCGTTTGATGCTGTTACTGGTCACGATAACCGCAGTCTCTGCGGGAAAGGTGAGCACACGAGAAACATTTTACATTCGAATCTATTGCGTTGCTACTGAATTATCGTCGTCGCTACGAATACTTAACGTTAAAACGTAATATCAGAAATTGAGGGTCTTTTCTTTTTTTGCTCCTTCAATCAAAATTGTACATTTCTATATATAATTATATATACATATATACTATATATACTATATATATACTTATATACTATAAATAAGTTCAAATCTGGAAGATCGAACCTTTATCATTTCGAATGATCTCGTATAATGTCGCTTTCACGTTCGTACTTAAAGCTGTGTGGGTGTTCGTTGCATTAGATGTATTGCGGAATCGTAAAACTGATCGCCGAGAATCCGAAGCAAGCGGACGTAACCGGTGACATCACGTTCATCCAAGATGTAGGCAACAGTACGGTGCATATAATTGGTACGATAAACGGCCTTACCCCAGGTAAGCACGGCTTTCATGTACACGAGAAGGGAGATATGCGGCAAGGCTGCATATCTGCGGGATCACACTACAATCCCACTCAGGTACGTCACAAAAATTGTAAATCGTTCTCGATAATAGAGAACGATAAGAACGATTAGAAGAATAAGAATAAGATTAAATATAATGTATATAATATTAAATATATATATATAATTATAATATAAATATATAATTTATATATATAAATATATATATATAATTTAATATATAATATTAAATATAATATATATAATAATAAATAAAGAAGATGTTCGAGTAGTTCTATTTATCGAAAATTTACATTTCCAGCAATCCCATGGCGGACCAACCGCCTCAGAGAGACACGTCGGTGATCTGGGCAACATTGAGGCAGACGCGCACGGAATAGCAAATATAGACATTTATGACAACATAATTACTCTCAATGGAAGACACAGCGTTATTGGACGTTCCGTTGTAGTTCATGCTGGTGAAGATGATTTAGGAGAGGGGCACGAATCGGACTCTCTCACTACCGGGCACTCCGGTGGACGCGTAGCTTGTGGCATTATCGGTATTTTGCAAACACCGTAAATAACACTTTTTGCGAAATCCTTCACGAATTATTGATATAATTGTAAATTGAACTGTAGTTACGAAAATAAAACAGATTCGTCTCATCTATGTATACGTACTTTTAAGGTTTGTTTCATTGAAACGTTCCTTCGTTTGTTTCTTGTGCCATATCGCAACAGTAACAACATTATTTTACTTGAAATTTATTTGAAACATTAAAACGATGCTTTTGGTAGCATGTGAGAAACAATCATCGGGAAAAGTCTACGAAAAATAGAACTTGGCCTCGGCGGGGCTCGGACGCGTCAAAAGGAGCGACACCTTAGCCGCTATGTTAAACAATGCTTGCGACAAGTTTGCGATGAATTTAGTAATATATCGAATACAACATAATTCTCGTTTTTATACATTTTGAACTTTATTTCTTACGTTCACAAATTACTTATCTGAACATAAAAAAGGTTTAATATTACATGATATACTTATTAAGAAGACATACGCAAAAAAAACGTCAAAAATTCAGTTTTCATTATTTTTCTTTTTTACTTTAACTTGCAACAAAATCTGAAAGAAATTGACAACACAGATTGTGGTATACTAAATCTGTGATTTTTCGATTTTCTTTTTTGGTTTCACATTTTTGGTAACAATAGCTTACAATAAAAAAGAATCTGAAAAAATTCTCTAATATGCGGCCTGTGGTTCAAAGTGTGCCACATTTTTTTCAGAATCTTAAAAAGCGACCGAAAGAAGAGAACAGTCGGAAAAGAGCACGATCTAATTAATCCTGTAACTACCCTTACGGGCATGCTACGGGGTTAGAAATTTGGCACGAAAGCAAATTGTTGCTTTTCTTAGTGAATTATCGAACGGTGTACTATTCTTTAAAAAAAACCTGTGTAGAGTACGAGATTCTTAACCTTTTTTGCCAGAACGGAAAAGAGAAAAGAGAGCGCGTTCCGTCTTAATAATTTGGACCTAATTGGTATTATGTAAAACTATAGGTAGCAACAACACAAATATTTTTAAGTCAATATTTTAAATATTTTTAAGTAACGCTTATTATGAACATACATTTGGAACAACGGCTCACAGAGGAGAAGAACTGTTTTGTGTGTCAGGAATATATTCAATCAGGTAGAAATAATGAAAATAAAGATGTAGAAATTTATTGAAGAAGATATACAACATTAAACTTAATTATTAGAAATATACCTTCCCATTTTGAGAAAGAAAGATGATATTGAAATATAAATATAAAAACATATGTACATACACGCACCGCCCCCACAATTTTATTATTTACTACTTTATTATTTAATAAGTTTTAATTACATGCATAATCTAAAAGTTACTTGAGGTGTGCGAATTATATGACTCACCCTGTATACAGTAAATTCTCCCCCGTTGTCACTCAGCTTGTAAAAAAAAAATGGACAATTTCGGAAGAGGGGACACGATTATTCGAGCCATGCGGCTCGTTTTTATAGTTGCCGATTATCAACAACTATCGTTATCGTAACTTTATAGAAAATATTAATCTTATGATTAATTTAGAAGATAGGAATCGTGATGTATAATGTCTACTCCATGCACCTAAATGTCATTAAAACTTAGGCGAAGTGGCTAATTATTATGATCAATGAGATATGTCTCGACAATTTTTTCCCATAACGGGTTATGTACATACGTACATTCATTGCAGATTACTAAATCGAGTTGAATGTAAATACAATTGGTATATCTGAATAAAATCGATAAGTAAATATCGATCGTGATTGAAGAAGTATGAAACCAAAAATTTTGAAAAAATAATTTATAATTTACAGTAATGTTATATGTGAAAAGTAGTGATATTAAATAATTTTTCTTAAAGATAGCAGTTCCAGTGAATTAATCTCGCAGTTAGATCAATGTTCCAAAGACATCAATACCGCCAATAAACGTTGTCAAAATGATATTAATTTATTATTAATAATGTCAATATTAGTAATAAGATAATGTACAAGATTTTGTACAATATATTATCGTGATATTCTTTATGTTATATTAATTATGTTGTACCATGTAATTTTAGGTTAGAACGATTCATGTATGTATATGTTACAACATTGTACATACATACCGTTCTTGTTCTTCGTGTGCTTTAATTGTTTTGTTAAACATTGATGTCAAATGACAACGTCTAAGGAGCAGTCACACACATTAAATACGAAATCAATTTTCGTCACATCATTAATAGTAAGTGAAGCGGATGTTATTTCAATGTTTAAATTTATTCATGGAAATTAATACCATATCTTCAATGGAAAAATCTCTAGAAACTGATATAATTTGTTTTGTTCTGCAGACCTAGCAATTCTAATGAGAGTTTAATATGTTTATTGATCGTTACGTTTGTTAATAGGCTGGAGGATTGGCTGGTACATCTGTTGATGTAGCATTGTATCCGTTAGATACATTGAAAACACGATTACAAGCCAAACATGGATTCAAAAAAGCAGGAGGATTTTCTGGTCTTTATAAAGGAATTCTTCCTGTAATAATTGGTTCAGCACCAACCGGTAGCTATTAATAATTCAATATATATATATATATATATATATATGTATATAATATGCTCTTATTATACAAGGAATTCTCCAAATATGATTCTTTTCTCTATGATAATTTAGCATCCTTATTTTTTGTAACTTACGAGGCTATTAAAAACATAGCACAATGTAAAGTTCCTGAAAAATATCATAGCTTGGTACACATGAGTGCAGCATCTTTATCAGAGATGGTAATGTTTGTTAGAAATAAGCATTATCAAAACTATAACTATTAAAAAACAAAGTTGCAAATTAACATTTACATATCTCTATCTTAAATGAAGGTAGCATGTGTGATACGGGTACCCATAGAAGTTGTGAAACAGAGAAAACAGGCTTTAGTATTAAATAAAGGTGATTTAAATCTCCGATTATTGTACCGTGGATATTGGAGTACAGTATTCAGAGATATGCCTTTCAGCTTAATACAATTTCCATTGTGGGAATTCTTTAAAAAAGTATATAGCTCGGACAGAGGTAGAGATATTTTTCCAGTTGAGAGCGCTATATGTGGAGCAATTGCAGGTTTATTATTTGTCTACCTATTTATTAATGAGATTTTACATACTATACAAGATGTTTCTTATAAAATGATCAAGTTTTCTATATAATTGAGTGTACAAAAATAATTAGGTGGTATTTCTGCTGCCATTACTACACCTCTGGATGTTATAAAAACAAGAATAATGCTTGCTCATAAAAGTACAAATTCTTCAGATTTGAAAATGTTGTACGTCCTACAAGATGTTTATAAAGAGAAAGGTCTAAATGGGTAAGATAACTTTTGTAATCTTTGTCTCTAGAAAATGTAAACGCATTAACAATTTTACAGGCTTTATGCTGGTATTGGCCCTCGAGTAATGTGGATTACTTTAGGAGGTTTTATCTTTTTTGGTACTTACGAAGAAGTGAAAAGTTTCGTGACAAAATATATATCACATCTTCATATATTCTATAGGGAAAGTACTATTTAAATATATTTAGTGATATACATAATTGTATAAAAAAATATATTAACAAAGAAATTTATACAAATGAGTAACTATGAATATAGATTAACTTTTTCAGCAGTTACAAAATATATTACAATATATAAAAATATATCATACTTACTCCTAATAATCGTATAAACGTCTTACGTATAATATTTAATTTTCACAAATATTGAAAACAAATATTATATATTTTATTTTTAAAGTTTAGACTTCAGACTTTGCATTAATTTTTCTAGCTTCATTGCTTTCTGAAGATTGCCTTGGATTTTTAATTTACCCATCATAAATGCCGATGCTGGATTTAATTTCCCTAAACGTTCACAGATATATCACTATCAAATCACACATATGATCAATAACAAATTATATGATCACTTTACCTACTGGAGGCCTATCAACAGGTTTTTAATGACTGTGCCGTGTCTAAAAAGATTGTTATTCTTATTGAAAAATTAATTGAGGAACCTTCAACTGTTAGCTCCCGATTTTTAGAAAACTGTTAAGTCGACACCAGTAGGTAAAGTGTTCACGTAGAATTTTAGTGAAATTATATACCAGTGAACATTGCAAAAAAGTTCTGCGAATCCATGGTTAATGTTGCATCTGGTGGCTGGTTTGGTTCTCCTTTTCCCGTTGAACCTTTACCAGTTCTAAGATCCAAGTACCATGTTCCTTCCTCATCGCCTGCAATATTTACACCAAACATTGCAATGAAAAAGTAAGATCTTGTTACAAGGTGTAGACTATTAAAAGTTATTCTTTACCCTTAACATTAAATTGAAATATAGCTCCTGTTTTAGTTACAAGATCGCTAGTTAAATTGGCTTCAATAGCAGTAAATATCTGTTCAATTTTTAAATTTGATTTATTATCGCCCTGTGCACTTTTAACAGCACGCTTTTTAATCAACTGATCTTGTAGGCTCAACCCATCAAGATTATCTTCCAAGAAGAAATCTAACATTAAATTATCTTTGTTTTCTGGAAAAATAAAATAATAATTTTATACAAAATTTAACAATCATTTAATATGAATAAATAACTATATTCCAGTATCCTAATAAATATACCTGGATTACAGGCATAATTAGTAAAGTCAGTGATTCCCTCAGTTTCTAATATTTCCTCGTCGATCAAATATTTTCCAGTGATAGATTTGCTATCTTTACAAATTAATGCATAAACAGCGTCTCCCATTATTTCAGGTTTGCGACTATAATTATTTGAATCAGGACCACTTAACATTTCAATTGCAGCGGTATGAATAGCTTAAATGAAAATAGGAAGTATTCGCTTATTAAAGAACTACTAGATGAAGAAGAACGAGAAAAAAATGTACCAGTTTTTGGCCAAACAGCATTCACAGCAATGCCATCTTGTTTAAACTCTTCTGCCATACCAAGAACACACATTGACATGCCATACTTAGCCATGGTGTAAGCGACATGATTTTTAAACCATATTGGTTTCATACTTAATGGTGGACTTATATTTACTATATGTGGATTCTTGCTCTTCATCAAATACGGCAAACAAACTTTGGATCTACAAATGATAACATTGCACAGTTATCTTAAATATGTCTTGACATTTGGTAATACTACAATGGTGTTAATTGTTAATTACACTAGTGAAAGTATTATAATTACACCAGAAATGTTCCTCTGGCATTGATGTTGTTCATAAGATCGTATCTTTTCATATCTGTGGCTAATGTGCCCGTTAAAGAAATTGCACTCGCGTTATTAATAACTACATCAATTCCACCAAATTTATTAAATGCTTCCTGTACCGCAGAAACTACTTGTGCTTCGTCCCTAACATCTACAATGCACGGTAATGCTTTTCCACCTGCTTCCTCAACTAAAACACATTATCATTTCCATTGTCATTTTTCTATAAGAACATGTCTCTGTTAAATAATGTAATATTTAGAATTGTTCCTTCAAGCGTAGTGATTAAAACATTTACTTTCTGCGGCAGCAGTGTATATCGTGCCTGGCAATTTCGGATGTGGTTCAGCAGTTTTGGCAGCGATAACAATATTTGCTCCATCCTTTGCAGCTTTTAAAGCAATACTTTTCCCAATTCCTCTTGATGCTCCAGTAATAAAAATAGTGCGGCCAGCAAGTTTCCTGTAATAAAACGTATTCCACACATTAAGTAAATACAGATTTTATGCACTTATCACAAAAAAGGAATAGATGAAATTTGAGAATATTGCTGAACTTCTTTCAATTTATTAGCATTACTAAGCGAGATAATACATTTTTATTTAATTCCTGTTTCTTTTAATTTATCAGCAATCAAATAATGACATTGCAATAATTTTCATAACTTATGTTACTGTTCGTATTACGTACCCCGTATTGATCATATTGTAAATAGAACAACAAACTGTCAAAAGTAATGGCAATTCTTGTCAAGTTATTCTAATAGCTCACTCTTGAACGATGAATGGCGAACTAAAGAAGTTTTTATAGAGAAAACCAAATTATTTTCTACCGATTAAATTCGGTACAACGTCCAATTCTTACATATGTACACACGCATTGTATATGTATATATTATGTATAACTGAGTTGATATGTAGTGTATGTACATTCTTTCTTCACATATACGTGTACAATATGTGCTATTAAACGTGAATGTGTTTAACAAGGCGGTTTCAATTTCAAGAACAAATTTCACCTTTCCATCGATCTCTCTATGTACATATATGCAAACAAATGTACATGCATATGTATGTCAGGTCATTCAGCAATTTGGTAACAGGCGGGTGGAAACCTGAAGAGTGATACTTCAGAACAATACAAACGTGCATTAATATTTCGCCTTAATTTTGTTTAAAAGTCGACCAATAGCGATACATCAACCAATTTTCAGCTTCGTTCGTTCCTGATATAAACGTGTTTCTATTGGTGTAACTTGAAACTTGAGATCTAAATTATTTAATTTTTGCAGTTCATTTCACTTTGTTCTGAAGAATCATCTTTTAAATTTTCTTTTACTTTCAGCATATGTTACACAGGCAAAAGGGGAAACGAATATTGCATAGAAATCCAGAGCGAAACAAATTGCAATGCAGTTTCTTTCTTCGATACAACATAGTTATATGTTGTATGTATCTACATATGCGTGTACACTCTGTGTATGTCATACCCTTGTTTGTGCAACTTGGAATTTTTGAATGGAAGTGTAGAAAACTGGTGGTGAACAAAATATGAATATGATTCGATAAAAAAACTGAGTTTACTGGCAGCTATAATTATCGAAAACTTTGGTCATAGTCAACGATTAAAATATAACAAATAAATGTTACCTGGCTTACTATCTTCTGTTAAAAAATATTTGTAAAAAGGTCATGTTTATACCGGTTAACAATGTGCGGTATATTCTGTCATGTTTCGCGAAGCTATAAAAATAATTCAGAAGTTTCCAGCGAGGTAAATATTATAATACTCTTATTAAATCAATTGTTAAGCTTACAATTTATTTAGTGTAACGTAAATAATTTCTCCTTAGATTATTATTTGAAAGAAAACTATTAGATTCTTTTATTAGCTGCATTGTTGCTAAAAAATATACAAAGATGTATGATATTAAATTTATATTTTGCTAGTGGTATAGCTGTAAGGATTTAATAGTCGCACGTGGTCCTGATAATGTTGCTGAAAGAATTGAACGTTTAAACGAAGATTGGTCCGGTCATTTTGCTGCCTCTGTATTATGGATGCAAGGTTTCAATTTAAGTGTACAACCAATTGTAGATTCTACCGGTAATATTCTTCTATGGAACGGAGATGTATTCTCTGAAACACTGGTAAATGCCTTATATTATTACCACAACAAGTTATCGGATTGCTAATCTTATTTTTAGACGTTTGTATCTAAAATTTTCAATTATATTTATTATTTTAGGCTGAAGATAATATATGCGACACAGATGTGATATTGGCTTCTCTGCAGTCTTCTTCAAATATAATGTCCGTATTTCAAGAAATTCATGGACCGTACAGTTTTATATATTTCCAAAAATCTAATAACTGCTTATACTTCGGTAGAGATATCATAGGACGGCATAGCTTGCTTCTGAAAACGAATACAGATGAAAATAATTTAACTTTAATGTCTGTTGGTGACAAGCGGATTAAAGGTATCATAGAAGTTCCTGCGATCGGCCTTTTTATGATGAACTTGTCGAGCCCTAGGGTAAATCTGGCATGTTATCCATGGAGAAAACCAGACTTGAGATTTACAGATGTTATCGAAGCATTAGAAACACATTTAGATGTAGATATTGATATAAAAGAGACTATAATTGATTCTGACATGACAACCAATATTCACTTACATCCTAGTATCAAAGACCTGGAATGCTTTGAAAATAGTTTTTTCTTTGAACAATCTTACAAAACTTTAGAGTATTTGCTACAAAACAAAGATATACATGAAAGAGTAGATCGTTTGTCACAGCTTCTTCATAAAGCTGTAGAAGTTCGAATAAAAAAACAGCCGAAACTTTGTAAAAATTGTATCAAATTAGTTTTAAACGGAGAAAATGTTGGGTGCGATCACGCGAAAATCGGTGTACTTTTTTCTGGAGGTTTAGATTCTGCCATTTTAACACTAATTGCTAACACGTATGTGCCGCAAAATGAGTGTATAGACCTAATTAATGTTGCATTTCAAAAGTCAGTTAAAAATAATACAAAATCTAGTGTAAATAACGACAAACAAATTGTAGAAGACCAGTACGATGTTCCTGATAGGAAAACTGGCAAACAAACATTTTCAGAGCTTTTAAACATTTGCCCAAAAAGAAAGTGGAATTTCGTAGAGGTACAGCATTCAAATCTTCATATAATTTTTAAAGCTTTTTACATGGAAAATTATACAACTCCATATAATTATTTCAGGTGAATATTACACAAGCAGAATTACAACAATATCGTTCCTCGAGAATTTGCCATCTACTGTATCCACTTTGTACGGTATTAGACGAGAGTTTAGGATGTGCTGTGTGGTTTGCAAGTCGTGCGATAGGTACACTTTCTACAAGCAATTGTATTTATGAATCGCCGTGTAGGGTACTTCTGTTAGGCATGGGTGCGGATGAATTGTTCGGTGGATACATGAGACATAGAACGATATTGAAACATAAAGGTTGGAATGCGTTAGCGGAGGAATTAAGTATCGAATTGGCTAGAATTTCTGAGAGGAATCTGGGTCGTGATGACCGTATTGTATCGGATCATGGAAAACAATCTAGGCTGCCATATTTAGATGAACATGTAGTGGAGTATGTTCAACAATTAAAACCATGGGAAAGGTAAATTTAGATTTTAAAAATTGGACTTAATTGTACAAATACAAATAAATTTGTAAAATCTTCTAGGTGTTATCCAACGGATAAAATGCCTTCTGGTTTAGGGGACAAATTATTATTGCGTCTATTAGCATACAAACTTGGTTTCCAAAATACAGCTACTTTTCCTAAGAGAGCATTTCAATTTGGCTCTCGGATTGCTAATAGCAAAGAGAATGCAAAAGATATATCCGACAGGTTGTGAGATGATGGTTTGTATTATTTTTTTTATTACTTCAGCTATAATTTTTTTAAATATCTCAATTAGTGTTAAATTAAAAAATTATTTTATTTTAGACTAGTTTAGTATACTGCACTTTCATCAAGCCTGTGATATTTTGTGTGCTTGCCGTTTTTGTATGGAAAAAATGTTATTTTTACTGTAATTTCTATATACATTTTTCACAATACATACATATAAATGAAACAAACTATGATATTAATATGTTAAATTTCTGATCCCTCACTATAATTTAAGTTAGTATTTGATAAAAACTTAATGAGTTTTGTAAAACTCATGTTGTGGAAAATATGATAATAATGATGGTTNAAATGAAACAAACTATGATATTAATATGTTAAATTTCTGATCCCTCACTATAATTTAAGTTAGTATTTGATAAAAACTTAATGAGTTTTGTAAAACTCATGTTGTGGAAAATATGATAATAATGATGGTTNTATAATTTATATTTTATGCTAATTCCTTCTGTATACATATTATCATATTGCTTATATTTTAGCAATACGAATTATTACCAAAAAGAAATTATTGTACAAGATCATTAAATAGTGAGGTTATAAAAAAATATCATGTCACAAAACACAGTTTGTTTGGAAACAGAATTAAGGAAATTAAGGCCTGCAGAATTATATACACTCGGACAAATACTTAACGTATCCGATTCATGGAAAAAGTTAATGGCTATTGTACCAAAAACAGAAGATTGTGACTTTCCTAAATTTAATATGGAACACTTTAGGTAATTATCTGATTGTAATACTATAGAAAAGAAATAACTATTGCCTTTTTATTATATATATTTCTGTAGCATGATCGAGCAAGCTGCACAACAACAAAGGAGAAATGCAGCAGAAATATTTTTATCAGAGTGGGGAACAATGGGCAAAAAGAGACCAACATTGCGTGTTCTATTAGACCTTTTAGTGAAAGCAGAATTGTTTAGAGCTGCCGATTATCTAGCAGGCAACATATTGAAAGGTATAATCAACCAGCATGCACAATTTATTTTTATTGCAACGCATAAATTTTTCTTAGCAGACGAACTTCCGAAAAGGCCAGAATGTGGACCAGCAGCTCCTATAGACATATCAGATGAAGAAATAAAGAAATTGTTAGAAGATAAGATGGAATCACAGAATACTTATTCCAGCGAATTTTTAATATTTAAATTACCATCTAACATCAACGATAATAAGATGAGTAATCCTAATGCAATTGACAATGCGTTGAATGATAACTCATTACAAAGAAATATGCAGTCAACAAAATTGATTTCTACAAAAGAAAAGCATGATGAAGAGTGTTTGGAAAATGTTGAAAGTCAGCAACAGAGAAAAATAAATATACACAATGTAAATAATAGTAATTCGCAAAGACGTGATTTTAGGGATCAGGAATTGCCATCTTGTGAATTACCTGTACCTCTAATGGAATTTGGTCAAAATATGACACAAATGACACTAAATGGCATCGAGGAAGTGAAGTCGGATGAACTTCCACTTGTCTTGAACAATAGTATAGAAATTAATCCTACAAACAATTCGACAAGTTTTCATAATCCTAATTTTGATCAAAACGAGCTAATGACTGCAGAATTACCTCAGTGCATCATTGAACTTGGTGGAGATTGTACAATTAATTCAGATAATATAGGTTTTAATGGGGAAAATATAATACAAAATGTAGTGAACTCGCAAGAATTACCTATCACAGTTTTAGAATACAATGAATAATACAGATTTATAAACATATTTGTATATATTTTCTTAAAACAAGTTCAAGTTTTGGTTGAAAGCAATCTCCTGTAAGGTGCAACTATAAATATGTCGAAAGCATTCCGTATATGTACACATATACTTAAATGCAGATGTGTTGTAATTTATCCTTACACTAATACATTTAATTTTCATATAAACTTCGAGATAAAAAGTACTTTCTGTAGTATTACATATAATACAGTAGATACATGTACCACGAGGATACATGAATGTCGTGATGGAATTATATTTATTAATATAAAGAAACTCATTGCGTATATTGCATTGAATAGCAACACGTAAAATAGATGCACGGAACTTTGGGCATATTGGAAACATGTATTAAGTCTTATTAAATTTAATAAAGTGTACAATATTATATATATAAATGCAGATGCAAGAGTGTGTCTATCCGTCGCTATTATTANGCAAAACATGTTAGCTTAATGGACAAATTTACTACAAAAAAAAAGGTTAGAAATTCTTTTCTTAGTATATTCTATGGTTCTTATAATTTATATTTTATGCTAATTCCTTCTGTATACATATTATCATATTGCTTATATTTTAGCAATACGAATTATTACCAAAAAGAAATTATTGTACAAGATCATTAAATAGTGAGGTTATAAAAAAATATCATGTCACAAAACACAGTTTGTTTGGAAACAGAATTAAGGAAATTAAGGCCTGCAGAATTATATACACTCGGACAAATACTTAACGTATCCGATTCATGGAAAAAGTTAATGGCTATTGTACCAAAAACAGAAGATTGTGACTTTCCTAAATTTAATATGGAACACTTTAGGTAATTATCTGATTGTAATACTATAGAAAAGAAATAACTATTGCCTTTTTATTATATATATTTCTGTAGCATGATCGAGCAAGCTGCACAACAACAAAGGAGAAATGCAGCAGAAATATTTTTATCAGAGTGGGGAACAATGGGCAAAAAGAGACCAACATTGCGTGTTCTATTAGACCTTTTAGTGAAAGCAGAATTGTTTAGAGCTGCCGATTATCTAGCAGGCAACATATTGAAAGGTATAATCAACCAGCATGCACAATTTATTTTTATTGCAACGCATAAATTTTTCTTAGCAGACGAACTTCCGAAAAGGCCAGAATGTGGACCAGCAGCTCCTATAGACATATCAGATGAAGAAATAAAGAAATTGTTAGAAGATAAGATGGAATCACAGAATACTTATTCCAGCGAATTTTTAATATTTAAATTACCATCTAACATCAACGATAATAAGATGAGTAATCCTAATGCAATTGACAATGCGTTGAATGATAACTCATTACAAAGAAATATGCAGTCAACAAAATTGATTTCTACAAAAGAAAAGCATGATGAAGAGTGTTTGGAAAATGTTGAAAGTCAGCAACAGAGAAAAATAAATATACACAATGTAAATAATAGTAATTCGCAAAGACGTGATTTTAGGGATCAGGAATTGCCATCTTGTGAATTACCTGTACCTCTAATGGAATTTGGTCAAAATATGACACAAATGACACTAAATGGCATCGAGGAAGTGAAGTCGGATGAACTTCCACTTGTCTTGAACAATAGTATAGAAATTAATCCTACAAACAATTCGACAAGTTTTCATAATCCTAATTTTGATCAAAACGAGCTAATGACTGCAGAATTACCTCAGTGCATCATTGAACTTGGTGGAGATTGTACAATTAATTCAGATAATATAGGTTTTAATGGGGAAAATATAATACAAAATGTAGTGAACTCGCAAGAATTACCTATCACAGTTTTAGAATACAATGAATAATACAGATTTATAAACATATTTGTATATATTTTCTTAAAACAAGTTCAAGTTTTGGTTGAAAGCAATCTCCTGTAAGGTGCAACTATAAATATGTCGAAAGCATTCCGTATATGTACACATATACTTAAATGCAGATGTGTTGTAATTTATCCTTACACTAATACATTTAATTTTCATATAAACTTCGAGATAAAAAGTACTTTCTGTAGTATTACATATAATACAGTAGATACATGTACCACGAGGATACATGAATGTCGTGATGGAATTATATTTATTAATATAAAGAAACTCATTGCGTATATTGCATTGAATAGCAACACGTAAAATAGATGCACGGAACTTTGGGCATATTGGAAACATGTATTAAGTCTTATTAAATTTAATAAAGTGTACAATATTATATATATAAATGCAGATGCAAGAGTGTGTCTATCCGTCGCTATTATTACTCTGATTCATAGTGAAGTAAAGACTTTGAAGTTCTCTGAGATTGTTTTCTAACGTAGCAACTTCATCATACCTGCAATCATCTCTAGCTTGTTTAATGTAAGCTCGGAGATTACTCATTTGTTCAATTATGGGATCCATGGACGAAGGCATTTTAGGTGCAATATTAGAAGGTCCCCAGCCTTGTGCTTGATTCAATACTATTACTGGCTGCACAAACAATATCATTTTTTGAAAAGGCTATACAAATTTCAGTTTCAATATGTTTTTTCTTAAGTGTATAAATAATACCTCATTTTCTTTCGAGGAAGGTCGAATTTCGTTATTCGGCGTTTCTCTTTTACGTAGCTCTTTCGATTTTTCCCTTTGTTCTTCTTCTAGCTGTCTTTCGCGTGCAATTCTCGCTTCCAATTCCATCTGACGTTTTTGCTGAAATTCTGCGTATAGCTCCGGTGTTGGCAAAGGTTGTACAGTTACTAGCACTTCTTTTAAAAATGTCACTGCAGATATTCTGACCATATAATGCAATCTGACTTCCTGTGCTTGTGGAGGATTTTCCACGCATTTCGTGCCCAATACAGATATTCGTTTGCTGATTAAGTCTATATTTTCACCTAGTTTAGTAATCTTAAGTCTCAGAGCTTGTGCATCTTCTAGATTATACATAGTTTCTCCTTGACTGAAAAACCAATTTCTTAATAGATATGAATTGTAACTAATGTAGAGTGTCCTAATTAACTTGAGCAATTGCGTTGTTTACACATACTGTATTAACATTATTTTTGGTACTGTAGGTATAATATAAATACCTGAGAGATTTCCACATTTTAGTGTACATTTTTATATGTTGAGATGCTTCTTCCATGTAAGCCTTCATCTTTTCATAAAACTGACACAAAATCGGTTTATCAAAGTGTTTTGCTTTTTGTTTTTCTCTCGCATCTAACAAATTTGCACAGTGTACACAAATTTTAAAATGTTCTTCATTAGATACCGAATCATTGACTAACGACAAAACACTATTCAAACTACTACTGGAAGGTGATCTAGCCAACTTTGTAAGACCAAAGCCTTCTGAAATTGGTCTTTCAGAAGTAGGAGAAACTGCAGAATCGCCTTGTACAGATACAGGACTTGTCATTTTTCCTGTAATTAAATAATTACTAGAATTATTAAATGTCAATACTGAATTGTTATTTTTTGCCAGTTGCTGGTAGTAGCTGCAAAACTTACTTGCATCTTGCAAAGATAAAAACACTGTGCAATTGTGGCACATAACAGCTCCGCAAAGTCTACAGTGATGTTTTCTTCTAGCAATATGAAAAGTCTTCGCACAGTTCGGACATAACTTTACATCTCTTTCATCTATCCAGGGCACAATTCTACGCTCGTGAACTACATTAACAAAAAGAAGTATATTAATTCACTATTCTAGAAGAAGAAACAATGCAATTAATCTACGTATTGTTTTGTGTTAAAATTATACCTTTTCTGTCGACAGGATCAGTTGGTAAATTATTTAATAATTTATCTAGCCTTATGAGAAGCTTATTTGTTTCTATGGAATAACGTTCCAATCTTGCATTTCTTATTTCTTTAAAATACGATGTATATGATTTTATTTCACCTAAAGTTGTACATAATCATATATTATAAAATATTAATTTATATAGTACACGTAAGAAATGAAACTGTTATTCTTTAATGTTCATTTATACCAATTTCTTGGTGTCCCCAATTCAATTCTGTACTACATTGTCCTATATGTGGTACGAATGTTTCTGGCATTTCTTCTTGTTTCAAAATCTTTTTAGCCTTGCCGATAAGATCTGAAAATGAAAACGATTTAAATAACTTCATCCACTTTTTGTTTTACTAGTATTAGTAAATACATTTACCTTTAAGCAATTTCACTGTTTCCGAATCGTCCTTATGATCATCTTCGAAATGTTTGGTTAACTGTGTTGGTGCTTTAAATTCTGTCATACATATTGGACAAATAAATCCTTCCAGTACCTGTTCGCTGCAAGCCATTTTAACACAAGATTCCTCCACACAATTTTCTATTGCCTACCTTAATTATGGTATATTTAACAAGAAACACTAATTGTTGGAGGCGTATTTCTGTTTGTATGCATGTAGATAGAAAACATGCTTTCAAGCGGCCATATTGAATTGTATCAGCTGCTAATAGAAATGTCACATTTTTGTTACATTAAAAAACGTTTAAAACAGCAAAGATTTATTCGGTTAATATACAAATTTGTGATATTATTACTGACTAACACGACATTTTATAAGTAATCGGTTTTATTAAAATTACTTTAGCTCCATAGGATTATGTAGATATCGATACATGAAAGTAATAATTATACTGTATAAAAGATACTACATATTACTATTATGCCATTGCCACATCAAATAATTGATCAGCTAAATTCCTAAATTTTTCAGAGTCTTCACAATGTTGCAGAAGATTTGAATTGATTTCCTTTTCTCCATAAAATGCACCAGCAATTGCACCAGTCATGCTACCAATAGTATCTGTATCACCACCCAAACTAATCTAAAAACAAAAACCAATCTTAATAGTAATTACTATATTTTATGTATGAAAATACAATGAATGGTGTATTTACCGCATATTGGATTGCCCGTCTAAATGGATTTCTTGTTTGTATACCATTAATTGGTTTCTGTGCTCTTAAGAAACAAAATATAGCAGTTGGCACCGAATATAAAGCCGAAATATTGGTTCCCAATTTTAAAGCTACTGTTTCTTCATGTGGTCCTTCACCCTCTTCCATTATTAAACGTTTCAATACGTTCAATTGTGTTTTGTAAGGTTCTGGTTCTGATAAACCTAAACTATAAGAAACACAAATTCATTTGCTGTATTAGAAATAGCTTTTATAAGAGTTTTAATATGTTTTCAAAGCATACTCGTCTTCATCTGTCTCTATTTCATCCATTTTATTAATTAAGTCATCAACAAAACTTTGGACATTGAGTTGATCCTTAGGATCTAACAATAGACTTTGATAGATCGCTGTAGCCTGTAAGATCGTAATAACATTAAATGAAATGTAATGATAAATATCAGAATGTAGTAAAAATAATAATTACTTGTAAAATAGAACCGTTTATTGCTTCCGTATGAGTATGAGTTATTTGAGTAGCTTGCCTTACATTATCTACAAGACAATCATAATCTTTGTGACAATATAAAGCAATAGCTGCAACTCTCATAGCACCACCATTTCCATATGATCCTTGACCATTAAACTGGTCCTTTGCCGGGCTTACGATGTCCGTAAACTTGTTAGCACGTAATTTTTGGAACACCTTGTAGCATTAAGAGTACATATATAAGTAATAAATATGCATATTTTGCGTATTTAATTGTGGCCATTGTATTCAAATAGTATCATTGTGTCGTACTGTTACAATATTTGCACCGTAGCCACGATTAGGTTCTTGATAATAACGCTTGACAAATCTTTTTGCCAAGTCGACAGCGTCCAGTTTCTTTTTCTCCACTAAAGATTTCGCCAAGGAATAAGTCATCGCAGAATCATCTGTAAACTGCATGACAGGAGCTACACAATTAGAAAGATACTCTATTGTATCTATACTGCCAACGAAAATATGCAACAACTTCCGTATAAGTTTCGAGTTCTACCTTTGAATGGTGGACCCTCCAATTTATCGAGGGATCGTTGTAAAACTAATCTCATGCCTGCCGTTAACAGTCTTTCATTTTCATAAGGATTACCTAAACAATCGCCAATTAGGGCGCCCAGCATAGAGCCACGAAATTTACTTCTCAGTAACGAGAGATCCATTTCTGTCATAACCTTCGGGACCCGTGTATTTGTACAATTTTTAATATTTCGAGGCAACGATGATCTTCAAATTTTAGATCGGAACCGAGTCCAAGGTGAACATATTAAAAAAATATTTATTTCAAATGAAAAATATTATAGTAGTAGTCAGAGTCAGGAAAGTAAATAACAATAATCCAACTATACAAGCGCTAAAACAGGTTATGAGTACAGTAATCCGTACGTACAAGTACGCGCAAGCATCTTTCTTTTCCCTATCTATAAGCTCGTTTTTATCCCCACCATTCTACTGCGCATCCATCTTCACGCAGTTGCTTTAGAAAGAGAACGAGCGATGATCGAGAGAGAGAGAGAGAGAGAGAGAGAGAGAGAGAGAGAGAGAGAGAGAGAGAGACAGAAAGAAACCAGTGGGTTCTATGTGTGAGCGTGAGAATCTTAGGCTGTCTCACTTTATCGTGCTTGCGGTCTTATTCTTTTCGCGCATCCGTATGTCTGGCGCTGCGCCTGAAACGCGCGGCGCAATATTCGACTTGTACTTGTCGCCACGTCTCTCGCGCTAACATTCGGGGCAATCCAATAATTAGCAGGCCTGATCCTGCTCGACTTGTCAAAACATTTCCTACAAACACGTACATTCCAAACATGTCTCAATGTGTGCTGAGCATCGTTCGCAAATTCGCTGACAAATGTCGTCGAGAATCCTACGAGGTGACAAGTACATGTTGAACATTGCGGCGCGCGTCTCAAATGAAGCGCCATGCATACGGATGCGCGAAAAGAGTGAGCCCGCAAACACGGCAAAGCGAGACAAGCTATATTAGTTGTCGATGTGACTCGTTTCGCAATGTGGTTGTGCTGATGTCGTGCCGTCTTGCTCGCTCGTTATTTCCTCTCTTTGTCATTGACTGTGAGGGCAGCGCTATTCAGCTGTGAGTCGTCAACCAATCAGAGCAAAGCAGTAGTTCACTTCGTCCTCTATTCACGAGCTCACGGCTTCTCCCGATCAGCGTGCTTGTTCGTAGAGGTTATTGTATGTATCTATTTGGCTTTACATATGTAAATATGTACATATCAACATGCAATGTACAATGTACAACGTGTATGTATAACAGTTCCTCGTTAGATGTCTCTGTAGTAAAAATATTGTAGCCTCGCTTCACGTGTTCGCCACAGAAACGTCCGAATTAAATCGCGCCTATATGTTATATGTACAATATGAGGTCGAAGAAAAATATCGAACATTAAATATGGCAAATTTAAAATAGCCTAGTTAATAATTGAAATAGCACAGTCGAGACGAAATCCTTTTTCTGTTTTCAATTCAAACAACTCGAATTACCCGCTACGAACGTGACGTCACAACGACATCTGACGAACGAACGCGGACAGAGTCGCGGACTTTTTTAGGATATGGACGAATGTTGGAATGTTTGATGATGTATGATTGAATTGTTTCCAGGATTTTTAGATAAATCTTTCTCAGGTTTTTTAAAATAAAAACATGCCGATCAAAGAACGCAGTAATCGAGTACTAAATAAATAATGTTCAATAAAAAAAGGCAACGTCTGCAGCAGTAATAATTTGTGATACGGATACGAAGACGGTCTCAAGAAAGTTCTATCATCGTAAGTAAAGTATGTACAGAGTAGATACAGCGTCAATATATGTTTGTACATATGTTTATATTCGAATAACTCGATTCGAACGACATTTACATTAACATCTCTCAATATTTTCAGGTAATGTCTGATTTTTGTTAATGTCTGATTTTCTTATTATAGAAATTATTATTTTCTTATTAATGTCTGATTTTCTGATTCGTAGAACTTCGCGAAAAATTAGGGGACTTGGGAGACATAGAAATCATTTCCGACTGCTGAAAAGGCGAATGCTTTTAACGTGAGTTATGTTAATTATTTAGTATCATAAAGTTTATAGAATATTATCGAACAATTAGGTACTAACGTGAAGTCAAGATCACGGATTAAATCATGTACCAAGTTACATGTCCTAGGTATCACATTATATAAATTGAAAAATCATATTATTCCTGTAACCTTTCCACGGGAACCTAAAGACCAACTGAATTAGTTTTCAATTGGATTTGAGCATGGCAGTAAAAGTTAGATATGCAATGATATTCTCAGAGATATTGTTTTTTTTTTATTATAAACACACTGAACTGATTGTATGTACTGAACTTTTTACAATACAACTATGTATCGAACTCTAAATGCGATTAGTTTGTACTGCTTTTTAAAACTAGGTAGATCGCATTTATCAAGATATTACACGATTTTAATTACAACCCAAATCCGTCATTCTGGTTTAGTATTTCTAATGTTAAAAGGATTTCTTAATAATCTATGTTCGCTTAGCAATGCTGCTGTTTCATCTAAGATTTGATAAAATAAAAAATAATCTAGAGATAAGTAGAGACTGTCGCGTCTAACGCTTTGGGATGTTTACAGGTAATGTGCGGTTCCTTTGAAATGGTGGTGTGGAGGGTGCTCGATTAAGGGCGGTTTTCTTTGGCAGGATCGGAAAGAGAAAGAGAGAGACGAAGAGAGAGAGAATAAGAGAGAAACGAAGAGAGAGAGAGGGAGAGAGAGACGAAGAGAGAGAGGGAGAGAGAGGCGAAGAGAGAGAGAGGGAGAGAGAGACGAAGAGAGAGAGAGAGTGAGAGAGAGAGAGGGAGAGAGACGAAGAGAGAATGAGAGAGGTACGAAGAGAGAGTGAGAGAGGGACGAAGCGAGAGAGAGAGAGAGAGAGAGAGAAAGTGAGTGAGAGGGGGACGAAGAGAGAGAGGGAGAAAGAGAGTAAGAGAGAGTGAGAGCACAAGTTGGGGGGGGGGGGGGGGGGGGGGGGGGCGATNCAACCCAAATCCGTCATTCTGGTTTAGTATTTCTAATGTTAAAAGGATTTCTTAATAATCTATGTTCGCTTAGCAATGCTGCTGTTTCATCTAAGATTTGATAAAATAAAAAATAATCTAGAGATAAGTAGAGACTGTCGCGTCTAACGCTTTGGGATGTTTACAGGTAATGTGCGGTTCCTTTGAAATGGTGGTGTGGAGGGTGCTCGATTAAGGGCGGTTTTCTTTGGCAGGATCGGAAAGAGAAAGAGAGAGACGAAGAGAGAGAGAATAAGAGAGAAACGAAGAGAGAGAGAGGGAGAGAGAGACGAAGAGAGAGAGGGAGAGAGAGGCGAAGAGAGAGAGAGGGAGAGAGAGACGAAGAGAGAGAGAGAGTGAGAGAGAGAGAGGGAGAGAGACGAAGAGAGAATGAGAGAGGTACGAAGAGAGAGTGAGAGAGGGACGAAGCGAGAGAGAGAGAGAGAGAGAGAGAAAGTGAGTGAGAGGGGGACGAAGAGAGAGAGGGAGAAAGAGAGTAAGAGAGAGTGAGAGCACAAGTTGGGGGGGGGGGGTGAGGAGAGGGCGGCGATTGGTTGGGCCAGAGGATGCGTGGTTCGCTCTCTCAACCCGGGCATATCCAGTCTAGCGGCGACCGCGTACACGCGTGGTCTATTTTCTCGTTTCTAGTTTTCTAGTTTCTATAATAAGTTTTTCGGTTATCCGTGCGATACCTTCGCCGACACTCTGGCCGGCCGATGAGGAACGTATCGAGCGCGTCGTCGGTCGTGTTCACCGTGCCGGCTCGTTTCGTCGACGCGACTTGACCAATCGCCGCCTGGGATAAGTCTCGGCAAGGATCGCTCTGCGTTACTGTAACTGCCCGGCGCAACATCCTACCAGCGATCGAGCAAGCCAGCAAACAAGCCAGCAAGCAAGCAAGCGTGTGTAACCGTGAGCGTCAAGCCATCGACCAACCATTCCGAAACCATCGGAACGCGGTCATCCACCCTACGTTCGAGCAGCAGCCGCCTCGCGAGCCGAAACTACCCGAGTTTCACCTCTGAACTCGATCCCCTACGTATCTCTTCTCCCTTGTTCGCTCGGCTCTGCTACGTTTCGCTCCGTTTCGCTCCGCGTTTATTGAATTTTCGTCGTGCGGGAACCTGCGAGCCCATCGCAGTCTCAGATCAACGTAAGTCCTATTGGATATTCTCTGTAACAGGTTACGCTGTCCGCGGGGTTCTTTAAACCACTCGAGGCCAGCGACTTCGCGAAACGCCGCCGTCCCGTAGAGCCAACATACTTTTTATTTATAATGTAAACCCCGCGATCGTTACACACATACACGGTGTGTCCGTTGGTCCTTTCGCTTAGGGACGGCGTCGCGCGCCAGGTACGCGATATCGGCCTCGAATGGGTTAACTTAACGGACCGGAGATACGTGTCGTTTGTTTGGTATTATTGTATTAACCGAATCGATCGAATCAATCGAATCGACACGGGGCTTAAGATTTTGCTTGGCGAGCAAACGAAACGAACGTTCGCGTTTGAGGAAATGGAAAGACCGTCGTAAATAACGATGATGTGCAACGGTCGAGAATCGGTTTGTCAAATCACGCACCGAGACATTTTTGTATAATGCGCCGAGGCTATTTCAGAGCAGGCGCGAGGAAGGGACGTGACCTGGGGGCAATAGTTGGCGAATTGTTGCGACGCGATACAAGCGTAATTAATTGAAAGTTGCGTCGTGCGAAGAAGAACCGCGTGTGCGCCTTTAAAGGGGTCGCCGAGTTATTGTAGGTAATAGAACGGAAAAACGAGAGCGTAGACGGTCCGAGTTAGTCGCAGAGGGATGCGGGATATCAACATAGTTGTTCGCTGGGGTCGATGGTGACCGGTCATCGGTCATAGAGAGAGTTCAATCGCTGGAATTTCAGGGAATCGAAGAAAACATTGCAGATTATCCTAGAATAAGAGAGAATAAATTAGAACAGAAGGATAACCGTAGGATAACCGTGCAGATAAACAGAGGGATTATGCAAGAGAGCCTAAACCGAAAATAATCTGTTTATCGTGATTAAAGCGGGAACGGTGCCTGCTTCTGGCGAAACGATTCGTTCCGGATATTTTTATCGTACAATGATAGACGCGAGTCGAGTACAACGATCTGTAGATCGATCGCCCCTTTCGCGAGATTACCAGAATTGTTTCCGGAAGCGAATCGCTTCAAGAGTTGAACGACTAATTGAAAGAACGATGAATCCGAGACTTGTTCTTTCGACGACCGGTTTTACCAGCTGTTCAGAGGTACGCGATCCGCTCGTGATTCCATTGTTTCCGCAATTGTATCCGCCATACGCGTTGTTTCTCGGTGGCGCGGACTTTCACCCGGTTTTTCTTTTTTACAAAAAAAAAAGAAATCGACGATTCACGATGGTTACCGTTTATCTTGTTGCCGGTCGGCGAAAGCTATTTCGGCGATCCTTTTTCAGAGCGGAATTTTGTATTCGTATTCAAAAATACTGTACATTCGAAATAACTCGTAAATACTGAAATTTGTTCAATCTTCTCGATACGTACATTCTCTCGCCTAAGTTTCATCGATCGGAATTTTTGCCGAATCTGTCATGACCGCGCCGGAAGGGTTAGCCGAGATTTCCGACGAATGTTTGTCCGGCCGATTCACGGGACGAATTAGTTCCGGATCGATCGCCCGGCGTGTTTATCGGCGGAGAATTCTTAATTTCATCGGAAATTTAGTAGAACAGAAGACGCGCGCGTTCCCGCGAGGGGAATGTAACTGAATTTTATCGTCGAAGTAAATCGCGCGGATTTGATGGGGGATTTAACGAGGTGCGCGTAATTCCTGCACGCATGGTATTCGGTTTACTTCACGGTCTATTTTTGCTGGCACTAATGCGATCTCAAAATTTACTGCTAACAATGAACAAGCGTCGTTGGTGGGAATACAATCCAATCGCTGAACACAATTAAACAAACAATTGTTCGTTTGTTCGTTTTTTTTTATTTTCGTTTGCTCGTTTGTTCGTTTTTTTTTATTTTCGTTTGCTCGTTTGTTCGTTTATCTGCCTGCTCGTCTGATTGCTTCCTCTGTCACTCTCTCCTTTTCTCCCCCCCCCCCATTGTTCTTTTCCATGTACAGTAATGTCTCTCTAACTGACGCTCAAATCGTGCAGAAGAATGGACAATTTGAGGAGAGGAGATGCGATTGTTCGAGCCTTGCAGCTCGTTTTTATAATTGTTAACAATTCGTAACTACAGTAATGTCTCCCTTACTGACGTTCACATTGTCCACGAAAGTGGACAATTTTGGGAAGAGGAGATACGATTATTCGAGCCTTTCGGTTTGTTTTTATAGTTATATAAATTTTCAACGATTATAAAAACGAGCCGCAAGGCTCGGACAATCGTATCTCCTCTTCCCAAATTGTCCATTTTTGTGGACAATCTGAGCGTCAGTAAGGGAGAGAGATTACTGTCTTCGTCAAATTTGAGAATGCGAGCTGTTTACTGCGATAATGATTTCACTGAAGCGCTAACAAACGATCGCAAAAATTCATAAAAATAATACCTCTACAAAATATCTAAAATTTGCAGAATTTTAAAACTTTTACTCCTCTTATAATCACTGTATTACAATACAATTTCTATATATTTATCACTGCAATACAAAATTGAATCAACCAATTACATTAATGTCTCCCTTACTGACGCTCAGATTGTCCACTAAAATGGACAATTTGGGAATTTATAACTATAAAAATAAACCGCAAGGCTCGAATAATCGAGTCTCCTCGTCCCAAATTGTCCATTCTTGTGCACAATCTGAGCGTCAATTAGAGAGACATATTACTATACTTCTTTATGCGGCTAAAAGAAATGATGAAATTATTCGCCCAGGAAATATTCATGATAGACTCGTTGCAATGTTAATCATCAGTTTATAGTCGTTTGTGCGACAAACCAAGTTCCGTTCGTCGAAGATATTTTTAGTTGATATTAGGTTAGAAATATGAACTATTGGCAACTCGAAAGTCGTCTCGGTTTGTTTTAAAATTCTTTTCCGTTTGCCGAAGAATTGCGAAGGATCGGAGAATTTACGGGGGAATGAAATCGTAAGCAATCACACATTAACCGGACATAGGCCCCTCTTTGTTTACATTCTCATTCGTTTATTTACATTGAATCAGGCCGAATCGATGTGGCCGCATCTCGATGGGATATTCGCTAGAAAAAATACCAGTTGGATTTCTCCGAAATATTTCAAGTGTGTAGCTCTCGTGCGCCACTTTCACGCCGTCCATAACTCGCTTGTTATTCGCCTCGCCATTGCTATTCGCCCGCGTTCGGAATTCTCTTCGACGCCGACGCTTCCGAAAACGGCTTTCTTTTAACGGATAGAATCGCTTCGTCGTTATTAAGAAATATTATATATCTTATTATATATATAATAATATATAAATATATATAATATAATAATAATAATATTTCTATATATATAAATTAGATTCTGTTCGATCGTTCTCTTGCGTATACGCTACGGTACTATGGAAAATACAGGATAATAGGTTTCAATAAGATATAATAATATTTCTATAGATATATAATATATTGAATAATATATTGAAAAAACAATTGAAACCTATTATCCTGTATTTTCCATAGTACCGTAGCGTATACGCAAGAGAACGATCGAACAGAATCTGATTTATGCCGAAGAAATATTGCATGCAGGGTGTCCTAAAAATGTTACGCAATCCGGAAATGGCGGGTTCCTCGGATCATTTGAAGCATCTTCTTCCTTTACAAAAATTCTCCTCGAGGCACCGTTAACGAGTTATCAATGAAAAACAGTGCGCCAATAAGAATCGAGTACGGCTGATGCGAGGCGGCCCAGCCAACCAGCGCCCGAAGCCCGGTTCCGCTCATTGGCTCGGTCGCCTCGCGCTAGCCGAGCTCGCCTCTCATTGGTCACTGTTTTTTCGTTAATAACTCGTTAACGGTGCCTCGGAGAAAATGTTTGTAAAGGAAAAAGTTGCTTCGAACGACCCGAGGAACCCGCCACTTTCGGATTGCGAGACATTTTTGGGAGACCCTGTAGTAATCATACGACGCTCGTACGACGCGATGCGACCCGTCGCAACGTGTCGCTCATACGTGCACACCTGTATTGATTGCGCGCGATAACGACGTTGAATAGCGTAATCAAAGCGTGAATTGCGGCCTCCGGGTGTCGAGTTACTTAATTTTCCTCGGGGGATCGCGACTAGATATTATTCAACGCCGCTTCTTTCTTCAACGAATTCGTTTTTACAGCGGGTATCGCGTGCTGGAAGCGCCCTCGCTTCCGAGCCGAGTCACACGAAAGTAGGTAATGAGAACCGCAATTAGCGATTTTCGTTATTCGGATTTCGACACGGGTTCCACAAGGGTTTGCAACGAGATCGCGAGCGGGCTTGCCGCTGTTCAAGGAGAAGCTGATTTCACGCCAGAAACCGTCTAACCAAAGAAACTAGTTCGCCTTGAAAATCTAACCACACTAACCGTTTCTTCGTTCTACAATCGGAATTATATGTTACAATCTTTGTTACGATACAGCGGCTCCAGAACGTCTGTGTACAGCAAATTCTCCCTAATTTTCCTTCAGCTTGCGAACAGAAATGGCCAAGTTGGGACGGTTTCATTGTTGTAGCGGCCGATCGCCAACAATTATAGAAATGAGCCGCGAGAGGCTCTCCTCTTCCCAAATTAACCGTTTCTGTTTACAAGCTGAAGGAACATTCGGGAGAATTTACTGTATCTTCTCCGATTCTCGAGCTTCTTAAAGCTCGATGCTTTTACTTTTGCTATGGGTGCCTGCATCGTTAATTTTCTTCTTTTTTGTAATAAATACGTTTAACGACGTCTCGAAGAAAATTTTTGCAAAGGAAAAAGTTACTATGAAATGCCCTGAGTAATCTCTAATTTCCCGGAAGCACTATAATTTTGGGACACCCTGTATATTATGAATATATATTAATAGTAATTAATTAATATCTATCTGTATCGATTCGCGAGCGGTAAGAATATCGAAGAAGCAATCGTGTTATATAAAAAAACTTTGCCTCGTAATTTTAATGAAATCGAACGAAACACTTTAATTCCGATGAAATATTCGAGATTTTTGGCGCGGTCGTCGAAGTGTCAAGCAAGAGCGCGCAGAATGTAATTTGTCCGAGATACGTACGTACGCGTCTGAAATCGTTTGATTTCCGTCCCGTTCCAACGAGCGTGGCTCGATCGAAAGTACAACACACGTATTACGCTATATAATGTTGGCCGAGCACCGTGGCGCAAAACTCGGTTACAAGTGTGCAGCAGGTTTAATACAGGCGTGTGCAGCACGCGTGTGCACGTCCTGCACGTGTATGCATGCGTGTTGTTATCGCTCGACGGCCTATAGTAGAACAGAGGGGGAGGGGGGGGGGGCATCGGGAGGGATCGATAAGCAATGTGAATTTTTATTTTTCATAGGCAGACACACCGGCGTTGCGCGGCTATTACGCGCGATATCCGTACGCGCGTGCACGTACATTATAGCGCGCCGCCGGTATAGTGGCACAGCGAGCGGAAAATGCTCGGTCGACGTTTGGCCGTCGGACAAATGTTTTGAAATTCGATACCATCGCTCCCCCTTCCCGTTACTAACCGAAACGTACCGCCGCCGCAGGTCAAACGACCGGACAGACTCGCGCGTTCTTCGTTTTAAATGTATACTGTAATTATTTCCGTTGGAAATTGTTGAATACAGTTCTTATAACTCGGCCGCAAGTTTATCGTGAAAAACGAGAGAAATTTAAGTACATTCGATTGGATCATTCGAGCCGTTTATTTTGAAAGTGGCATAAGTCACTTTCTGTTTAAGTCGATATATTAGGGGGACCGGAAAGTTATGTCGTTTCTGCGCATATTTATCTGTTTGAATTTAATGTGAACAAACGACATAACTTTCCGGCCCCCCTAATGTTTAAGGGTTTGCGTTTTAACACGTTTAAAAGTATGGATGCTAACTTCTGAGAAGATTTACTTGTATTTGTTATCTCAGGATGCTGATATTTTTCTCAGTATAAATAATTTCGTATAAACATGAAAAAAATCACCACTTTTCATTACGGTAAAGTGACTTATGCCACTTTCAAAGTAAACGGCTCATTCGTAGAAGGCAACACGTGCTGGACACTTTAGATCTCGGCGCATTTAGCGTTAAGACTATGACCGAGAATAGCGCGAATCTTTCTGGTAGATCTGATCTCACGTAAGCTGGTTCAGAAAGCCCGGAATTTCCTCGCATTGCACACCGTGGATATTTGTAGCGTAATAACGTATCATAATATTACCAGTATCGTAGCGATGGTACAGAGAGAAAAAGAGAGAGAGAGGGGGGGGAGAGAGCGATACGGTGTTTATCGTACGGGATTCCATGATATTGTTACTGCCAACCCGAGAAAGAAGAGATAAAAGGGAGAAAAAGGGATGTCGCGCAGGGTTTGCAGTTTATTTCGAGGACTGTGCGCGGCTTTTATAGAAAGATGCGGCTATAGAAAGATATACGAAAGCAGGAAGCCGCGATTCTTTTCCCCGATGTTTGTTGCAGCCGCGATCGACAGTTTCGAAAATACCCAGGGGAGACCGGGGGGAGGGGGGGAGGGAGCCATTATAGTCTCTGAAAGAAGCCGGCGATGCTTGACGAACGTGTCCGGGTTTATTTATTTATTTTTTCTCTCTCTCCTCCTTTCTGGCTTCTCTTTTCCCGTCGCGCTCTCTCATCCTTCTTCTCTCTCTCTCTCTCTCTCTCTCTTCTCTCTTCGCTCATCCCTCCGTTTACACGGCACCGCCGCGCGACGTTGTGTTTATCTCGATAGGCGTTAACCGTGTGACCTGAATATTCAGCGGGGGTGTTCTTATGTAATTTTTTTCTCCCTCGCGACGATCGTCGCGTCCTCGCGCCTCCCACGAGACGATTCGCACGGATTATCGCCTTTTTGAAATTGTTCAAATTACGGATTCGGACGCGTTCGTTTCTCTTGGAAATTGTACGACCGATTTTTCAACAGAATTTCGAGATCTTTTTCTCCCCCCTCTTTCTCTCTCTCTCTCTCTCTTTTTCGTTGTCACAGAAAATTTCGACGACGCCGAAAACGAGCCTTTCGGTCCGCTTTTCGGAACGCTGTCCAGCGTCCGCTGGAAAAGTTAGAATATCGTGTGTACTTGTCCGGGTACAGCGGACGTTAATGGGTTAATTAACCGATGACTCCGCTTCGACGTGTCTCGAGGTACGCAAATAGCCTGCGGGAGCGGAGTGGGGGTTAAAAGTTATCAGATTAAGCGTTTGCTCGGATGCACCGGGTGTACATACCCAGAGGCCGGAGCGAGAGAGGTGTGGCGGCCGTTGCAACTTTAATTGTTAACTGCTCGCGAACTGTTAGCTATTGTCTCTCCCGAGAGGCTGGACAAAGGCTCATTAAAAATGGCACCGTAACATTCTGGAGGAGGTCTCTTCTCGTTAAGATAATAGAGCCGCGCAGATTAGGCGTGGAACTTGAACGAGCGAGCTGCTCAAAAACGTTAGCAACGCCGGGCCGCGTTGATTATTATCAATATATATTAGGTTAAATATATATTATATATTATATATATTCGGTTAAAGTCGCCGGTCTTACGTTGCTCGTTTGAAAATTGTTGAGACTCTAAAGACGCTTTATTCTAAGACCCTCGCAGTACCGGCGGTTGGGCCAGACGGACCCATGACCTTGTGTATACAAACATTTTGAACCAAAATTTTGCTGTCATTATGATATCATCATCATCGTTATTATTATTGCTATTATCTTATCGTACTTTTCTTTGTTTACGTTGTAATTACATTTTCCACGTTTGTTTCTTTGTAATTGTTGTTGTTGCTTTAACGTAAACAAACGGCAGACGGCATCAAGTGTACAACGGTCGAGCCAGGCCTCGAGCTATGGGTTCGAAAAAACCTGGTATGACGAGGGTTAAACGAATTTCCTATTTTTTTAACACTTAAGAGGCGAGTTGCTTTTTCTCTGTCTTTCTCGGTTTTTTACAAAGTTATTTGTTTACATGTCTGGTATTAATAATATTAATTTTAATATATTATTTTTTTAATAATATTAATTTTAATATTAATAAAGTATTGAAAAATATTCAAGCAAAAACGTAAATCTAAGTGGCCCGACTTAGGAAGTCAGAATGGAGAAACGTAAATTTACGTGACCCGTCCGTTAAGTTAACAATTAATACTAAATTAATTAATACCAAGCCCTACCCGGGCTCTGAAACTGATTAACGTGCGTTGCTTTATAAGAATAACAAGATTGAATTTATTTGGACATTTTGCAATTTTTAGTAAAACATAAGTCTGGAAAAGGAAACTTATCCAATTGTGTTTTTTTTAAAGTCTTCATAATGTCGACACTTTGAAAATAACAAACGCGAGACCGTTCATATTGATCCGCGTGGTAGGGTTATGTACAATTTAGATAAATTTGATCGACAGAAATCGGTAGAAATTCTTCCGGCGAAAGGAACTGACGTTTGAATGTGGAATCCGTTCGACTGAAATGCGGGGACAACGTTCGTAAGTAGAATGGAACGGTGTTTGGTCGGACCGCACACAGAATCGGCAACGCTACGTGGCCTCGGAAAGTGCAGCGACGTCTCGATTCGTCAAAAGTCGATTGACGGCGGCGATCCGGCCCCGGGGGGTTTTGTTGCCGGGGCTTTCATTGAAACACTATAGGGTATAAGCGTGGATATTACTGCGATTTCTCAATGAAGGCGAACTTTCACAGAGAGATTAAAACCTTTCACGCCAATAAATTGATAACTCGTACTATTTGACAACTACATGTTATTCTTTAATTTATATATATAATATAAAATATTCTTATAATCTCTGGAAGCACGAATTACATTAAAAAGCGTAATGTAAAGAAACAACTATACGTGTGCATATATTACCCGAGGTTATGTATAATATCTATTACGGTGAGCCAAATGCATACTGCGTGTCAAGATTGACATAACCTATTTTCTTCTAAATGTACTACACACAGCTACAATTTCTAGGATCAAGATATTCTCACTGTAGCACTGTTCACAAATTAGCTATAGGTACTCTGCGATCAAGCGTGTACGCACCGGCTCGTCGAGAACTGCGCTGTGTATAGGTTAAGATACGTAGTTCGGTAAATCGCCGCGGTAATGTACACGCATAGTTATGTCAAGGTTATGTCAAGGTTATGTACACGCATAGTTAAAAAAAACTACGCGTCAAATAATGTGTTAGTGAATAATATTTCAGGTGTACTGTTCGTGTAATATTCGACAGTGTAAGTCGATTTTTTTTATCAAAATACCAAAATATAAATGCCTTTCGAATCAGCGTTCGCGACTGCCGTACATGTTTCGTAAGACTCACGTTTTCATGAGCAACAAAAGTCAATAAACGAATTAAAACTTGCGATTGTTGTCACTTGTACGTCATAAATGATCAATATTAAACGTATAAAAAATTACGAGATTAATTTTTAGAAGATTATACACTATAAAATCTTAGATTTTATTGCTTTTATTTAGAATCGGGCAAATATTTGATTCGTCGTACCGCCGTGCCGCCGCCATGTGTACGTCAGCGAGCCCGTGCAACTGTGCAGAAGAGAAGCATGCAGGCTTTAAATCCGTCATTTTCTAATTGGTGCTCGACGGTCGTTCGCTTATCACCGACTCGCGGATGTTTAGGCTTAGGGGCCGGGCCGAATATGTAGAATTCTCGCCAGAAATACACTTTACGATCCCGCGAGTGGCTCTGCCGGCTCGCGGAATATACGGGGTGTCCCACGACCACAGTGACCAGCCGACTTCGCCCGGAGACGTTTGTTACATTCCAGTTGGAGGAAAAGCGGATCTACGTATTTCCATTAAATTACTGCGCGTGAATTAGAGTAAGTTTTCGTGCCGATTGTGTGTACGTCGCCGCGGAAAAAAAAAATAAATACCCTTGTTTACGATTCGGCTTTTAGGATCGCCTGCTTGTTGCGGCGGATTGTGACGCGATTGTGTCACAGTGCAGGCGGGTCTCTGTAGTCGGGGCACGTCCGAAAACCGGACGTGAGATTCCTCGCGCGAAAGGGAGCGGAAAATATAAAATGGAATTTGTTTCTGCGCCGGTGAAGGCCTAGACGGGAATTCTGAGAGAGTTATCCGGTGGATGGTTTTTTTCGAGAAGTTTCGACCTCTCGACGAGCGACCTTTCCAGTTACGAAATTATGAATCACGAACGCGTTCAGGGCGAACGGAGAGGGGCCCCGGATATGATTCCGCGAGACGATTTATCTTCGTGTAACGACGGACCGTCACCGTTCTTCGGGGCTCTTTTAAAACACGAAGCGACTCCTCGGCACTCGCCGCACGTTCCGGTATTTATCGGGCTGATAAGAAAAACAGCCATCGACCGACAAGTACGCTCCGCCGACTCATAAACACGGAACTCGACGGAACCCGAAGATCACTTTACAGGCACTAGACTAGATAGCGTCGTTCGGAGGGACGCGTTGCACGGCCCCGAGCCTCGTGTTCCAGCCCCCGGAAGATATTTCAATCAATATTTTTATCGACTCGTATCACGGCGCATAACGGTTGGAGATCTGCCGCTGTATATAATAATATTATATATATAATATATATAATATAATTTATATATTATAAATTATATATTATATGTATATTATAATAAATATTATAATAAATGTTTTATAATAATATTTATATATTATATATGTATATATCTGCCTATAAATAATATTAATAATTAAATAGTATAATTAATAGAATAAGTAATTCATTAGCCGTCGATTAGGCGAATCGTTCGGTATCGATTCTCTCGCCTAGAGGATTCGAGCTTTCCAAGATCTCGATTTAAAACGATCGGTGTTTTCGCAGAAGCAACGGCAACAGGGCTTTGCCGGCGTGGACGAGGGCACGGATGGACGCAACGAGGATGAAAATACCGGGGCGGATCGAGCCAGTGGTGTGACCGCGAAAGAGACCTTGAAGCGGGGAAGAAGGGACCGGCGAGGATTCGTCGAGGTCAACGAGTGGGACTCGTTGCGATAGGTAGCGGAACTGCGGCTACAAGATGGCAACACCGCCGGACTCGCCGGGACCGGAGGAGGCGCTCTTCGACTTCGAGAGCTCGAGGACCAGGCAGCAGGCAACCAGACCGGTCGCTCTCGAGGAACTCCTCCGGCAGACCAAGTTCTCCAGGCAGGAGATACGGGTGATGTACCGGGGTTTCAAACAGGTCAGTCGCGACGCTCGGTGTTCTCTGGCAGCCGGCTCCGAGAAAGCCTGAAATTCGGAAGAGCGGCTTCTAGAGATTCACCCTGGAGAAATTGCTAGATTTGTTTATTGGTCGAACCGTGCCGCTTCTGCTTCTGCTCACGCTTCTGCTCTTGCTTCTGCTTTCAAGTTTAATGTTCGATCCGAGTCACCGCCGGGTCTCTCTCTGGGAGATCGCGCGTTTACTCTTGTCCACGTGAACGCACGCTCTTGACACAATTACGAGGACTTGGCATGCGAGCGAAACAGCGGAATTAAAGCACCTGCGAAACACACTTGAGAGGTTGGCTGCGCCAGGTCTATTCGCGGCGGTACGACGCCTTCGAGTTCTTAGCGCCTCTTCCAGTTCCCCTCCTCGCGAGCCACGATCAGTTCCGCCTGACTATTTACTCGGTTCGCTCAGAAACGTGCGCGTCTGCCAAAATATTTCGCAGATAAACCGCGGATACTTCTTCAACTTAGGATCTCTCGTACGATGTCGAAGAATTTCACAGTAATCGCGCGGATCTTTGGCACATTCGAACGCTTGGAGACTGATCTTCGATGATCGTTTAGAAAAAGGGTGTTTTTCTTCAAGGCTATTACAGTAGTTGTTCCCTAATTCGGGAAGATATGATTATGTTATTACACAGGGTGTAATAACATGTAATAACATATGTTATTACACAGAATTATCGTACTTCTGGGAAATGAGGGATTCCCGAGGTCATTTGAAGTAACTTTTTCCTTTACAAAAATTTTCTCCGAGGCATCGTTAACGAGTTATTAACGAAAAACAGTGACCAATGAGGGGCGAGCTCTCGGCTGGCGCGGGGCGGCCGCGCCAATCAGTGGAACTGGGACGCCTCGCACCAGCCGAGCGCGCCTCTTATTGGTCAGCGTTTTTCCTTAATAACTCGTTAACGACGCCTCGGGGAGAATTTTTGTAAAGGAAAAAGTTGCTTCGAATGATCTCAGGAATCTCTAACTTCCCGCAAGTACCATAATTTTGGGACAGCCTGTATATTGTAAAAACGGGCCGCAAGGCTCGAATAATCGTATCTCCTTTTCCCAAATTGTTCATTTTTGTGCGCAATTTGAGCGCGAATTGGGGATAAATTACTGTACGTAATACAAGTAACCCTGCTATAACTAGAAAATGCCGTATTGTATGAAATCGTGTCATGCAAGACCCAGAGTTAGTACAAAAATGGGAGGTTTCGCACCGAAAACTTATTAAAAACGAACATTTTTTTTTTTAATTCGGCGGAAGGGTATATATTTATGTACCCTTAATTATAATAATTATATTTTCATGTAAAGGCACTATAGTTCATTATTCCTTTCCGTCATTATTTTAGTTATATTCTTATATTAATATAAGTTATGTTTTTAGTTACATTTAGTTAGTAAAATCATGTTACCCAATACTGTCGTAATACAGGTTCGTACAAAAGTTTTCGCAATTTTCTTAGAGCGAAATCGTCTTATAGGATGCTGTGTTGTTGTATAATATCGATAGAAATTCTTCCGACAAAACAAACTATGTACTGTCTGGATACAACACGTTCGCAAGTAGAATGGTCGGTGTTTGGCCGGACCGCGTACGTTCGTGCAAGTGGTGCACGGTTAAACTTACATCGAGGCCGGAGCCGGCGTGTAAATTTTTGCGTACGGGACGTCCTTTCTTTCCAAGAACTAACTCGAGGCTCAGCATTTATCCTTTTGCACCTTTATGTTGAGGTTAAACTCGACATTGACTTTTTCATTAACAATTTTATTTTTCTATGATTCGCGTTACATTCACGAATAAATTACGTAAATAAAAATATTATATTATATAATATTATATATTTATATAATATTTATATATATATATTATATATATTTATATATATTTTTATATATATATATATATTTATATATATATATTATATATATTTATACATATTTTTATATATATATATATAATATTTTATATTTATATAAATAAAAATTACGTATATAAAAATAAATAAATCACGTGGTATCTGGAACGATTGTAGTATTTTTAGTTCTATCAGGTCGTCAAGGATCCAGATCGGTAACCGAACCCGTGCACCGAAACCAAAGATGAACAATTTCCAAGATTTCCGAACGCTGGACGAAGGAAGAACGGAAAATGTTGACGATTCCTAAAAGTAGGCTTGACCCATCAAAAAGCGAATACGTGTTACATTCGGCGAAGCTGCGGAAGTACGTCGAGGATAGCTAGGTCGAATATTCGGTGAAACGACTGCTTGGTTAGCAAGTTTTCACTGCAAAACCATCGGACAGGAATTGTATCGACCGCGGGGGTGCACTGTAAACCTCCGACATTTACGTTCGAAACGGTCTAGCCGGCGTGTACGCAACCTTGAGGGGAATCTCGACGCCGACCCGACAACCGCCTCCTTCGAAAATCCGCGTAAATATTTCACGAACGAGGCGGGTCCGACGCTCGGGCGATTACACGCGTCGATTCCGCGAGCTTTCGCAACATTTCGCGAACCTCCGCAAATTTCCGCGAGTTTCTTCCCATTGAAATCCGAGGCTGCGGAGCCGGTTACTGTGCGGTGATCAATCGCCGTGCCTTCGGTTCGTTTTCGGGTGTACGATTAATCTTTTTTCTTCGTCTGTTTCGTTTATCTTTGAATAAAAAAAATACTGACAGTTATTACATTTAGTTACAATATTAAGTTATAAGTTAAAATATTTACGATATAGTTATTACATTTAGTTACATTTATGATGAAATTAATTCTGCGGCTGCAAGGAAGAACGCTCTCTGCAAGTCACATTTTTTTTCTTCATTTCCGTGATACTGTCGCTTGAAATTCCGATCGCCAATGCTTCGTATTAATAGTGTTTCAAATCGCATAATTTGTCGGAGCCTATAGAATTTATTTTCGCGTTGATCTTTTCTGATAAATACGTTTTGTTTGGAAATTGCGACTTGCGGCGGTTTACTCCTTACGGCTACAGAATCAAGCCCAAAAACGGATCGAGGACACAGCAATTGGTCACGCCACGGTAACCGGCTCCACTACCCTGCCACTACCCTGTCCGAAATGTCAACTCTAGAAAATAACCCTTAGAGATACAAAAACATCATGCTACCGTGTCGTCAGTTGTCAATATTTTTTAATTGAATCTAAAACTAGATAATAGCCACTTCCAAAATAAACGACTCATTTGACCAGATATTTTTACGTTACATATAATTTAATTTCGGCGAAAGCTCTAGAAAACAGCCCCTAGAAAAACACAAAAATATTATACTACCGTGTCATCAGTTGTCAATATTTTTTAATTGAATCTAAAACTAGATAATAGCCACTTCCAAAATAAACGACTCATTTGACCAGATATTTTTACGTTACATATAATTTAATTTCGGCGAAAGCTCTAGAAAACAGCCCCTAGAAAAACACAAAAATATTATACTACCGTGTCATCAGTTGTCAATATTTTTTAATTGAATCTAAAACTAGATAATAGCCACTTCCAAAATAAACGGCTCATTTGTCCAGATATTTCTAAGTTATATATAATTTAATTTCGGCGAAAGCTCTAGAAAACAGCCCCTAGAAAAACACAAAAACATTATACTACCGTGTCATCAGTTGTCAATATTTTTTAATTGAATCTAAAACTAGATAATAACCACTTCCATAATAAACGACTCATTTGTCCAGATATTTCTAAGTTATATATAATTTAATTCCTGCGAAAGCTCTAGAAAATAGCCCCTAGAAAAACACAAAAACATTATACTACCGTGTCATCAGTTGTCAATATTTTTTAAATTTATTAATACGCAAAATCCTCGAATATCTGGATTTAAAAGTAAATTACCACTTTCAAAATGAGCGGCTAATTTGTCCAGATATCGTTCGACCGTAGCCTCGGTTTTACGCCACTGTACCAACAGCCGAGAATAAGGACAACCTACCTTTTATGAGAAGTTGTAATCATCGCGGCCATTATTCTCGCCTATTATTCGCACGTCAGCTTGTCGCCGTGTTAATAATGCCGTGTGTCGTTCGCGTAAGAAAGTAGAAAGGAGAACAGGCGAAATGCGAAGAAACTTAAAAATTTGTCTGTTTGTTCGGCCGATCGATAAAATGTACTCCGATCGGGGTCGCCTATTGATCCGAAACTGGCTACGTTTCGACAGCGAAACCGTATCGTACGCGATACGAGCATAGACAACCGTAAACTATTCGAGAGTCTACGAAGCTGGCAACGTTAAAAGAATTCTTCCGACAATGGCGGTCGATGGTCGCGTGTCCGGCTCGTTGTCGCGGCGTAGGGTGGGGAGGCGGGGATAGGAGGGGGGCGGACGAGAGACCGTCCGTTCCGCGCTAAAAGACCGTGGATTGCAGTGAGTTAACGAGAACTATGAGCGGAGAGTGGCTCTCCAGTGAAGAATCCGTCGTTTCTAGGCCCGCCAGCCTTTCCGACTCGTTCCATCGTTTTGTCAAATAGTTTTATACCCGATCGTTGCTTTTTTTTCTTCTTCTATCCATTCTACCATTTCTACCGGCTGTCTACACGCGGCTTCGCGGCTGATTCGATATCTCCTGCTTCTGATATCTCCATTCCGTTATTTTCCGTTATCCCCGATATTCGAGGTTATTCGTTTCCCATCGTGCCACTTCTCTTTGAACGGCGTGCAATAAATTCTCTCTAATTCACGCTCATATTGTACGCAAATATTGACAATTTTGTAAGAGGAGATATGATTACTCTACTACAGTACTACACTTTATAAAAATTTTCTCCGAGGCATCGTTAACGAGTTATTAACGGAAAACAGTGACCAATGAGGGGCGAGCACTCGACTGGCGCGAGGCGGCCGCGCCAATCAGCGGAACCGGACTTCGCCTGCTCGTTGGCTGGGCGAGCTCGGCTGGCGCGCGGCGGCCGAGCCAATCAGCGGAACTGGACTTCGTGAGCTCATTGGCTGGGCGAGCTCGGCTGGCGCGCGGCGGCCGAGCACGCCTCTCATTGGTCAGTGTTTTTCGTTAATAACTCGTTAACGACGCCTCGGGGAGAATTTTTGTAAAGGAAAAAGTTGCTTCGAATGACCTCAGGAATCTATAACTTCTCGGAAGTACCATAATTTTGGGACAGTCGCAAGAATCGAATAATCATATATTCTCTTCGCAAATTGTCGACTTCTGTGTACAGTCCAAGTGTCAATTAGGGAGAATTTACTATAGTCGATGGTTTACTATTTTTTAGATTCTAGACCGTCGATGCAGAGCCCCACTCTCTTCGCATTCGTGAAGTCCCTAATTAATAAGCATGACCCGCGGAATCGAATCGTTTGACCTTTTTCTTATCGTCGGGATTATCGTAACGACGGAGCACCACCCCTGCGGCGCTATCCGCGATTCCATAGCACGTGGCGCGTGGCGCGTGGCGCGTGAAAGTTCGAAGGTTCATTCAAATTAGGGGGTTCGAAGTATGGCGGGACGTAGGGGGGGGGGGAGAAGACACGTCCGAGTTTCTGAATTTATTTATCTCGATCGATGCTCGTCGTCCCCCACCCATCGGCTATCATGGTGGGGATGCGAGCTGGCGTGTCTGCCGTTTACGCGGGGCCGGGAATCTTCCTAAACGACGCGAGGTCCCTCGATCGAAACACGAGCCTCTACTTCGACTTTCCCGGCCGGCAACACCTAGGCCATCTAGACCTTGGACCATATGTATGTATCATTAGACACGGCGCGTGCGTTTATAGAAAATCCAAAAGACCGGCGAAGCATAGATGACTGTGCACTCTGACGTCACGCGCACTAGCAGATAGTCATTCGAAATGGCTGACGCGGCGTCGGACTTCCGAGTTTAAATCTTAGATGCTGTCGATTTTGAATGATGCGCTAGACTGCCTAGACTACCTAGAGACTATCTAAAGACTACCTAGACTACCTAGGGACTGCCTAGAGTCTGCCTAGACTACCTAGGAACTTCCTAGAGTCTGCCTAGACTATCTAGAGACTTCCTAGAGTCTACCTAGACTACCTAGGGACTCCCTAGAGTCTACCTAGACTGCCTAGAGACTCCCTAGACTACCTAGGGACTTCCTAGAGTCTACCTAGACTACCTAGAATCTACCTAGACTACATAGGCACTCCCTAGAGTCTACCTAGACTACCTAGGGACTTCCTAGAGTCTACCTAAACTACCTAGAGACTGTCTAGAGTCTACCTAGACTACCCAGGGACTTCCTAGAGTCTGCCTAGACTATCTAGAGACTTCCTAGAGTCTACCTAGACTACCTAGAGTCTACCTAGACTACCTAAAGACTGCCTAGAGTCTACCTAGACTACCTAGAGACTGCCTAGAGTCTACCTAGACTACCTAGAGATTTCCTAGAGTCTACCTAGACTACCTAGAGACTTCCTAGAGTCTGCCTAGACTACCTAGAGACTACCTAGAATCTACCTAGACTACCTAGAGACTTCCTAAACTCTACCTAGACTACCTAGAGCCTACCTATACTACCTAGAGACTACCTGGACTACGTATACTACCAAAATCACCTAGACTACCTAGTTATCTAGACCACATTTACTGGCGCAGTTGTCAGCGAAATTGTCGAGCGGCAACCCTTAAATAGAAATGCCGAGTTCAATAGGGCGGTTACCAGCAAACGCCCAACCTTGGCGCGCGCCAACGCTACGATTTTTCAAAGAAACATGTGTCCAGAGGCTGGAAGACAAGGGTGTGGGAGAGGAGGGAGGCGGGGCAATGAATGGAGACAATGGAGTTCTCCCGAGAGCTGCAAGGGCGGCATATAAAAGAACTGAGGAGGACACCTTCGGCGGCGGAATGCCGCGTGTGCTCTCTTTGCACTCTGCCGCATTCTGTGGAAACGGAATGCCCGAAGGACAACTATTTAGCGAATCATCGAGTCAGGTTATGCGAGCCGATTTCGACGACGCTCGTGGTTGGTTCTTGGACGGCTGTCTTTTTTCATCGACCGTTTCGAATGGACGAAAAAAGAATCATATGTAGTAATTTCTCCGGGAATTGCCAAATTTCGGGTTGCTGTGAATTTCCCTATGTTAATCATATATGCTTATGTGATTTATTGCTACGTCGATGCTAAGGATGAAAGGTGTCGGTGAAGCATCTGACGCGGCACGCGACGCGAATTCGCGGAAGAAAATAGAAAATGGTCTGTTTGGGTGTGAGTTTGATTATTTTCTAAAAACCGCGGTGCTGCAGGGTACGTGAACGTCGAATCGTGGGCTATGACCACCGAATGGTGAATCGTGAATCGTGTCACGTGGCCTCCGAATTGCCTTCGAATCGTGGCGAAAAATTAGAAATAAAAAAGCTAAGTCAACTTTTTTATTCTAGCATTACTATGTGTTCATATTAATGTACATCGGCATGCTGACAGCTGCCTTTTTTTGCCGACTGTCCCGAGTTTCTACAAAAACGAGCGGCGCGAGGCTGGAAGAATCGCGACTCGGTATTCTCAGATCTGCCGGTTTCAATTCCGATCGTCCGAACATTTCTGAGAGAAATTACTGCGAGTCGTGGGTTGGGCGCAGCAATCTATTGCTTATTTACGAAGAAACGGATCATATTGGCAGACCAAAAGTGGACTCTGACCGATCGGCTTCCGAACCTACCGTATGCGCACGTGGCCGAGTGGCTTCGAAGAATCAAATCGATAAAATACATTTCGGGCATATTTATCACTCGAATTTGTCCGGAATTGTTGAATTTGTAAAACCGTTGAACAGCTCCGGTCTAAAGCAACATGTTTCGTACCGATGGAGAGGAAAATTATGAATGTCGAAAAAAATGGTGAAATGAAAAAATTTGCCGTGCGGTCAAAGCTTGAAAATAAAATAGAGGGCACCCCGGTTACCAAACAGCCGTAAAAACTTTGATCGCCCGCACAAGGATTAACGTTTCTAGAGCGGTTGTACCTGTGTACAGGCTAACGCGTTCAGAATTTGTGGCCGAGGATGGTAAAAAAGCAGCTTAAAATCGGGGGTCCTCCGAGGGCTAATTAGTTTCAATGAGAAATGTACAGCATGAAATGCAACGAGCGTACAACAGATGCTACACATTATCTACCTGCTCTCTTTGCAGGGCTAGCCCGAAACGGGTTAACCCGTTACATGGTTACACAATTGCGCTGGGAGAAACTACTGTAAGTCGCGGGTTGGGAACCCATTTTTTCTTTAGCTATCTAAGGAAACTGACATAACTCCCCTTGCGTAGGCGACTAGGGCATCCACTTCTATGTTGACTTATAATTTTTTCATGTTATTTATCTACGTTTCTATAAAAACGAGCCGCGAGACTCGAAGTATCGTGTCCGAGTGTCCGGCGATTACCGTTTTCAATTCCGTGGTCCGGGCCTTTCAGGGAGAATTTACCGTAATTGGCCGTAAACGGTGAAACGCAAGAATCGAGGCGGCTCCTCGCTCGCATAATTAACGCCAGAGCAAGTTTCAATGAGAAATGTACAGCGTGAAATGCAACGAGCGTACAACAGATGCTACACATTATCTACCTGCTCTCTTTGCAGGGCTAGCCCGAAACGGATTAAGCCGTTGCATGGTCGCACAATTGCGCGGGGGCGCTTGCTTTCGATTCGCTTTTGATCCGGTCGGGAGCGGTATCGGCAACATAAACGTCGAACTCCTGCATTGTATCGGTTTCGATTGTCGCTAAACCGAGGACGTCCGTTCGGCGTCAGGTCGTCCGGCTGACAGGCCATCGTTTCATTGTCTCGTTTGCGTCGGCGATCTTTTAACCCTCTATCGATAACTATCGAAGGCTCTCCAACCCGGGTTTCCACTGTCGGATGATCGCCGTTCGCCGTGAATTAAAGCTGGTCGAAACATTGTGACCCTCCAGTAATTGTGTTCCCTGCGGGGGTGCGCCACGTGCCAAGCACAGCGAACTCTCTCCAATTGTTCCTCAGCTTGTAAACAGACAATTTGGGGAGTGGAGATACGATTGTTCGAACCTCGCCGGCTTATTATTGTCGACAATCGGCGACTATGAAAGCGACGACGCGCGCGGCTCACAAACAATCTTATCTCCTTCTCCCAAATTGTCCGCTTCTGTTTACAAGTCGAGGGACAATTGGAGAGAATTTACTGTGTATATATTATATATACATACGTACCACGTGCCACGAGGGGAAAAAAAAATTCCTGACTGAATAATCGTGTCGTTCCGTCTACACTGGTATTAATTAACTTTTACAGACGAAATCGAAAGTATAATGACCGGGACTAGGGTAATCGGGGTTGGAGGACAGCGAGTAGATCGACACGCGGTCGGTTTCCCTGCAATTTGTTCGCGGTCGATGTTCCAAATTGCCGTTCGTTAGCGGGGAACAGGGACAAAACGGCAACCGATGGATGCTCGTAGGAATTTATTTAGCCCGGAACCCCTTCGATTTTACCTTCGAATTCGGAACGCAGTTTCCTCTCCGAAATCGTCGGAAGTCGAGGTACGGTGCTGATTTCGTAAGATCATGAATTGATTAGCGAATCGCATGGGAAGGTCAGAACGGCAACCACGAATGGGCCGGTGAACGACGATAAACTTCGAAAAGGGAGCAACGTACCGGAAAACGTTGGGAAACCATGGCGTCGACTTGGACGAAATTGGAGCACGATGCATGGGATATACACGAGTGTATTGTTTGCCGAGAAGTTTGCTCTGGTGTTAATTATGCGAGCGAGGAGCCGCCTCGATTCTTGCGTTTCACCGTTTACGGCCAATTACGGTAAATTCTCCCTGAAAGGCCGGGACCTCGAAATTGAAAACGATAATCGCCGGACATTCGGACATGATACCTCGAGTCTCGCGGCTCGTTTTTATAGAAACGTATAATAAATAACATGAAAAAAATTATAAGTCAACATAGAAGTGGATGCCCTAGTCGCCTACGCAAGGGGAGTTATGTCAGTTTCCTTAGATAGCTAAAGAAAAAATGGGTTCCCAACCCGCGACTTACAGTAGTTTCTCCCAGCGCAATTGTGTAACCATGCAACGGGTTAACCCGTTTCGGGCTAGCCCTGCAAAGAGGGCAGGTAGATAATGTGTAGCATCTGTTGTACGCTCGTTGCATTTCATGCTGTACATTTCTCATTGAAACTAATTAGCCCTCGGAGGACCCCCGATTTTAAGCTGCTTTTTTACCATCCGCGGCCACAAATTCTGAACGCGTTAGCCTGTACACAGATACAACCGCTCTAGAAACGTTAATCCTTGCGCGGGCGATCAAAGTTTTTGCGGCTGTTTGGTAACCGGGGTGCCCTCTATTTTATTTTCAAGCTTTGACCGCACGGCAATTTTTTCATTTCACCATTTTTTTCGACATTCATAATTTTCCTCTCCATCGGTACGAAACATGTTGCTTTAGACCGGAGCTGTTCAACGGTTTTAGAAATTCAACAATTCCGGACAAATTCGAGTGATAGATATGCCCGAAATGCATACGGTAGGTTCGGAAGCCGATCGGTCAGAGTCCACTTTTGGTCTGCCAATATGGTCGGTTTCTTCGTAAATAAGCAATAGATTGCTGCGCCCAACCCGCGACTCGCAGTAATTTCTCTCAGAAATGTTCGGAGATCGGAATTGAATCCGGCAGATCTGAGAATACCGAGTTGCGATTCTTCCAGCCTCGCGCCGTTCGTTTTTGTAGAAACTCGGGACAGTCGGCAAAAAAAGGCAGCTGTCAGCATGCCGATGTATATTAATATGAACACATAGTAATGCTAGAATAAAAGAGTTGACTTAGCTTTTTTATGTCCAATTTTTCGCCACGATTCGAAGGCAATTCGGAGGCCACGTGACACGATTCGAAGGCAATTCGGAGGAAANAGGCAATTCGGAGGCCACGTGACACGATTCGAAGGCAATTCGGAAGCCACATATCAGGATTCGATGGTCACATACCTAATACAGTAAATTCTCCTCAATTGTCGTTCAGCTTGGAGATGAAAATGCGCAACTCGAGAATCTTCGATTTCTCATCGTCCGATTCCCGTTGATAATGACAAAAAAGCCTTACCTGCGACCTACTTCCGGCACAATTCGCCGTGCCCACGGCTTTCGCATAAGTTTCTCGGGTCGGCTGCACCCTAGTTCCGCTGTTCTTTCGTTGCCGAACCTTTCATTAGCCCTTGGCTGTTACGATGGTCATTCTCATTCCACTTGACACGTTTCGGTAATCCCACTTCCCTTTCACTCTCTCTCTCTCTCTCTCTCTCTCTCTCTCTCTCTCTCTCTTTTTTCCCCTCTATTTTCCGTCAACCATGCCACCATCTTTGTCGAGTCGTTTAAAAAAACAGCGAGATTTTTTGTTCACGTTTTCGTTTATTCCAACGGCGAACAGAGCTATTTCTCGCGCATCGGCCGCGTAATTTCCGGCGAAGCTGATCTTCGTTTAATTTCCCAGTAACAATGATCCGGTGGACTCGATGGGTCAGTCGGACAGCCGTTCGGTCAACGAAGTCCTCCGTGTTCTCGCCTTGACCATCGCCTTGTTTCTGTAAATTGCCGGTCGTTTTGATCCCCGCCAGGGACACGTTGCAGCGATTCCGGTACGCGATTGCTTCTCCTTACCTGAGCACGCTCTCGTAAATAGAGTATTCCGATTGCGCGGAGAAATTGCACATCCGAGCGTCGAGCCGAACAATGAACGGAATGCTTCTGAGTGCATCCGAGAATATCTCGCCCACTGAAACAGTACGGGTTATCATTCTCTAGCCGGCGCCATCGATCCGCGATCGCGTCGAGATACAGCGTTCTCGTGATAGGAAATTTCGAGGAAAAGCGGCGACTTCGGTACAGTAACGGTCACAAAAAGATGACGAATTTTGACATGATCACAGTTACACTCGTTATTGTCTAGCGAGAAACACTTTGCGAATTCGTTTCTTATCTTCTGGTATACAAATATCAAAATATTAGTACCTTTGGTTGATTCAACCCTTTGCCCTACAATATTGTGCCACACTCGTTTCGGTGATTTGGAACATGATCTGCTAAATATGGATATTATTCATATATTATATATTCATATATTATATGTATATTTCTATATTTTATATTTACATATTATATATTTATATATTATATATTCATATATTATATGTATATTTCTATATTATATATTTACATATTATATATTTATATATTATATATTCACATATTATATATTTATATATTACATATTCATATATTATATATTCATATATTCCATATATTTTATATTATTTCAAATCGAAATAAGATTCTACGTGAATCAACGTAGCTGTGAAAGAAGTCTCTTAGTGCAAGAGATCGAGTTCATTGATCGAGCATAAAAATATGGTTGAATCACGGAATTTATTACCCAACGAAAGCGGAACAAGTCGTCCTTTGGAACTACGTAACCAAAGGAAGCCAAATTGGAAACTACTTGGAAACAAGCATGCTATAAATGTTTAAAGACTGGCCTCTTTATTTTGACCGCAGAAATGGCGGTCCACGAAAGACTACCGGAGAAAAAAGATGGATCGTCGTATCCATCGTTTGCACGCAAAGGATCGTTTCTGTTCTACAATTGGAACAGTTAAAAGACAGTTGGCACATTTTCAATCAAAAGCATGAAAGCCGCATAAAAGAGGCCGACACCGAGTACCAGAAATCGAAAAATGAGTTTTGCATCTGCTAAGGCTTGTCAACATTGAACACGTCAGGATTGACCAAAGAATATTATCGAAGCACAATCGTGTTACTTTTCTGATTGATTGCTGTACGCGAGACGTCGTTCCGGAGGAGATTCGCAACCGCAGTGCATTTTACCAATTTCTTTCTTTTCGCCTTAGTCTTTTGTCCGCTACTGTACATATAATATATTTTAATTTATAATATATATATATATNTCTTTTGTCCGCTACTATACATATAATATAATTTAATCTATATTATATATATATATATATATATATATATATATATATATAATATAGATTAAATTATATTATATGTACATATATATATATATATAATATAATATAATTTCAATGAGAAAAAAGTAATTTTGTGAATGTCTAGTAGGCTAGTCGCTCTATCATCTGAACAGAAAAAAATTCAAATTGTTTATTCCAGTTATAAAGAAAGTTATACGTTTCAAAGAGTGTCCGAGAACTTTTAACTACCAGGAAATACAGGGCGTTCCAAAATTATGGTATTTCCGGGAAATAAGGGCTTCCTGAGGCCATTCGAAGTAACTTTTTCCTTAGCGAAAATGCAATCTGCTGCTTTGTTTACGAGTTATTAACGAAAAACGGTGACCAATGAGAGGCGAGCTCGACTGGCGCGAGGCGGCCGAGCCAATCAGCGGAATCGGGCTTCGTGCGCTCATTGGTTCTGCCGCCTCGCGCCAGCTGATTGCATTTTTGCTAAGGAAAAAATTATGTACTTCGAATAACCTCAGGAACGAACCCTTTAATTCCCGGAAATACCGTAATTTCGGGACACTCTGTACAATGTTAGCGTTATTTGAGAGCCTACGATTCATAATAAATGAGCCCCCTTTATCATAAAATGTCTCCGTGCCGGTTTTAGGCATCGGTTATCGTTTACCGGGACGCAATCCATTCGCGTAATCAAGGAGATTCGATCTCTCTCACCTTCCTGGCCTAAATCGTTATTCGACAGGTCTAGGCGGAGGGTTTTTAAGTCGCAACCGGAGCTCAATGCTTCGACGAAAGCCGCGCCTCCGGCAGGTCCTACCCCACAGCTACTCACGTTCAGTATCTCCAGCCTGTCGGTTCGCAGCAAGTCTGAAACGGATTCAAACTATATATATATATATTATTATATTATATATATAATTATATATTATATTGTATATTATATATTATATTGTATATTATATATTATATTATATATATAATTATATATTATATTATATATATTATCATATATTATTTATATGTTATATATCTACGTATTCAGACTATATATTTCGCTAAGGAAAAAGTTACTTCAAATAACCTAAGGAATCCACCATTTCCGGATTGCGAGACACTTTCGGGACACCCTGTATCTACATCATAGTTCTAATTTCGATACTCGACGATATCGATTCGAGAAGCCTCTTCGCGCGATTTCTCGATACCTCCTCAAACGATAGGATCGTTTGTTATTAGACGGAATCGAATGGAAATTCATCTGAATTTCTCGCGAACCGAATCGCTTTATAAATTACGATTCGTCGGGACGAATCGATCGCGGAACAATCCACCGTGGTCCACCGCCGACTTTTTAGTCACTCCACAGTGAAAGACGTTGTTTCGCGCGAGTTTTTAAAGAGAATGCACTCACACGCGCACAGATGAATAGCACCCTTGTCCAGCAGAGGGTTCAGTCTCAAGTTCAGATGCTCGAGCACCGGTGTTCCCTTCAGTATTCCGTGTATCAGACCCGCCATTCCTTTCGGCCCTATGTTGTTGTTCACCAACTGTATCACCTTCGTGTTGTGCGCCGAGAGAAACTCGCCGACGGCAAACGCTCCCTTGTCCCCCAGTTTGCAGTGGGAAAAGTCGATCTCCGTGATCTGTGCGCCGGGAAGAAATTCTGTTGAATCCTACGCCGCTGCGAACGTTCCGTGCACGGTTCGATTCGCGGCGGACGGCCGTCCCGTGCAAAAATCCTGTCGAAATTTCGAATCGATTCTCTTCTGGTCGGCCGGATCCTTGCACGCTTCGCGCTGTCTCGCCCAGAGACCCGTACGCGGTTCGTTCGCAGTTCTCAGTTCGGTCTAATTGTTGTCTCATTCGATCGATCACCGACATTCTGGTTCTCCACCAGTCCTTGAAGTAAACCAGCGGCACGCGGCTGATCCAAATTGCTCCTGGAGATGCTGAATTTGTTCAGCTTCGAGCAAGGCTGCAATCCTCGGCCGAGACCCTGGCAATCCTCGACGGAGAACCTTTTTTTTTCGTAGAAAATAAAATTTCTATAATATTTCTATTTATACTCATCGGCGAGCCGAACCGATTCACAGAGTTTTATTGTTATTTCTGAACTTGCAGAACCCCATATTGGTATAACGAAATTCATTTTTCAATCGAGGTTCTAACCGTAATAGCAATCGCACTGAAAGAAGAAAATTTTCGGATTGCGAGACATTTTTTGGACACCCTTAATTAATATATATATATATGTATATTAATATTATTAATTATTATTAATATATATATAATATAATATATATAATATAATATAATATAATATAATATAATATAATAATATAAAAATAATAATTTATATATTAATAATAATTAATAATATTAATATATATATTAATATTAATGAATAATGAGAAATAACGATGAAACACCGTCGGCTCGTCGATTAATAGAAATGGACCTTTAGGCGGAGTTTTCGAGGGAAACAGCCTACTTCCGACAACGCATAAAGTTCTAGTTGCAGTTTAGTTGAAACTTAACGAGGGCTAATTGTGGTCGGTCGGTCGGTGGTTCGCGACAAAAATATATCTAGCCGACCTTCCCCGACCAGTCAAGGATGGCGTAGGTTGTTGGAAACCGACCAGGAATCGACTGCGATAATATTGAATAGTAGCGCGGGGGATCTTTGCTCGTGTCCCAGGAATGTATACGCCGTACGTACGCGACACACGACACCGGCGGGGACGGGTTGTCAGGCGCGCGGCGGCACGATTATTATTCCAACGCCAACTGTCGGCCGAGGAAAACAATGAGACAAGCGATCTGCCGTGCACCTTTTGCCGGGACGCGAGCGCGCGCGGCTCTATTGAAATTTGAAGGGCTTCCTCGGGAAACGGGGCGAACTTTAAAACGGGGCCTGCATTGTTGTTGCGCCGAATGCATATTTTATGAATCGTCGTGGAAACAACTCACTGGAAGTCACGCCACTCGAATCCGTCGTTCATGTAAATCACGCCGAAGTTGATGCGGACCTCGGTGAGATTGGCCAGCTGGGGCAGGATCTCGGCCATGGGAATGTGCTGGACTATGTCCTCCTCCGCGTGACAAGGATCCCCCTCGTCCGCGGACTTCACTTTTCTGTAAAGCAACGTCGAAGGGATCGTTAACCCATTTGTGCATGGTTAGCCAAGATTTTCCTCCTTTTTTATTCCTTATTTTTTTCCTATTTTTTGAAGATCTTCCGGATCGTCTAAACAATTTGAAAATATTATTTTATCACTGCGAATCCGATCGAATTATTCAGAAAAGAAAATCAAACGAACGTCTCTATGTTGTGACGTCGATAAAAATCCGCAGTCTACTTGTCGCAAAGGAAAATATGAGAAACGATTTATCATCAACGTGACAAATGCAAAGCGATCGATGCACGCGGATTAATTAATTTCGTTTGCCGCGAGAACGATGCGAAGATGTGTACGGTAGTGTATTATGGCTCTATCTTTGGTCCGAAGGAAGACATCTCGGACCGGTGGAGCAAACGAAAATAATGCGATTCGCCCTTCGGCTCGTTACGTTAAAATGGTACTAAAACTCGGCGATCGGACTGGAAAGTTTCTTCGCAGATCGCTCGTCCGCGATTAGGCCGTGAATTTGACCGCGAATTCGGCCACGACTCGCCTGGTCGGTCGGAGGGAACGGATCCTTATCTTGTGCACGTAACTTCCTACGAGGCTGATCGTTCTCTCGCACTCCTCCCTCTGCGTCTCGTAGAAACTTGGCTCGAGGCTCTCGAGATACTCGCAGAATATACCCTCGCAGTAACGCTGTCGCCATGAATTCCCGTGCTCGGCCAGCTCGTTGGTCTCCCACCTGCAACGTTCAACGATTTCTTGAACAATTCAACAGCGAGGATTCTATGTTTCCCGAGCTCGAACACGGCCAGAGCCAGATTCAGACCTAGATCCAGACCCGGGCCCTTATGGCAGAGCTGTACAATAACTTATGAGCCACCCTGGGTGCCCTAGGGTTATACATAAGGCACTCGGGTAAACGAAAATTACCTATTAAAAAGGACCGAACAGCTGGAAAATGTACGCGTTTGCAGAACCCGGAAGACGCGTTTCGTGGACTTGCGATTCCTTCAGATTCATATTTACGGAGTCTGAGATTTTTACAATCAACTTTCTTCAACTTTTTAATGAAACAGATGATCAATGATTAATTGTATTTAAATTTATTATTTCTATTATTACGACATTTGGCCGTCTCGCGCCAACCGGACTCACTTCTCATCGAGAAGTTAGACAAGGTTATGTCATAAGCTTGACATAACCAATATTTTTGGTTAATAGCCGCGGATTGCATTTTTCGCTAAGAAAAATGTCACTTCAAATGTGACCTCAGGAAGTAACATAACCTTGACATAACCCGAGAGACGGAGAAGTGTCGTAATCCCGTTGATTCTGGGTTAGGTTTCTTGACGAATCTATAGTTTGGATAATCATAATTACTTGTCCCTCGAGCATCGTTCCCAGTAGTGCTCATCCTCGATCTTCGTGATGGCTAATTCTAGAGGTAGGTCGACTGGTAGCAGTTCGAGAAGCTCGTTCCTGTCCTCGCAGGTCGGTAGCTCGTCCAGGATCGGATTATCCTTCCACGTGACGGCTATGGCGAGAAGAGCGAGCCTCCTCAGGCTTGGAATCCTATTCTCGTCCCAGAGAGTATCCTCCGAGCGAAGGGTACGCTCCAGCTCGCTCGACAGCCGCGTCGTCTCGTAGGAGCATCTTACGAACAAGAGAAATCGCGTCGTTCTAACCTTTGATATTCCGGAGAAATTATTTCGTTGATTACACGGACAAAACGTTTGCATTACTTGTAGACCTCGAACACGTTTCTCGGCACAACCTGCGGTATCTTCATTTTCGAAAAATATCAATTTTCCCTTCGCCTCGTCCACGGAGCTACGACAGACCCTCTGAATTACGCCACCGAAGTCTTCTGCTACCTTCGGAGAGTCTGCGTATAGAAATCGAATGAAATGCGTTTCATTAGCTGTAATATTGTACATGATGTCCCATAATTATGTTAATACCCGGAAAGAAATGATTCCTGATGCAATCCGCAGCTTTGTTGACGAGTCATTAACGAGAAAAACAGTGACGAATGACAGGCGAGACCAGCTGGCGCGAGGCGGCCATTGCTCAGTTCCGTTCATTGGCCATCTCGCGCCAGCCGAGCTCGCCTCTCATTGGTCAGCGTGTTATTCGTTAATAAGTCGTACAGAAAGCCACGGATTGCATTTTCGCTAAGGAAAAAGTTACTTCAAATGACCAGAGGAATCGTCCCGTTTCGGGTGTTGACATAATTATGTGAAAAATAATCAATCCTGTATATTAGCAGTGACGAATCGACCAAAGATCCGCGCAACGGTTCCGACGGATGATTGATGATACCGGTCGACTTGTCGGTTTCAGGAGTGTCCGGAGGGCGTTGTGCACGAAGACTCGTTCAAGGACATCTACGCGAAGTTCTTCCCCCATGGCAGTGAGTTCCAATTAAATAAAGACCAGCGTTTGTTGCGTAATTAGTTAACGGCGACCCCGTACGAATTCCAGACTCCAGCCTCTACGCCCATTACGTGTTCAAGGCGTTCGATGTGAACTGCAACGGCGCCATCAGCTTCAGGGTAATTCACTCTAAACGGATCTTTCACGGTTCTCTAGACGCTCTCGCGGCAGGGACTCTGGGGAGAATGCTCGAAATCTATAGAAATTCGAAACCACCGTAAATGAAATGAAATGAAATGCGAACGAAATGCGAACGGAATGAAATCGAGAATTGATTTAGATAAGCTGATTCTCTCCCCCGCTGCAGGATCTGCTAGTGACCCTGTCGACGTTGCTGCGCGGCAGCATCTACGAGAAGCTACGGTGGACGTTCAAATTGTATGACATCAACGGGGACGGTTGCATCACCAGAAGCGAGCTAGGTGAAGTTGTAACAGCGGTGCACGAGCTGATGGGTAGGCGGCATCACGCCGAGGAGGAGAGGAAAGCCAGGGAACAGCTGGACAGGGTGTTCAAGAAGCTAGATCTGAACCAGGACGGCGTAATAACGATCGAGGAATTTATCGAGAGCTGTTTGAAGGTACGGACGAGCGACGTCTTCCTTCGATCTACGAGGCGCGGCGCGGCGTGGCGTCTCCGAGATTCTGTCCTCCCTTAGGGTTTTCGCGGAACCCATTCCAATCCGAGCTTATTGCCGGTCGTTTGTCAAGCGGAGCCTATAATACCCGGTGCTTCGGTCCGTGGGTACCGTTTTACGTACAGCATTCTCTCCAAAAGCGATCGAACCCCGGGGCTGTCTATTGTACATGATCAACGATCGTGTAGGTGTACCGCGTTACGTACTAACTCGAAGGGGGTACGGCCCGGCAAGATGGGGTCGAATGTGTCCCCTAACCAAATTGATTTTTGTTTAAGTCCATTCGGTATACAACTCGATGGAATACCTCTTGGCCAAGTTTCAAGTCCGCTATTTCTTGACAAAATTCACGAATCTTCTACTTATCAGGGCACTGTGTGTGTGTGCCAACACCGAATTTTGTTCATTTTGGAAGTATTTTATAATATATAATATTATTATACTATACTATACTATATATATACTATTATATTATTATATAATATTATATTATATATATATATATTATATAAATCACTTCTGTATTCAATGAAATGACCTGATAATTATATTAGTTCAAATGTTGCGACGGAATCATAATTAATGCTATTCGGCGCTATTCAGAAAATCGTTGAATTAAATAATTCACCGAAATAACTCTCAGATGCATTTCTGCATGAAACGTTTCTTTATACTACTATTATATAACTACTATTATAATTATATTATATAACTACTATTATATAAGAATATAAATATGTGACGCCTTGAGAGCTTCAATGTAAAATCAGCATATTTACGTTTCCAGATATTTTGAACAATTGATTTTGCAACTGAAAATTCTGACAAAATTCAGAGCATTGTGTCCCGTTAGGTAGGAAATGCATGCATTTTTTCATAATCTCTCATTGTGTTGGGCAGAACAGGAAAAATAGAGCATGTTGTCAATTCAATTTAACAGCTTTATGGCGATGTTGCTGACTTGAAACGTGGCCGAGAGGTTTTTCTTTAAGCGGTATATCGAATGATCTACAGTCTAAACAAAAATCAATTTGGATAGGGGTCACATTTGATCATCTTATTCGGCTGTACCCTTTGAAGCATTGCTTGCTTTACAGTCCGAACTGTGCGTTGTGCGATCACGCTAACAATACAGTCATTTTTTCATGAAAATGCGCACGATAAATTGCACGATCGATCATCTTTTGATATATATTGGTAACTGCTTCATCGGAACGGCTGCTCGATCACCAAGGATGTTTGTGTTGCAGGACGACGTGATCACTCGATCGCTGGCAATGTTCGATTGCGCGCTCTGATCTCCGGCGAAGGAAGAGCCTCCTCTGGCAGTGAGTACGACGTCGCCGATCTCGCCGATCACACCGGTCACACTTGCCACACCTGTAACGCCGCTCTCCACCACGACAACCACCTTCTCGCAGTCTCAGTCGCCTTCGCCACCGCCGCCGTCCTACTCTTTGCTGCCACCGATCCCACCGCCTTTGCCTTCGCAGCCGCCTCCGGGGTACACAGTTCAAGACCAGGAACTGTACATGCTTCTCGCGGCTCACTGGTGGAATCAGCCGGAGGCTCCGCTCTTTTGCTGAGGGTAATTGCTGCCACTTAAGTATGCCTCTCCTCGAACGTTACACTTTTCTCTTTTTTTACCAAGGCTCGATTAAACGGCCCCGACCGTTTCCAGGCCGCGACTCCGAACATCCACGACGAGCGGGGGATTTCAATCTTGCGGGTTCAAGAATACGATTCTTCTCGTCAAACTGCCGAGGGATGCGATCTAACGAAGCGAAATCGAGAAACAAAGCAAATCGATATGGTTCCAAGGGAACATCCCCGAGGATATATTCGATGTACCATCGTGTTCCATAAAGTCGCCGAACAAGAGACTATCGTGTACTCGAGGACTGGATAATCTTCTGGAAAAGAAAACGTCTGTTTCTACGCGAATTGCGTGCCAAATCACAGCGGAGAGTATTTCACGTGGGAGCGTCGTTGCGCGACGTCGAGTCACGACAAATTCGAACAGAGTCACACCGTGGATCCGTAGGTGGCAGATATCTATATTTCCCTTTCTAACGAATCTTCCACCTCCGGAAACAACGTATTAATCTCCTAGCACGATAGATCGTGATTGGCGGAAGAACCGGGTCGGTACCATGCGCGAAGTTGCATCTATTACACGAGTTCGATATTCTTCTGATTTTCGCTGTGAAACTGTCTTTGGAGATACCGTTGCAAACGGGAGTTGTAAGGAACGGCGTATAACAAATGCGCTTTGCAGGCATAGCACCGACATAGAGCCGTCATAGGCGCCGGCACAGAATTTGTATGCAGGGTAATCGACTCACAGGGACACAGAACTGCCCGATCTCGCCGCTGTATACCGGTTAATCAAGCCGCGGGGGGCGCAGAACTGACTCAGCACAGCTGTATACGGGGTAATCGACTCCCAGGGGCGCAGAACCAGCCTATCGTCGTTGTATACCGCGTAATCAACGTGCAGGGGCGTCGCGAACCGACTCGGTGAATCGCAGCGTGGGGTAGCAGGGAAACGTATTCGATTTTCTTTCAACGACAATCGTTCCGCGAATTAATTACAGGAAATCGTCGTTTTCGTCGATCGACGATTCGAGGCGGTAGTATACGAGAACGGTGTGCGCCGTTATCGTCGAGAAGCCTTGGTACCAGGGGCCCCCGACTTTCTAGGGAATATATCCGTAGGCGTTTTAAGCCGTAAGCGAACCGAGAATCAACTTTTCTAAGGCGTCGATCGTTAAACGAACGAATACTCCTGGACGTTGACGCTTCGACGGCCGTCGGGAAAGCGCATATATCGGCCGTCGACGCGTCAACGGTGTAATCGGTACTAAACCTGACGCCAAATAAGAAGGTCCCTGAGAAATGTCGACAACCGAACTCGTTCATTGGTTCACGAGTGAACATAATCGAGCGGAGCAGCAGGGACCGTGAATCGAAGCGTTAACGGAACGAGATGCGCGTAACAGGTTCCTTTTTATTTGGTGTCAACTATAGTCCTCGTGGATTAGGATCCTGTTATCGCTCACCTGGCAATCAGAACACCAAATCGCAATAATTAAGGTAACGAGCGCGCTCGCCGGGATAGTTTTCGTTCGACTTTATTTATAGTTTCTCTAGAGATTAATGTCGGGTGTTATCGAATCCCTAGCGTTAGGTTAGACTTTCGGGCGACCGGGTGACATTCGCTGGCCCACCTATGACTCGAGAGAGAGAGAGAACTATGCGACCGAGAACAGTCGTTTCGGAACGCGAGACAAGGAGCGAGAGTAATACGCGTTCGAACCGTAAAGCGACGCGGGACGTCCATGGGTCTCACCTCGCGAATCGCCGGAGATTTTCTGTAATTGTTTCGAGCCCCGAGACGGAGTGGAGCCGAATCACGGTGGTCGTCTTAGGATAGTTGTCGTCTCGACCGTCAGCGTAGCACTGTCCTCGCGTCCGGTCGCGTCGCTGGCGGACGGGACGGTGTCATTTGGTAGCCGGTTGCCAGGCGCGTGCCTATGGCAACCCGTAGCCAGTATGGATCTCACATTAGCGCGCGATCTTCTAGCCGATTTAGGGATATCGTACAAAACGTGATCGCGAAACGAATCTCCGCGCGTGTTACGGTTTTAGTCCGACCGATGCGTATTCGTATTTTTCGACCAGCTTCTATATTCCGCATTTTTCAATGGCATATGGACACACACACACTGATTATCGGAAGGATTCCTACGAATTTTCTGTTTGTTCGATTTTTCTCGGACGCGTTTCTAGCCGACGATGGGACAGATAATCGGCTCTGTCAATTACATTTAATATTATCGTTACGATAAAACACGATTATTCACCGAACGACGGCGAACGGTGTACTTCTAATCGTAAGTAATCCTAAGCAATACGGGGCGGAGGTGTATTTCCCAAAACGAAGTGCTTTAATTATTCTAATAACGATTATATACAGAAAGCTCTATTTAAACTGTACTCGAACGACGAGAGCGTATTATACAGGGTGCCGCAATAACGAGAACTGAAATTCGAGATTCAATTGATTGGTCATTGATTGGACACAACACCATATATGCCACACGACATTCCATGATGTCGGACGAGTATCGTTCCCATCGCTGGCCGCGATACGATCGAATCCGTCGACCGGAAACACGTTAGCCGATGATTTTCCGTAGCGTTCTCAAATGGTTTCTCCGATCTCTTCACGAACCACGGATTCAGGAGAGAAAAAAAGAAAAGGTTGAACCGTTGATCGTTGTTCCTAAAACAGATGAAAGCACGTGAACCTAGAGAATTTAATTTTTCCAGTTGAAAAAATCGCATAATCCATGATGCATATTTACCATAAATATCTGCAGTCTCGAGTCGTCGTCCTGGGAGCCGAGACGGCTGAATCGGTCGCCGCTGGTTAATTGAAACCGGAGAAAGATTCAGTTTTCAATGTTGTACATTTCCCCCGACGGAACCGAATTGTGGTCGGTGACAGAACCGGAAGCGAAAATCATAGGCGTCGATATTTCCGGTGGCTCCGCGTTGCGTAATCGATCGAGCGTTACACAATTTTTATATGTTTTCTATGGAAAAAAAGTGAAACAAGAGGACCCTAGACGGCAAAACAACGAATGTTATATTACAAACTTTTTCTACCCAAGCGATGAAGGAAACGCGGGAACGTTCCGTCGACTTACCTCTGCCAAGATCTGGCGGTAAAACTAAAAAGCTTGCATAGTGTTCACAAATTTGGAAGATCGTTCGTTGAACGAAGAAGCGATAGAGGGCAAGAGAGAGAGAGAGAGAGAGAGAGAGAGAAGAGAGAGAGAGAGCGTTGCCAGAGTTAAGTCGAAGAAGCTTCCAAGAATTTGTTGTTCCGTTGTTTAACGTTACTTCTGGCGTGCGGTGGGCACGTAGAGACGAAACACGCGAGAAAAGGTCCCTGTTCAACAAGAAAAAAAAAAGTGACTACAGAGCAGAAGGTACATATGCGATTAGGGTACTAGCGACGAAAAATTTGGACACCGAGAAAGAGAAGAAGGAGGAGAGAGAGAGAGAGAGAGAGAGAGAGAGAGAGAGAGAGAGAGAGAGGCAAGATAAAAATAATCGATATTTTCGTAGGTGAGCCATACGATGCGGCTTGTTCCTCGGGTAATCGGCGAAACGCGTGGATGATGTTCGCGTAGAAAAAAAAACAAAAACAAAGAGGTTCGCACCTTGACATAACCTACGCTCGCGTAGAGAACGTCGATCGGAGGGGGACTTGTGTAAATATCTTGTAGGGCAAACTGAGGCCGTTCGTTTCCGTTGTATTTTGTACGTACATTTTGATTTTGTAGGCGCATCAAGATCCACACAGTCCAGTAATCGGTAATTTAGAATACATATCGTGCGTGCTTGTTGGTCGGTCGTTCGTGTTCGAATGTTCTGTGCAGCCGCCGCGCAATTCGAGGTCTTTTAGCGGCCCTCTCTAATCCTCCGACATGTTTAGAAAAATATTAGAAATCAAATACGCGAGCCAATGGGTCGCGTGTAGGCTAGAAAAAGATCCTGCTCGGACCGGAAGTGTTCCCTCGTTCGCCGAGATCTTTCGTGAAGATCTCTTTTGTAAAATTCGCGTGAAAGAGGAACGGCGGGACGCGACGCTAACGAGGGAAAGACGATCGCGAGAAACGATCGCGACGATTTTCCGGACCGAGCGTAGCATAAGGAGTATACTTGTTAGTATACTTGTTGTTAGAAGCGAAAATGTGCGTAGTTGTAAATCTGAGAAGGAACCTAGTCAATTGATCGAACGTTAGAGGTTCTCGTAGATCGTAATTTCAATCGGAGACTAGAGCCAGCCCTATGTGAAACGTAACTTCCACATCGAATCCATTTCATTGTCGGATTCGTGTTCGATTCCATTGTTACGATCGATTGAGCGCGTAGAATAGACACACACACACACACGGAGACTCTCGATCTCGCCGATTAGACGAGATCCCGACGAACGGACGGATAGACGACGCACAGACGACTCTGGTGTATTTACATTAGCGTGCAATTTCATTCGGAACGCGTCACAACGATGTGTGCGCGCGCGCGAGTAAGAACGAATCAAAACTTTGTTAACGGTAGTCGAGTAGCGTGTCGCGGAACGTTATGTCGTGTGTTGTGTGTCGTCGTATGGTCGGTGTCGTTGTGTCGTCGTGTCGGGTAGCCATAGTACGACAGTAGCCAGATGCGATACGAATTGTTAAGCTTAGAGGCACTTTTTTATGACGAAACCTTAGTGATTAGGAAGCAATCGTCCCTGCGTACGTGTACATATATACGGTCTGTCGTGTCGTCGAAGTATTCGGCTGGCAATGAGACGCGAAACAATCGAGCTCGCGATTCTTCTTTTTTTTCCAGCGTCCCAGCTGTTCCAGCTTAAAGTCATCGTTCCGAGAAACAACTATCTAATGAACTAGAGATATCGTTAATATATCAATTTCGAACACTTTCTTCTGTTTTTTGCGCACACGCCCGCACTAGTCTGTAAGCACGAGCATCGTTTTCATTGTTCCGTTGCGATGACGAACGTGGAGATTCCTGAGGTAATTTAAAGCAACTTTTTCATGAGCAAAAATGCAATCCGCGGTTTCGTTTACGAGTTATTGACGAAAAACAGTGACCAATCAGAGGCGAGATCATTTGGCGCGAGACGGCCGAGCCAATGAGCGGAGCTGGGCTTCGCGCACTAGTTGGCTGGGCCGCCGCGCGCCAGCCGAGCTCGCCTCTTATTGGTCAGTGTTTTTCGTTGATAATTCGTAAACGAAACCTCGGGGAAAATTTTCGCAAAGGAGAAAATTGCTTCAAATGACCTCAGGAACCTCCCATGGATTGCTAGACATTTTCGGGACACCCTGTATGTAGTTCGGGACCGCTGGAAGCATGAAATCTTTAGCGAATGTTTCGGTATCGCCGGTCGAATACCTCGACGATGGAACGCGTCTAATGCTCTGCGCAGAGTGTACACTGTACACAGTTAATCGAGTCCCGTACTGCCAAATATAATATCTCTCTCGCCGCCGAAACAGAAGGTTCTGCACGCGAAACTCATTCGTCAGCCACGTCCACGTTAATCGAGCTTGCACAAGAGAACAAGCGCAGCCGTTTGAAATCATTCGAATTCTTTGCCGCACGCGATTCGTCGACCAAACAGTTCACTGTGTACGATCTTCGTAAGACAAACACACGGGTCACCATAATCGAAGATCGATGATCGAAAGATCTGCCTTAGATCTCTCGTGATCACCAAAGTTTCTAGAACGCAATTCACTCTGCAACACTTTTGAGTTCCGATAAACGATCACGGTCCAATAATGATCGATCGATAGAGGACAGTCCGAGTGCTGCAAGAATCACTTTCCTTTTCGCTCGATCTTTTCTTCTTTCCGCCATCGCCGGTTGCATTTATTTTCGAACCAAATCGAGAAACGTTCTCTAAATGTTAGCAGGGGCATTAGATTTTCTCGTTGGACCGCGACCGCGTCCGGCTTTTTCTCGTTGGATCGTTGGATCGATGGATCGATGGATCGATGGATTGTTACCGACGAGAACCGCGTATTCGCCCAGCGGAAATTATATCTTTAGGCCAGATGCTCGCCTCGCGTCGACAACTTGTATCTCGCGGCAGCTGAATTGTAAATTCAGAAGAATAAAAGAGGAATATATCGTTACTGTTATCCGTCCGTGTGATTTGATCATTTTCCGACATTCGACGCTCCCAGACACAACCTCTAAAACAGCCATTTAAGATATAAAGCATTTTAAAATATGAAACGTTGGAAAATCCAGAAAAGATCCCTCTATCCATACCAACATACCTATATTCCTTTTTTGTTTATTTCAGCTAGGATCGATTACTTCTAACCAATTTTACATTTCATGCTCGAACATCAAATATCTGCAAATATCGTTGAAAATTGCAACGTTTAAGTAACGTTCGAAATTCAAAACCTATAAAAATAGCGCTATTACACATGACGGTAATATATCGAAACCGTTGATCAAAATCAGCTGTTGGTAATTTTGTCTCCCAATTTGAGCGTTTCACCACTACGTATGATGGCGCTATTTTTATATTTTACACAGCAAGTAATTCGTACCAGATTTTACATTGTATCTTACGGGGAAAGTGATATAAATCATCTGGTCTTCTTATTTTCAATAATACAAGTGCAGACTGACAGTGGATTAGAACTGCAATTACATATATTGAAATCAAACAGAGCCAGTTAATCGAGTGTCAAATAATGGTGTGAAAATATTAAACCATAACAACGTTTTGTGTGATACTGAAACAATGATGACAGCAGTGATGACACCGTGATTCTGTAGTTGGCTCACGTGTCCATTTGCCGGTTGCGTTTGATGCAGTACATAATTCTCTTTTAAAAAATGGCAAAACAATTGAGCGACCAAATTTTAGATTATTTAGCCGAACACGGGAAAGTCAGTTCTCTGACTCTTGCGGATATTTTTAAAGAAAATCATCAGAAAATAATCGGAGCGATTAAAAGCCTGGAATCAATCGGTGATGTAAGTGTAACAGATTATCTTCTAGAATTTTACACGTTGTATTAATTTACAGACATCTTTATCGAAAGTTATTATTAATATTTAAAAATATTGTTTAAGAATTTGTATGTTAATCGTATACAAAGACGAATGTGTAAATGTCGTCATAACCCTAAAAGCTTTCTATTAGTATACGATTTCTGTCAGAAAATTGTTTCCACGTCAATTTTGTTAATTCAAAACGTGTTTTACAGTTAATTACATCGCAGCAAATAAACGAGAAAAAGTGGGAATTAACATCGGAAGGTCAGCACGTGGTAGATCATGGGAGTCATGAAGCAGCAGTGTATAATGCTATTCCCGACGATGGAGTACCTCAACCTGAAATCATGCAAAGAGTTCCATTTGCAAAAATTGGATTTTCGAAAGCATTGCAGGCTGGTTGGGTTGAAATTGACAAAAGCAGTGGTACAGCTATTATAAAAAAGAAAGTAGAATTTATCGAGGATACGACGCAGAATCATCTAAAAGATTTAGAAAGTCTGACTGATCGTCTTAAAAATGATTATAAGAAAAGAAAACTCATTCAAGAAGTGTATGTACCTCATTGGATCACCTCTTTTTATCGGTTTAGACATGTATAAACTGTTTTATTCCCAACAGTGTTATAAAGTCGATCTCAGTGGGGAAAGGTCCAAATTTTACGACAAAAGTTGAAAAGTTGGAAACAGAGCTGACTGCAGACATGATAATGAGCGGTGCTTGGAAAACTAAGAAGTTCAAGCCATATAATTTTTCAGCAATGGGCTCTGCTCTTGATGTAGGTCATTTGCACCCTCTGTTAAAAGTTAGAAGCGAATTTAGGAAAATATTCCTTGAAATGGGGTAAGAAAGAAATACAAGAAAATAAATACTTCAATTTATTCTAATTAGTAACATTTTTACTTTTCATTTTCCAGTTTCACGGAAATGCCAACAAACAATTTTGTTGAGAGCTCTTTCTGGAACTTTGATGCTCTGTTTCAACCTCAGCAACACCCAGCTAGGGACTCTCATGATACCTTTTTCATATCTGGTATTTCTGTCAATATATTTACTTCTTCGATTCTATTATTAATAACTAAGTATTGATGTTTCATTTTAGAACCATCTCGCACTACAAATTTCCCAGAAGATTATTTAGAAAAAGTGAAAAAAGTACATAGTGAGGGAGGATACGGATCTATAGGTTATCGTTACAACTGGAAATTGGAGGAAGCACAGAAAAATCTACTTCGTACTCATACAACTGCTGTCAGTGCTAGGATGCTCTACAAGCTAATGGAAACGGTAATGAAAAGTGTATGATGACTATGTGTTCGTTGAATATTTTGATAGAATATTATGAACAGGGCATACAAATGAATTTCAGGGCGAATTTAAACCAGTGAAATATTTCAGCATCGATAGAGTATTTCGTAATGAAACATTGGATGCCACGCATCTTGCGGAATTTCACCAGATCGAAGGCGTAGTTGCTGATTACAATCTTACACTGGGTGACTTGATAGGTGTACTGTACGAATTTTTTAAGAAGCTTGGAATCACGCAACTCGAATTTAAACCTGCGTATAATCCATATACCGAGCCGAGCATGGAAATTTTCTGTTACCATAATGGTTTACAAAAATGGATAGAAATTGGTAACAGCGGAATGTTCCGACCAGAAATGCTGTTACCGATGGGTTTACCCAGCAACGTACGCGTAATTGCTTGGGGATTGTCTTTAGAAAGGTAAAGTAACGCTAGCAATTGTTTTCTTTATTTTTGGGCAAAAGTAGTACAGAAAAGTTAATACTTTTTACAGGCCGACTATGATTAAATACGGAATAAATAATATACGAGATTTAGTTGGATCGAAAGTGGATATGGAAATGGTTTATAACAATCCTATTTGTCGATTAAACAAGTAAATATTTTTCTAAACACTATTAAGGTATTTATATCAAAGCATACAGAAATTATTCACACAAACCGTGGAGAAGAATAAAATTTTGTTTATAGGATCAGTAATATGCCTTTGCAGAAGAAGAGGTCCGATGACCAAAAACAGGAGAAATCCACTCTGCAAGAATCGGCAAAGCATGAAACCGTGCCTTGTGCGTTTGAGTGTACAGGAATATTCGAAAAACAAAAACTTATAGTCTTTTGCGATCCGAAACATCCAATGAAGTTCCTGGAACCGTTGCTTCGCATCGTGAAACCCTATATTAAAATATTTGTACAAACATTTGTGCACTCGACAGTTCAAGATTGCCCAAAAAATCTTTTAACTTTTGGTTCAGAATACCAAGAGAAAAACGAGAACGTCGATATGCATTTAACAATCATTTGGAAAGATGTCGGAGTCGATCCAATAATGCAATTACCGGGAGCGCAACAAATATCAGGAGCGGTGAACGTAGCGAGATATTTAAATCGTGTGATCGAAAGATACAATCCAGAATTGTTGCGCTACGAGAGCAACGGGGTGTTATATGCAAATCGAGTAGACTCTTATTTAGAAAAGATGCATAATATGTTGCATTCGAATGCGCCTCATGGTATTCGCAAGACGTCACGCTACGTAATGGGCGAGCACGTGTCTCTCGTTGATATCCTTTTGGATACCTTGGAAAAGTCCGAATAATTCAAATAAATTCAAAGGACTGTACAATTTTGCCAACAAATTTTGTATTCTTATACGTAAGATGTACGATACCGTTGACTCTAATACAACTAAAAGAGAAAGGAGCAAAATATAAAAAGTGATCTAGGATTCACAGATTACTTGTAATTGATATAATTTGCGTTATTTTGTTTTCTATTGTGTTTTTTTTTTCCTCCAGATCGTGATGCGCTGTTTGTGAGAATGCATCATTGTTGCAAATGAGGAGATACAGACTTGTGTCAATGATTGTATGTGTGTATGAATGCCAGCAACAGCATTGTCGGTTGCTAGGCTTTTGCGTGATCCAATGCTTGGAGAGTGCGCCAGTGTATATGCAACTGATGCGTGCCTGTGTACAACGGTTTGCCTGACTCTAGGCGCCTAACCATTGGAAGGTTACGAATTGTATTTCAATTCGTAAAGGTGAATTCTCTTACAATCTTCCCTTTACACTTTATGCAATACTTTGTTCATATGAAGACAATTGAATATGTCTTTTTAACACGCAAACTACTAAAAATTTAGATGACTCACAACCAAGTATTTATTTAGAGAAGTAGTTTCTTACAGAATTGTTATGTTTACTTGAAAGAAGATCTCGAGGTTTCCCTTGCTGTAGCGCGATAATACCGAAGACTATCAATCAATTTCTATTCAGTGGCGAAATTGTTAAGAACATACAACGCGAAATTCTTCGAATAGTTGTTTAATACTTCTAGTTTCGTGTATGGACATAAATATTTTTATAAGCGCAGCGATGGACACAAGGAATGCTAAATAAATTAATTTTTCGTTCTTCTAGTTTTCGTTGTTGTATAATTCTTGTAACATCATTTCCGCAGGAAACCGGCGTTGTGCAGGACATTGTAGATCTTGTCGCGTGGAATTTTGTCCGTCTCGCGATCGATCACCTAGAACGGGAACACAAAACGGATTTACATATTCGCGCGGAGGCGACGAGCGCGATTCGTCGAAGTTTACCTGCATCTCTTTGTTGAGGAACCAGGATTCTTGGGCGAGTTTCGCCGCGATTCTGGGATTCTTGTAGAAGTCGTTTCGCAGCTCGTTAGGCAGTGTGTCTTCTATCGCCGAAGTCAACAGATTGGCAGGATGCGGATACACGACCCCGGAAGGGAAGTAAAACTGAGGAGCGGCCGCGCAGATTCCCGCGAGAACGACGATCGCTATGATCGCGTTCATCCTGCGAAATTTCACCTCCAAAGCACTCTGCAAGGACACAATGTGTAACATTCAACCCGGCTATACGAGTGTGCTATACGTGTCACACAGGGACGGATATTCGGTGAGATCTTGCAGAAAGAAAAACATATGAACCGCAGAGAACCGTCGCGTCGTGGTTTGATATTTCATCGCGATCTTAGTCAATGATCGCGAGCATTCTATCTGCGATTCGTATATTCATTCTCGCTTTTTTATCCGATCCCTAATAACGTCCTATTTCATTTTGCAGAACATTCGTTTCCTTCAAGACTTACAAATACGCAAGAGGAGACCACCCTGAACACTACCTTGTACGATTCGCTCTTTCCTGCAGAGCGTAGACGATATTCTAAGAAATATGTAAACGTCTAATTCCGGCGGACACCTCCGAAACAGCTTTAGAAGTCACGCGCCATACGGAGCTTGTGTAACTACACTTTCTTTCGTTTGTTTTGTTCGCGGGACACAGAAAGAACCGAAGCGAAACATGATCTCTCTCCGTCTCTCTCTCTCGCTCTCGCTCTCGCTCTCTTCTATGTTCGATTTCGTCGTTGATGAAAGTAATCGTCGCCGAACCGCTTTATCAGTCTCGACGCTGCGAGAAGTCGAGCCGACGAGATTAATACTTATTTAGAAAATTGCATTTTCCAGCGCCGTCGGGACATCGATCAACTTTTAACTCGTCTGCCGATAAATGTATCTTGAACGACGACGTTTCGACCCCGGGCGGTCGTAGTTCCGGCGTCGAAAACAGAAAAGCGAGGTTTACACGTGCTGGTTTGGATATAGAAAAACGAAAGAGGAAAAAGCAAAAAGTGACTTTCTCTCACATACGATGCGACAGTTGGCCCCTTTGGATCGTTCCTAATGCCGAAGAATCAGATGCTTGTTGCCCCGCGGATGCTGTCCGTGACTCCCGGAACCGGAAAATTCCCGTCTGGATCCCGGATCTTCGTTGTTCGATCCTGGGTCACCCGTAACCCGTCGTCCCTCGGCACTCGACTCAACGGACTCGGCACTCGACGAACCACCCGGCTCGAAAGGATCTAGTTATTGCTGTTGTGCGTGTCTAACTGAATTCAAGATCCGTTACAGTGTTACTTATATAGCCGGCGACTGTGCAGAGTGAGCTCACGACACTGTAAGCCGCCTCTGAGGTTACATTCGACGTTTCTTGGCCATTGCCTAGCTTGTGGTCCTTCTGTCGGCCTTAGAGCTCGCGACCGAGGCCACTGTTCCTTCGTTAAACCGTTTCAAGGGTGAGGATACCTGCCTCCAGACCATTCAAGCGTTTTTTCCTTTTCTTTGCCTTCTCTCGTCGTCTCCGTCGTTCGCCGGAGATATACATGTCTTCTCAATGTCTCTCGCTTGCTTTCTGCCAGGGTGCGGCCGAAAATGTGCTCTGCTGCACAAAGGACACAGGCTGGAAAGTATCGTACAGTCGCGTGTGTGCCAGACAATTCCTTGAGACGAGCTGCGGAAACGAATGAGAATTAATTAAAATTGTGTAAGAGGGCTCGAGAATCTTGTCGCCGGGGCCCTCGTCTTTCCAAAAAATCATGTTCCCCGGAAAATTCGAATTTGTTTTCTCAGATACATCTAATCGCACAGTTGTAACAATTAACAATTAATTGTATACGATAAATGTCGTTGTAACAATCGATGAAACTGCGGCTCGAATTAAGTGTGTCGGGCGCCCGTCATATCCACAGACGCACGCGTTCGGGGTCACGCATCATTTGATAGTTCGAACTCGAGTTACCGAGGGAAACGATTAGCGGCGGTGCATTGCTTACGCAAACGTGCGCCGGTGACAGGATTACGTTATCGGAACGCGGAGCGTCAACCCGGCGCGTTAATGTCTGAAAGATGCACGGAGCATTGAAGTTCGATAAAGGGCATAGCAGTGACCGAGACTCCGTTTCACTTTTCACGTTCCGAGGGAATCGCTCCTCGCCGAGAGTTACGAGCCGAGAATCGGTTAAAAGTCGCGCAACGTTAAATTTCAGGTGTAAAGCCGGAGAAACGTACGTGTCCCGCGTGGAAACGTGTTTCGCGTTGCAAGCGAATAATTGCGGAATTTCGTGCGGCCGCTCGTCTCCGTGCGACAGTTTCACCGAAAACGAGCCGCTGCTCGACTTTCACACCGAAAACGCCTTTTCTAAAGTTCAAACGCGCAAGGAATCCCGGGAATTTCTCCCCCCCCCCTCTCTCTCTGTCTCTCTCTGCTGGACGGATTTTTGCGCGCGCGATCCTTCGTGAAATATTTCGAAATACCGTATAAAATCGTCGAAGTCCTCTTCCAGATTGAAATTCGTACATCGATCCGCGCTCGTTTCGAAACGTGCATATAGCAGAGTTTCCGTTTTCTCGGCGAAATACATTGCGAATCTGGCGTTGTCGGAGTTCGATAAAACATGTTGCGTGTGGTTAGGTTTCATACAGCCCACGCGTGTATCCTGAATTTTTCGCCGGTACGTCCGCGTTTTCCGGTTCACGCGTCATACGTGTAGTCATGTTTCTTCGGAGAAAGAGAGAGAGAGAGAGAGAGAAAGGGAGGGGGAAGAGTCGAGCTGCATTGGACACGCCGTATTTACATTTACTATAACGCTACACCATTACGTGAACCGTCGCTTTCCATTGGGTCGCTCTCTTATCTTTCCCTGGTCGAGTTCCGTAGACACGGTCTCTATATATTCGCCGAAGATGGCTGGATTATGCCGACAGAAAATATTGTATAAAGTTATTGTTATAAAGTTATTATTGTATAAAGTTAAGCGAGACGAAGAAAGGTCGCTCTGTTCGAAGCGTTCGAAGAAGACAAAGGCTCGCGGATACACGCGATAGTACTCGTACCCGGTATTCGGGTCAATGTTACGTCCTTACAGGCGATATACCCAGAGGCAGCGGTTACCCTTGTCGGAATTAACTCGCCCGTATCAGGAAGTCGTTCACTCTCTCGGCGGCGCGCGTCGCGAGCGATTCGCGCACATAATTCCCTGGAAGACGCGTCGTCGGTGGAAAGGTTATGTCACGCGGCACGGTGAAAGACAAGGCTTATAGCAATAACAATGAGCGTTGGCCGTGCACTTGAGCCGAGGATCGCACCAATCACACCTCGTGAATCCGTTTTGGTTCGAACGTAACCGGTTACGCGAATAAATCGTGGATTCTTTCCGCGAATGCATCGCTCGAATAAAAAATGGATCGAGTCACACCTTGACGTCCGGTCGTCGACTTTTTATCGTACAACTTAATAGAAAGCGTTTTCAACTTGAAACGGAATTAAACGTTAAGGGAAACGAGATGATGAACGTGAATGTAAATTGCTTGTTCTTCCTTTTTGATTTCGGGTTTTTTTATCGACAAGTTGTTTACCGTGTAATATCATGTTTTCAGATGCCGCGGAGCGCTCGTGGACGTTGACGTACTGCGCTCTTTTTAAAAAACCAAGGTCTCCATTATCCTCAGATCCCGCTGTCCAATGTCTGCTTTCCCGTCTCGGTGGTCGCAGAAATTACAGCCGTTCAAAAGTTGCAAGAAAACTCGATTTCATTTGCGAGCGAGGCGCGAAGCTGATCCGTCAATATCGGAACCGTTGAGTCATGCAGTACACGCGATATAAAGTATAAATCAATCATCCTGCGGCACGGCGTCCATTCTCGGTGATGTAATTCGCATTACAATCACAATGCGATCGTGGACAGCCATGAAATTAGCGGCTGTCCGGAATGACCGCAGCTCTTATTCGCGTATATAATCAACGCCGCCTTCAGCGATGCCTGAAGCTACAGGTCTGATCTCGGTGAAATCAATCAACAGGTTCATTTAGTTTACATCTTTTATATATATATATATATATCTATATAAACAAGTTGTACAGTACAGAACGTATGGATACGCGAACACGAGCGTCTCTTGTACGCTGGCAAACGAGCTTCACGATCAATGAAATACGCCGCGTAATTACAGGTAATTATGGTTCCGTTGTTTCAACGACGTTAAGCTAGCATATAAAATTACAAAAATCGTCGATTTACATGGTNAGTTCAAACGCGCAAGGAATCCCGGGAATTTCTCCCCCCCCCCTCTCTCTCTGTCTCTCTCTGCTGGACGGATTTTTGCGCGCGCGATCCTTCGTGAAATATTTCGAAATACCGTATAAAATCGTCGAAGTCCTCTTCCAGATTGAAATTCGTACATCGATCCGCGCTCGTTTCGAAACGTGCATATAGCAGAGTTTCCGTTTTCTCGGCGAAATACATTGCGAATCTGGCGTTGTCGGAGTTCGATAAAACATGTTGCGTGTGGTTAGGTTTCATACAGCCCACGCGTGTATCCTGAATTTTTCGCCGGTACGTCCGCGTTTTCCGGTTCACGCGTCATACGTGTAGTCATGTTTCTTCGGAGAAAGAGAGAGAGAGAGAGAGAGAAAGGGAGGGGGAAGAGTCGAGCTGCATTGGACACGCCGTATTTACATTTACTATAACGCTACACCATTACGTGAACCGTCGCTTTCCATTGGGTCGCTCTCTTATCTTTCCCTGGTCGAGTTCCGTAGACACGGTCTCTATATATTCGCCGAAGATGGCTGGATTATGCCGACAGAAAATATTGTATAAAGTTATTGTTATAAAGTTATTATTGTATAAAGTTAAGCGAGACGAAGAAAGGTCGCTCTGTTCGAAGCGTTCGAAGAAGACAAAGGCTCGCGGATACACGCGATAGTACTCGTACCCGGTATTCGGGTCAATGTTACGTCCTTACAGGCGATATACCCAGAGGCAGCGGTTACCCTTGTCGGAATTAACTCGCCCGTATCAGGAAGTCGTTCACTCTCTCGGCGGCGCGCGTCGCGAGCGATTCGCGCACATAATTCCCTGGAAGACGCGTCGTCGGTGGAAAGGTTATGTCACGCGGCACGGTGAAAGACAAGGCTTATAGCAATAACAATGAGCGTTGGCCGTGCACTTGAGCCGAGGATCGCACCAATCACACCTCGTGAATCCGTTTTGGTTCGAACGTAACCGGTTACGCGAATAAATCGTGGATTCTTTCCGCGAATGCATCGCTCGAATAAAAAATGGATCGAGTCACACCTTGACGTCCGGTCGTCGACTTTTTATCGTACAACTTAATAGAAAGCGTTTTCAACTTGAAACGGAATTAAACGTTAAGGGAAACGAGATGATGAACGTGAATGTAAATTGCTTGTTCTTCCTTTTTGATTTCGGGTTTTTTTATCGACAAGTTGTTTACCGTGTAATATCATGTTTTCAGATGCCGCGGAGCGCTCGTGGACGTTGACGTACTGCGCTCTTTTTAAAAAACCAAGGTCTCCATTATCCTCAGATCCCGCTGTCCAATGTCTGCTTTCCCGTCTCGGTGGTCGCAGAAATTACAGCCGTTCAAAAGTTGCAAGAAAACTCGATTTCATTTGCGAGCGAGGCGCGAAGCTGATCCGTCAATATCGGAACCGTTGAGTCATGCAGTACACGCGATATAAAGTATAAATCAATCATCCTGCGGCACGGCGTCCATTCTCGGTGATGTAATTCGCATTACAATCACAATGCGATCGTGGACAGCCATGAAATTAGCGGCTGTCCGGAATGACCGCAGCTCTTATTCGCGTATATAATCAACGCCGCCTTCAGCGATGCCTGAAGCTACAGGTCTGATCTCGGTGAAATCAATCAACAGGTTCATTTAGTTTACATCTTTTATATATATATATATATATCTATATAAACAAGTTGTACAGTACAGAACGTATGGATACGCGAACACGAGCGTCTCTTGTACGCTGGCAAACGAGCTTCACGATCAATGAAATACGCCGCGTAATTACAGGTAATTATGGTTCCGTTGTTTCAACGACGTTAAGCTAGCATATAAAATTACAAAAATCGTCGATTTACATGGTAAATCAATTTGCATCGTGGAAGCTGGTCCTGGCAAGATGGCAACCGCGCGACGCCTTCTCAAATAACAGTAGGAAGGACATCCCTAAGCGGCACGGCGAATATTTTCAAATTATTTTTGAAACATCTATAGCGGGGAAAGCTCGGATTCTCCGCCTTAAACTATTCCGATACGCCCAACGCTAGGATCATCAATTATTTCTCATTATTCGTTAGCTCGCAGTAAATAGCGGACAGGAAAGATGCGTTATTCTTCTGGACATATGGTAGCTGCGACAAATTATTTGCGTACGTTCGCTCACCAATCCGGTGCAATCTGCATGCAATTTCTATGGCCGTTCGTCGCGCGAACGTTTTAGTAGCTTCGAAACTGAGACTCTGTTATTGTTTACAGGGGCTGCGCGTACAGAGACGTGGATCGCCGAAGCGATTGGTTGGTTTAATGGTAGTATTGGTAAGCCGGCGAGATGGTTTTTTGGTAAACGGGAATGGCTGCGTGGGCCACGGTTGGGGCCAGAGTTTTGCCGATCACTGGGACGGAGCTGTGGACTTGCACGTGGTCGAGACGAGCGGTCTTGATTAGGGTCGGTTGCTGCACGGAGACCCTCTCGATCTTGGTCGCTGGTTCAACGACATTTAATTCCTGGAGGGTTTCGATAGGCCTGGTGACGACCACGCGTCTCGTCGACACTCGCTCGTCGGCTGGCTCCGCGTTGTCCGGAGCCGGAGTCGCGGATAGAACGCGGCCTCTCACGCGGCTGACGTCCTCCAGGGCAGAGTTCACGAGCCCCGATCGACCGAATCCAACCTAAACAGGCAATTTGCGTTCGAGTAATGCGATCTAGAAGTTGAGTAGAGATTGGGTTCTAATGTACCTCGGCGACGTTGCCGCGCGCGGTGAGCAGCTCGAGCAGCCTGTTCTGATTGGTCTTGTCCTCTTCGGGGGTGGAGTTGGGACTGACGATTACGTTGGGCGAGGGGTCATGTGCCACGAAAGGCTCGTTGCCGACACCGTTGTTGATGGTTCTCACCTGCGTGCTCTGTCCGCTGACCTAACGATCAAGGAGAAAAGATCTAATAACTTCCCATTATGGTATAATCTGGTCGCGCGGCTCGATAGAGCGATACCTGCTGCGCCAATTGTTGGTCCTGTTGCAGCTGACGGAAGTCGGGATTCTCAACAACAACGCTCTCATCGTTGGAGCCGGAGGTAGGCGGGAAGGAAGCTCCAGGGGCAGCGAGAGGCGGAGCGATCGTCGAGGGAGCGAAGTTGTAGATACCTTGGATGTGATGAGGATTGTACGGTTGGATCAGAGCTGGGCCCTTCTGGACCTTGGAGGTCGGTTGGTCCAGCTCGAGCACCGCTGACCCGGCTGGCCGCACCACCACGCGTTCCTCGATGTCGTAGAATTGTTTCTGGATCGCTGGACGGCGCACCTATCAGCAAACGAATTTGGTCATTTTGATCCTGATGTTTCGATTCTAAGGTCGAACGATGCGTAGTTTAGTAGAATAGCGCTTACCTCGAATTTGCGAGTCTGCACGGCCGGTTTCACCACGTCCAATTGCTTTTCCAGAACCACCGGCTGAGCCTCGATCTTGGTCACCGGAACGTGGGACACCGTTGGAATATGTTTGACAAATGGCACCGCCGCGACCGCCGGTACCTGGGCGGCGGTGTAGCCGACGTGGTGAGCCTCGATGTTGGCAGGATACGAGCCGTAAGTGAGACCGTGAGGCTCCACGTTGTCGATGTAAGTAACACCTGCCGGGCTCAGGTACGGCATCCGGATGGACACTGTGCTACCATGGCCGCCTTGCAACAGCGCCGCCGCTACTACCACGAATACGATTGCTGTCTGCTGCATCCTGGACGATGAACATCGAAACAGCACGTTTAAACGATGCATATTAAGAATACAAAAGTGTATACATGAAGTACAGTGACTCCCGTTGATGTTCGGACACTTATCAAAACGCGATAACTTTTTAATCTTTTATTATCAATCCTTTGCACTCGAAACCATATTAACTGTAAATTTAAATTAACTCTTTTGACTTATGGTATTTTCATCTTAGTGACAAAGTGCATTTTATGCATACGAAATCGAGTCTTGTGACTAATACAACAGTTAGACTTTTAATAATTCTTTATACCTAAGCTTTGACATTATAAAAATTATCTTGGAAAGTGGTGTAACAATTTTAGTGGTGTCTCAGAGTCATCATTCGAGTGCAAAGAGTTACAAAATCATTGAGTACTTCTTGCCAAATATCTAACTACCGCTATATGGTGAGAATTTTGCAAGAAAACACTAGCTTAATATTTTATGTTAATAAAATCCGGGCAGATATTCGGAGGAGGCAGAAACGCTCTATGCACGCCTTGAAAAGTTGGGAACTAATTCTATTATGCTTTTGTCGTAGCGATGCCGTATCGATGGTTACCTGGTTCCTCGAGAAACTGTATCAACGAAGGGGTGCAAGCCTCTGTCTCGGCAGTGGAAGCGGGCGTTGCTTATATGGCGGCGCGGTACCAACGGGGACCCCTTCTCACAAAACGGCCCGGTATCCGGTATCCCTCCCATCATTGACAAAGACTTAACACCAACCAAAAACTGGGTCGTTTTACGCATCGTGCTACCAAGTACTCAATCTTCGAAAAACCTGCTCCGTGGTGATTGACAGGCTATGTTCGCCATCGGCCAATCATCGGCTCTATATTTCGCAACGAATAGATCCTGCCTATTAGCGGTTCGTAATTGTGTCCGCATCGTGACCTAAACTGGAACATGCCTGGGTCAAAATCGAGCCGGCAATCAAATTCCAAGAGAAAGCTATTATTTAACCCAGACAAAGGGTTTGCCAATCGAGTCAGATCTCATCGTTCTTTAAACATCGCTGGTCTCGTTTCTCTAATGCAAATCTATAGAATTATTATACAAAGAAATTCAGATTTTCTTGTTTATGGTGTGGGCGGACTCTTGTTAATTTTTTCGTTGAAAATGAAATTCCTACAATGAACCAATCGACCATGAGTGGAATACGAGAAACGAGATATCTCGTTTTTTCTTTCTTCTTCTTCTTCTTCTTCTGTTCCTTTTCTCGTCCGCGAATTTGTGGACGCGATTTATCGAGGCGATTACTGAGAAGATCGTTTATAAAATGAATTACATATTGCCGGCGACGTGACAGCTATTTACACGGAAATAAAAGAAATACCGGGGTAGTACGCGGAGACGCAGATTGCTGGATCGAGACTCCCGGGCCACGATAATGGTTGTGCAACGTTTTCATCTGGATCGTTCGAAAGAGTAAAATCTGATCGCGGTCTCTCTCCTCCCCTTGGGCCCATCCGACCTTGTAACACAGTCGGGTTGGGCAAGATCCGATAGCCGAGAGCACCGCGCGTCGAAGGTGGTATAAAAATATTGCTCATTACGCGTTATGCCTTTTATACTAATCTGAAAAGAACTTTCGCGATATAAATTCGACGTCGCGGCTACAGCCCCACCGATGGAATATTAATATATTCAATACAATAATTTGTTTCAGGTTCGAGCCAACCTTGGATCCGATCCGGTTCGGAACTAGTTCGCGAAAAATCTAGGACGACCGTCGTTTCGCAACGACGACAACGCATACGTGACACATCGATGATCGAAATTTCTACAGAATTAGTTCGGAGATTCTTTGGAAAAGAAGCTCCAAAATCTAGAACGTGGACGCCGTTATACGTCGACGACCAAAGGAAACGCTTTGCTTTCTTTTCGCGTAAAAGCTCCGACAGCTCCCGTTAACGGGACGAAATTGCAGAGTTCAGGAAACCACGGTAGTCTTCGGCACTCTTTTCTCTTATTTTAACATGGGCCTCCGTGATTCGGTCAGCGAGTGTTGAACTTTACGCGGGCCGTCGGAACGCCGGGCCGCGCGACACGAATATCAAACCATTCCTAAAAGCGCATCGACCCAGTTCGCTTCACTGTTTTCACTTTCGAGCGACCATAATCGGCCTCCATTCACGCCCATGCGACGACATTCGTCGACCCATTGACGGCCGGCATTCCTAATTCTGAGAAGAAGAAACTTCCTCGCGCGGATTCCTATTCTTCTTCGTCGCCGTTATCGATCACCCCCACGAGGCGTACTCTTCTTTCTCTAGCTTTCTAAAGATGTTCAATAATGTCCATGATCGAAGCAAGATAGTCTGTTAAAAATGCCTTCGTTTTTTCCAGGATCTCCGTTAATGAATCAGCTGTGGAATTAAAAGAGGATTAACAGTCGAATAATCAGCCAGTGGAGTAATATAGTCGAGCGATTTTCAAGGACACAAGGTCGAACACATACGCATCAGACTCGTGTACACGCGGATTTTTAATTGGATCGCATTCGCTTGTAAACTCATGAAGAACGGGGATGAAGAAAGAAAGAATCGGTTGGTCATGAAGAAAGAGAAAGAATCAGTTGGTCATTTAGCCGTGAAACGAAACTGTCGATGAGTCGGTAAATATGTATTAAACGTGCCATTTTCGGGTCTCCCATATGCGCACGCACACGACCACGCATACGCGTACGCGTCGCGGCGAACGGTTCTTGTTTTTCCTCTGTTTTTTTCATTATTTTTTTCGTTCTTTTTTCGGGCGTGATCACGCACGTTTGTCCATTCTTGCTCGATCAGCGATCTCGTTCCGATAAGCGGCGTCCTCTCGTTCTGATCGACGAAACTGAAAGTGAACCGAAACAAAACCTTACCAAACCGTCCGCCCCGTGTGTTACGTGTACGCGCACGAACTGGACGTCCTTCTTTCGTAATTCCGACCAGTCCCCGAAAGCATAAAAACCGAAAATATTTTGTTACACCCGCCAAACCATTCGGCTACACCCTAAGTATCTACTCTTCACGGCACACAACCTGGTCGTTAATCAATTGAGCACTGGACCCGCGAACCTGTTCTGACACACTATGAGTTTCAAAGATTCTACCATGACCTTCGACACCAGTAGTTCTTGATCGCGCGCAAGCACACAAAGTCACAGCTTCGTGAACATTATTTTACATTCATTCATCGTACGTTATTATTATTCAAAACTATTTTATGCGTTCAATCGTTTTTCCTACGTCGACTTTTTCAACTTTTCCCGCAATGATTGTAAAATTAATTTTGCCAGAAACACATACAGTGACCAACAAAACTGTAACTGTACCTTTTAAAACGCGTTAACTTTGTTTTAAAACTGGATTAAATGACTTGGATTTTTGTCAAACGATAGAGGGACTAATCAACCGATTGTCTAAAATACTTTGTTTTTTTTGCTGTTACTTAAGATACTCGAGGTCATAATATTGCAGGTTGTTGGATTCGTGTTGACCTTGACTATCAGAGTGATAAGAAAAATGTATCATACCATTTAAAACACTTCGATGACCTTGAAATCTCAGAAGATATAACCTTGGACAAACAATGTTTTCCTCTGATATCTTTTTACTAGCATGAAAAACAAGCGAGATATTTTAGATGCCCGAGTTAGGTGAGACACCCGGTATATTAAAGCGTGGTTTAATGCACCGATTGCTGCATATGCTCCAAGCCAGGATTTACAATTTTTGCAACAACTTTACATTGTATAAAGAAGTTGACAACAGAATAAGCGAAGTAACAACACAAATTTAGTAGGAATTTATGATATTCGATTCCAAAATGTGCAGCATTAGCTTTTTTGATAGAGAATTGTCTTCTAATATAAAGAGGCGTACGATTCAAAATTTGAATTCTGAACGAACACTTATATCAAGCGAAAGGATTATTTTTAATGGTATAAAAAATTTTATTACTATTGACATAGAAAATTTGATCTCATCGCAATCTTTTACGAAACTTTCTTTTTAATTTAAACTCCTATAACTAAGGACCATCCCAGCATACATACATATCGTATTTGTCAATTTATCGATTAAAATTATTAGTTACGCCTGATTCTTATCATTTAGGATGATAAATGCGACATTATTTAAGGTTCTACCTAACACTAATCGGAAATCAAGCGACACAATAGAAGGTGGTACAAATCTTGAAATAGTTTCGTTAAATTGAATTTCGATCATTTTATTGTAGCTTTCGAATAGGACTGCTCTGCGCAGCGGCCCCTTATAGTCGATTTCAGATTTGAAACGGTATCATGCTGGGTTGCATGTTCACAGGCGCCGAGCTTTGACTCTGGTCTACTAGATGGCCGAGAAATTCCCTGTTTCAAAATAAAATCGCATAGAATAACCGAATTTTGTGTACCGGCCACCCTACTAGTACGGCTGCAGCAAATAGGGCTTTCAATCTAGAAAGGCGGTAAATGTCAATGCATGTGTTCCCTGTGATTTTATGGATGATCTGGAACGCGTCCGTCCGTTTGAAGAACAAGGCAATGGTTTTGCCGACGAATACGATGTCTGAGCTCTGCGCAAATTGATTTCGGTAGGTCGCATAATACTGGCAAAGATTTCCGCGAAATGCTTTCAGCGTAATAGCGAGCAGGTTAACAACAAAGAGCGAATCTCTTTGACCTGAGAGAATTCATTCGAGGAAAATGAGCACTCGAGATTGCTGCCAGTTTCGTCTGGAACGGATAAATATGCCAGAAGTGATCCTGTTTGATAAACCCTACCACACAGTACGTTTGCGATTATTTGACGAAAACCACTGCTACTTTCAAGTTGCACTACAATAGTTGTTTTTTAAACTGCCTTTTATAGCACACTTATACAAGTGTTGTAAATAATGAAATTATTGATGTAAAAATAAATTGTTTTCAGTACACTTGTGGCAGAGCTAAAGACAATCAAATAGTATGCCTTAGTCTCACAGTGTCTCGACGTCATTGTATATTTTTTCACAGTAAGGACGAGCTGTATGTTACTGACCTAAAGGTATGCCATTGTTGTAATTATTTGTGTTGTTAGTAAGCGATGATCTGTGTGTAATAATTGTAGACTGATAGATCGCAATATTACAATCTTGTTTTTAGAGCGCCAATGGTTTGTTCATAAATGGAGTTGCTCAGGAGCCATTTCAAACAACCAAATTGCATCCGAACGATGTCATTGGAGTGGGTTGCCCTGATGTTGACGTGAAAGACAAGAGCATGTTTGCATACATATTGCGTTTGATCGTGGTAAAATTTAGTTTTGTATACTCAAAAGATTGCTTACTATACTTCTTACTTACACCGCTCTGTGCCATTGCAATTTTAGCAACCACAAACAGTGCCAAGTAACGACGCCACGAGCACCCTTTCAGAAACGGTATTGAACGAAACGGGCGTGTCTACGCGACGCGCGACAAATGACGAATCTGATTCTGCGATCAAACGTAAAGGATTGCAAAATATTTATGATGTCGAAGTGGTTCCAAGAAAAATACCTAAATTGGATAATGACGCAGGATCTTGTTCAAAGAAAAAACCTGTGGAAAGTAATTTAACATTTTTTATTTCTCGCATTTTATCTTTAAGCTGCATGTAGGACTACATTGAAATCAATCATTGAAATTTCAGAATATAGCGATGCGATGGATGAGAACGATCTTGAAGTAATCCACGTTTCGTTAAACAACAGTGTGTCAAAATCGAATCATGACAATTGTGACTCCGGTATGAAAAATACCAAATTAAATGGTCAATCGAATTTAAGCAAACATGCAGATTGCGATATGTCGATTGGAAGTCGTAGCGTAGATGATCAAAAGTATTGCGAGTCATCGACGAACTGTGAAGTAAAACCCGATGATCTGATAAATTCTATGAATTTAGAGTCACTTGTGTTGGGTGATATGAATAGTAGTATTAAGGACAAACAGAATTCTGTTGGCAGTTGTAAAAATACTTTTCAAAATGTACAGAAGTCGACTGAAAATAATCTGTCGAATAACAAGAATAAGGAGAATCTATTTAGTAATACCGCTAAGCGTAAAAACAAACAGTCTGAAAACCGAGTGGAAGATGCCAGTACAAAAGTCAGTTCGAAAAGAAACGATAAAACTAGTAACGGTGCAATGTCTTCGAGACTGCCTTCAAGTTTTATACATGTTGGCGATACGGTGATCAAGCTGGAAGAGGAATTGCAATTAACAGATACAGACGAAGATGCAATTTTTGATTCCACGAACGATATTCGCATACCAATCGTATCTCCGATCAAATTAAAACAAGTACAACAACAGCCAAAGGCAAAATTTTCAGAAGAGGATGTTGTTAACTTAAGCGATACCGAGGATGATATCTTTCCATGTTCTCAATTGTTCGATATTGGATTCGGTGTGAACACGTCGATCAAACAGGAGGTCAAAAAAGAAGTGAAAGAAGAGGAAGCGGAGGTGGAGCATGAGCAATTCAGTATGCTCGACGACGAGGATTTAGTCATCTCGTTATCGGACAGCGACGACGAAGACAAAAACTGGCTGCGTAGATTATCTCGCAGTCAAACAGTGAACGAAGATGACATTAAAACGGAGACAAGAGATGATTGTATCATAAAGGAAGATATGGACATAGAAATCATCGACGTTCAAAAGCCCACCGACGCTTTGAAAAAGTCTGTAGACAAATTGCTGTCGACTAGAAACGAGAGAGCCGAAGCAGAGAAGGACATGCGAATAGAAAAAGAAAAGAGAAGTTCTACACACGACGTGGATGAAGAAAACAAAAGTTTAAACGAGATGCATTCGTTGAGAACCTCTCTGGAAAAAGCGGTAATTGATTCCGTAGATCGTGCCGCAAACTCACTGGAGTCGTCCAATAAATGTACAACTACCTATCAAAAATCCCCCGAAGCCTTGAAACGCAAAACCCTTGGTTTGGATAAACATGAAACAGAGAGTCGTTCAACAAGCACAGTGGAACCTGTAACAACATTTAGGAAGAAGTCGCTTGAGAGGAAAGTACCTCAGATAGAGCCACTACATCTGCCTACTACCAGAAGAAGGAGCATCAGTGCTAATAGAGTAAAACAAGTTCCTGAGATATCTCTTAAAGAGAAATTGTCTGGCAAGGAGAAGAAGGAATTGAAAGAGAAAGCTAAGTTAGAAGAATATATGCGAGCGAAGGATCAAAAGAACCGCAGAGTGCTCAACAAATGGGCAGACTGCCTCCCTCCGAGCAAGAAGAAAATTAGTCCGCTCACTAAGGAGGAGAAGAAACAATTAGCAAACGACAGGAAACAGAAGTTGAAACAAATTGCCATGGAAGAAAAGCGATTGTCCTTGGAGAATAATCAAGAGAAAAAACGCATCGCCACGAAGCCCAAGGCAAAGATATCGTTGAAAACGAGGAGCGACTTTCTCGTGGAGGCTACAGTTTCCGCGACGAAATTAGGTGAGACAAAAGAGAAACCGAAAGCTGTCAATCGGCCCACGATAGCGAATAATGTCCCAAGTCCGATAACATCTGAAAGTACAAAAAGCAAAGAGGCGGTTAAAAAAATACGGTCTCATAATGTTCTTGGCAGAATACCTAAGAAAAGCGCCGCAGTCAAAACTAAAACGAATGCTTCGGCTCAAGACGCCCTGGAGGAGGTGATGTTGTCTCAAAGGATGAAAATCATAGATAATAGCGTGAGGGGAACGCAAGCAAAGAATAAGTCAAATACAAATTCAATCTCAAGTGCCGCTACTGTTCCGGTTTTGAAACCTCTCGGGAAAATGTCAAAGAAACGCGTATCGTTTTCTACGGAGATCAAGACTGTACGCGAATATGAAATCGACGAGTCGAACGTCTTGAAGAAACTCACAGGAAAGGACGCGCCTCTGCCTGTCAGACCTATGAAGAAACTAGCGGAGAACGAAATGACAAATCAATTTTTATTGCGTATCTTTTCATGGAACCCAGTTTGGTTGGAGGAGCAGCAGCGTTTGAATAGCACCGCGCCCGTTGTTCGTGACGACGAGCTTCATGTGATGCTGACGCATTATAAGTCATACGAAGAGTATTACAGAATTATGTCACCTCTTCTGCTGTTAGAGACCTGGTACGGAATAACGAAAGAGTTTCAAACTATCGATAAGAATTGTAGACGACCCACTCTGATGTGTTCAATCGTTGAGAACTCCATTGAAACGACTTCGCCGTCCCCTAATGTGCAGTTTACCACCTTGATGCTTGAGGTATTGGTTACGAGAGAGGACCTACAGAAGCAGGCGCACCCCACTTACGGGGACCTGGTGTTCTTTGAATACACCAGGAATCAACAAAAAGGACAGACGTTCCATAAAGTGTTCGCCTACGTGGAGAATGTTCATAATACTACGCTGTCAGACTGGACGTATTACAACAAGGAGTTAGCCAACTACGTGCGGAGACCTTACGCCTTGATAACGTATACAGTACAGACAAGACGCTTAGAATCAAACATTCTGGTGAATAAAGTTAGAAGATTGAGAAGCGTAACGTACCTGCGTCCCAATTTACGAATGGTGCAGGCTCTGGAGTATCTTCCTACATCGCCGGTGGTGAACTTAATTTTGAATCCCAAAATCGAGCAATACCATTTACCTAATGTTTTTATCCAACCCGAGCAACTGTTTACTCGGGACAAGCTGAATCCAAAGCAGCTAGAGGCTGTGTTCAAGGTGACTGAGACTATAGTACAAAAGCAGGCGAAACTGTGTTTCATACAGGGACCACCTGGTACGGGCAAGTCAAAGGTTATTGTAAATATAGTGAGTCAAGTGTTGTATGGAAACAACAGATACGTGAGTAATGAGAGCCCCTTGAAGATACTAGTCTGTGCCCCGTCGAACGCTGCTATCGACGAGATCACTTTGAGGCTACTGCAAATCAGGTCCAGCATGAAGCAGAAACGGTTTAAGATGGTAAGGATCGGTCGGTCGGAGGTAATGCATCCCACCGTCAAGGACATCTCTGTGGTCGAGCTAGCCAAGCGGGACATGAAGAAAACGCAAACCACCTCGATGAATACACCGTTAGACAGCGTAGAAGAGGAAAAGACTCTTCTCGAGTCAAAAATTAACAAGCTGAAGTGTGAAATAGCAGGCACGCACAACATGGAAGAGGCATACAAGGAACATCTGAAGATGAGGTTGGCGGACATGATCGTCAAGTATGAACTGTTGAAAAATCGTAGACCGCTGAATGAAAAGAACTCGAAGGAGTTTGCTAGGATACAGCGATCTGCTGAGAACAGGGTCCTTAGCCACGCGGATATTATAACTTGCACTTTGTCATCGTGTTATAGCAAGCAGATGGAATCCCTTTTTGTTACCAATAAAAAGGGGATATCAGTCTGTATTGTGGACGAAGCCACGCAGAGTATCGAAACAGAAACTCTGATACCGCTGATGCTAGGTGTGAATACATTGGTTTTGGTTGGCGATCCTTATCAGCTACCTGCCACAGTTCTGAGTCCTCAAGCGAAGAAAATGGGATTGGATCAGTCCATTTTCTCAAGGGTTCAAAACGCTTTTGAAATGAATCCGATCAATCCCATGATCATGCTGGATACTCAGTACAGGATGCAACACGACATTTGTTCGTGGCCTAACAAGTTCTTCTATGCTGGGAAATTGAAGACAGCCGTAATGCGCGACGATGAGTTCCCATTCCACTCGTACAGAATTTTCCATGTCAATACCATCCAGAACAATGATAACTTCTCGAATACCAATGAGGCCCAGTTTGTAGCCAATATGATACACTCGATGCTGACGCACGCCAATTTGGATGGCTACGACTTCATTTCCTATGGCATTCTTACGCCATACAACAACCAGAAACACGTGATACTGAAGAAAATCAATGAAAAGTCAGTAATTGTCCATCTATTTTGAAGATCTATGACTGTAGATATAAGTAACCAGACTGTAGATATTTATACGTAAATTTATAGAAAATGAAAGTGCCAGAGCTTCCATTGGAGTTTAAAGAAGATAAGAATCTGAATAAATAAAATCTGCAGTCTGGTCATGATACATTATTTGCAGACTACTGTTCGATAGGTACTAATAACAATGATGATTTTAGAATGTTGTCACTGTCGGAAAATCTCAGGAAAAAAATTAAATTTGAAGTGAACACGGTTGACGGCTTTCAAGGACAAGAACGAGATGTAATTATTATGTCATGCGTACGAAGCCAGAAAATTGGTTTTTTATCTGATAGGCAAAGACTATGCGTTGCCCTTACACGAGCCAAACACAGTCTAATAATCTGTGGTAACTTCAGCGTGTTTAACGTAAGATAATATTATTAAAATATTATTAATATTATTGTGATCATCAATAATTTGTACATGAAATAACTTATGTTCATTGCAGAAAGACCCGATGTGGAATGCGCTATTGACTGATGCAAGATCGAGAAAAATATATTTTAACATAAATGCTCAAGCAGATCCTCACGAGATTAAACAACATGTTGTTAAGAGATTTAGTAGTTAATGTTCAAATTGTACATTTGTAAATCACGTATCACCGAAACTTTACTTGCTCCTCTGTAAAATACATCTAATGTAGATTGTTATTAATTTTTCTACGTCATTGCTTTTTTAAATAAATACATTTTTGTGAAGAATGCAGGAAGTGCTGCGAAACATCCACGCCACAATTAAATGTGTTCATACAAATGATTACAAATATAATAATGTACAGCAGGCGTAGACCAAATCTTTGGCCCGTGGTCCCTGTGGTCCTTCACACTCCCCCTGTGCTACCCATGCGTGGGTAGTAATGTGTATGAAGTAATAGTAATGGAGCTTGTGACTCCCAGCATCCTAAATTCCACTCAAGGCCAGTGGTGTCTATTAGTGTCTAGTGTGCCCAATGGAATGAATCAATCTGCTTTGCTCAGATTGGTTGGCGATTCACAGTAGAACAGTGCTGCCCTCTTAGTTAATGACAATGAGACGAAGTAGCGAGTAAACAAGAGAGCGTGAGCCAATCAGAGAAAAGCAGTTTCTCTCTTACTAAGCCCGTTGCCCCCGCATGGGTCGCTCAAGGAGAAAGCACTATTGTATCGTTTTCCCTACTCGAGTCACCACTACATAAATCGAATGCATATGAACAATACATAGTATAGTATGCCTATTTATATTTTTAAAATGCGTTCTTGAACTTGATTGAACTTGGTGGTTGCTTAGGAAACCGTAACGCGCGAATTCTCAATAAAGATGTCGAACAAAATGTTATCTTGAAATCAGTGAAGAATTCTTTTCTTTAGAAGCTGTTCTTTAGAAACAACGCAAAGATGTCTCAAACGGGAGAGTATGTATTCTACAAATTAATCCTACACAAATTTAACCTCTTGTCATATTTTATGTTGAAACATAACCACGAAAATGATTAAATTCTTTTACTCTTAACTTTTAGGAAGGAACGGAACCGAGCCAACATGTCAGAACCTGTGCATCACCAAATAAATGCTGCTCGAAAAACGTTTCAAACACTATACCAGATCTCGAAATTATTAAACACGAACTTGGACCCAACTACGTTAGGCATATGCATTAGATTATGCGAGAATGGAGTGAATCCGTATGCACTTGCAACTGTGGTAAAAGAACTGCAGAGAGAAGTGAACGCTATGAATAATCCGACGACTTAAATCTTCCTACCATTGATACTGTTTTCAATATAAATATAGTTAAGTTTTGTTTTTAATATCAAATAGAACAGATTTGTTGGCACATAAGTCTTAAAAATATGTTGAATAGAAAGTTTTGTAGTGAAACANGGACCCAACTACGTTAGGCATATGCATTAGATTATGCGAGAATGGAGTGAATCCGTATGCACTTGCAACTGTGGTAAAAGAACTGCAGAGAGAAGTGAACGCTATGAATAATCCGACGACTTAAATCTTCCTACCATTGATACTGTTTTCAATATAAATATAGTTAAGTTTTGTTTTTAATATCAAATAGAACAGATTTGTTGGCACATAAGTCTTAAAAATATGTTGAATAGAAAGTTTTGTAGTGAAACA